TGAGCGGTGAACGTACAACGAGCTTGGCCGGTCCAGTGCCGTGGGTTTCATAGTACAGGTTTAGGGGGCCGCCGCGGCGGGTTTGTGCCACTGGACATGTGCCTGAAGTGGTAGGAGAGAGTTTCCACGGCACTGAGTCATATGCGGGGTGTTTCACGATCTCTGCGGCCGTTAGGGGCGCCATGATTATTGTGTTGATGGTGGTTACGATGGTTGTAGGGAGGTTGTCATGCGTGTGGCTATAGCTTCACATCTCTCACATGCCCGGTCTCGGCGGCGGATCCCGAGGTCTGCGTTGTGGGTCATAAATGAACGTCTGATAGGGTGTCCCTTGCATTTTTGTACTACTGATTACACTATTTTATTTCTAGAATTAAACAATACTAGAGTCTTGATTGAAGTGGGATATGATGTCATTTGTCAAGAAATTTATTAGCATATTAATAGTCATTTACTTAAGCTGCAGCCACTCGCATCAGTGGTATTCCAGAGAATACTGCTACTAGGATAGTAATAATAATCCAGAGTGGCAAGGCCTAGACCATGTCCTGGTTCTATTTTAAGATCGTTACGGACTAAGTACACAGTACTTTCAGGTATCTTTGAATCCGCCTGTCTTTTAAATTTCCCTTCCTCCAGGCACGGCTATTGAATTTTCCACATAGCCAGTAAATTAATTGGCCGAGAGCGTGCTTACTAAGATCCAAACCAATCACTTCAGCATATTTTCCAATAGGCATAGCGCCACCGTGGACCACTCCATCTTCAACTATCCGAGACTCATCACAACCCTTCCCTCATCCATAATAACAGAACTCTGCATGTACAAGGTGTCAGCTTTCACTAATTGTTGACTAATAAAAGCCTATTGGCTTTTTCATGGTATGGCCAACACTATCAAAACAGTATTTGTCCAATATCTGAGTCACGCGCTCCTGATAATGTTCTTATTGGTCCATCAGAATAAAATGAAAAAGGAGGTCCCAGTCTAGTTAGAGCGAGTATGTGAAAGATACGGTTATGCGGAGCCTTTCTAAATTAATCTAGTCAATCTTTAACTCGCTTGGACATCAAAGTACTTTCGTCACATCGATAATATGTACATCACGTCTAATATATCCTCCTTCCCCAATCTCTATCTCTAACATAAAGCATGAAACACCAGGACAACTATTACTCGCAAATCTATACAAACCCCACCAACTTTGGAACCTTAGCCTCCAATATATATACAGCTTGACAACCATCCACAGACCAAACGCAGGCGCACTGTTTCAGCTCCCAGAGAAACCAAAGCACCGCAGCCAACCACTCACGTTATCACATCTAATCGCCCCAGCTATATATCGATCTTACAAAAGAAGAAGCCCACAATCATAGAAGGCAACTTACGCGTGATGAAGATCTCTTTTCTGTCCAATAATCAATAGCCGAGGTTGGCGCATTTTCGCATGTATATTTCGATCTCAAATGCGAAGTGCCCTTCTTGTACGTATCCACGATAACCACATCGACCACATCGACCACATCGACCGAGGGTGAGTCCGTTTCCACAATATAGTATCAGCATTTCCGTTATCGTTCCAGCACAGATGAAGACAAACAGATGTAGTTAGTGATACATACTCCGCTTGTGGGATCAAAGCTCCTGTAGTTAAATTCATCACCCGCTTCGTAGTCCCAGCCCTATACACCGGTTTTAAGGCCAGTTCTGTAGTGCCCCAATCGCCGTTGCTCTTTTGGCATCTTGCACTCAGTTTGTGTCCTACTCGCCAGACTCCGGGTGGTGGTGGCACTGCGCGTCGTGGAGGGCGGTGCAATGTAGGTGTTCCGGGGTGATCTAGATAGTTTGGGGAGCCTGGTGGTGTCGGGAAGATTGGGGAGTTAGGACGGCCTTGTGGAGTTGCTCTCCGAGCCTGCTGGTGAGCTTGCTGAGCCGATTGAGGTGTCTATTCGCAAGCCTCATCCATCATCTATGACAAAATGGCGGCAAATCTTGTGGACATTTGCTGTTGCAAGTTTTGCTGGATCAGACTGAACTCCGACTGCGGCCGGACTAGCAGCAGCCAAGGCTAATAGGTACCACGAAAAGATGATCAGAGTAGAGTCCAGTACATCTCTGCAGGACTGAACAGGATGGTACTCTAAAGAGAAGGAGGTTGGGGGAACCTCACCAAAGTCATAGCCCGCCTATTTGGACTCTATGTCATTTCGTAGTGGTTCAAACCTGTTATAGTTCTCCCCGGGGGCGCAGGGCAACAGATTAGCGACCAGACAATAGATGGTATTCTAGATATGGAAAACATACTAGAACTAAAAAACCGGGGCAAACTAATAGGTCAGAATAGCCTTATATATATGTCAAACTTTGCGTATACGGCGCAAGGCACATGGACTAGTAGTACTCAGTGCCAGCATGAGATAGGGTTGGAGAGTCAGATACCCCAGACGACCCCACTCGTGACTCCACAATTCCAGCACCCTTCTCCAACATGACTCCAGCATATGTATCACAACCATCTCTCCCTCAATCGCACTTCTCAACTTCTCAACTCATACGGATAACAAGACCTGATCCTTCAATCCTCAAAATGGCACCAATCCACCGAGTCGCTGTCATCCAATGGCACATCAAAGTAACCCCTCACCCCACCATCCATATACCAAACCCTACCTAGATATCTATCTAATCAGCGCCACAGGACCTCGCCATGGAAGAAAACCACCAAAAAGCCTGCTCCTACATCCGCGAAGCAGCCTCCAAAGGCGTCCACCTCGCTGTTCTCCCAGAGTAACCCGCTCCCCCCTCCCTCCACCACTCCAATCAACCAAAATAGTAAAGCCCTTACTAAGGAAAGAAACCTTATAGATATCACCTAAACGCCTTTCCCCCTCACGACCCCCTCTACCTCCCCCAAACATCACCCCAAATAACCAACCAATACTTAGCCGCCTACCAATCCCTCGCCCAAGAACTCAACCTCTGCCTCGTCCCCGGCACCATCGTCGAAAACCACGCCGCAGACCCCTCCAGCCCACCCCTCCTCTACAACACAGCCTACTTCATCTCCAACGATGGCACCATCCTCTCCTCCTACCGCAAAAAGAACATCTGGCACCCGGAGCGCGCGTATCTGGCCTCCTCCGGGAGTGATCCGCACGTGGCGTTCGACACCCCGCTCGGCAAAGTCGGGTTGCTGATTTGCTGGGATTTGGCGTTTCCGGAAGCGTTTAGGGAGTTGATCGCCGCTGGGGCGGAGATGATTGTTGTGCCAACCTTTTGTTTGTTACCCCTTTTCTCCCCTTTTCTCCCCTTTACTTTCCCTTTTTGTGCTTTGTGCTGGATGTGTGGTGTGGCTGATGTGTGGGTGCGGGATAGGGACGAAGTTTGATGCGTCGGCGGCTTTGCGGGCGAGGAACCCGGATTGTGAGAAGCTGTTTTTGGAGTCGATGCTTACGGCGAGGTGTTTTGAGAACACGTGTGGGATTGTGTTTGCGAATGCGGCTGGGAGTGCAGAGGATGATGGGTTTTTGGGATTGTCGAGGGTGACGATGCCGGGGGTTGGGGTTGTGGGGACTATGGGTTCTGAGGAAGGGGTTTGTGTGGTGGATCTTGATATGGGGTTGATTCGGGATGCGGAGGAGAATTATAAGGTGAGGGCGGATTTGGGGAGGGAGGGGTGGTATTATTCCTATCGGCATCAGAGCAGGGCGTAGAGAGTTGAGGGGGGGGGGAGGAGTGTGTGGGTGTATATACTATATAGAAGACCTATCTATCTATCTATAGACCTTCCTAACCGAAGTGAAGCTCTATTCAACAGACTGTGTATATATAGTTATACTGTACAACCCACTAGACTAAACGGCTCTGTATTCTAAGAACGAACAACAATCATTAGGCAATACAAATTCGTGAGATGAATCTTGTCCACCTGACATCCGAGAATGGCTCCGTGAGGAAAACGCTCGTATCAGGACATATAGGCGTAAAGCATGGGGCATAGCTCCGAGTAATAACAAAGTAAACCCTCCCAAAAAGGCGAACCAGCTGAAGCGAGACCGACGAAAGACAAAACCGAATCTAAAACACGATCCTCGAACACGCATCGGGCCACCAATGGAAGGATTACTGTACTTGGCTGACGATTTCGCTGGCGCGTGACAGACTCTCCACCATCTGTTGGCACTCCTTGCGCCTCCGCACGGTGTAGTCGCTTTCCTTCAGAAGCTCGTCTAGCTCACCATTGCGGTACATGTTCTCAAGAAGCTCGCGCTGCATCTCATCCTTGGTGAATCTAGGAAGCGTTAGTGATGTGAAGAATCAATAGAGCTTTGATGGTCACATACTGGACAAGCATGTACATGATAGCCTTCGGGACCATATCGATCATGGTCCGCTTCACAATGTTGAAGTACGACGTGATAAGAAGTTCTGCTGACCGTTAGCGTCGGCTCCTCGCACTGAAGACTCTATACATACTGATAACCTCAACTTCGGTGCTCTCACGCTCGGACAACGAGGCCGACGCCTTGAGAGTTGGGGGCGGGGCCTCCATGGCCGCCATCTTCTTCTTGTTCTTCGAAGCCCAGAAGCTACCGAAGAACCCAGAGCCGCTACTACCATCCGCGGAGTTGGTAAGGTCGACTGACGGGCTGTTCGCCCGGGGAGGAAGAGGCTTGCCCGTCTTCGGGTCAACCTGGGTAGGCTTGCTGCTGGCTTGGCGTTCGTTCACAATAGTCATGGCCTGCTCGAGTTAGTACTTCATGAATTGGCATACATTATAAAGATGAGGTTGTATGACGTACGCGGTGTCCGTTTAGGAAATCAGGGTGACCGGTGTTGATGTAGCACGCTTCCATGTTGATCAGGTCGCGAACAATCTTGTTAGTAGGCTCCATGCACTTTTTAAAGAAGCTGATAACTACCGCGTGGAACTTCTCCTTCAGCATAGGATATCTCCGGAAGAGCTGCTTGTTCAGAAGCTGTCCCAGGATGCGGACTAGTTCATCATACACCAATGAGATACACTTGGTGCTGGGATCCTCGAGCCTCTTGATTTGCTGCTTAACGATCAGCTCAAAGGCCGTGGTGCCAACGAAAAGCGCAGGCGATGAGCCCGAGGAGTTGTAAAGAATTGTCCGAATGTCAATATCCTTGACTTGATCGAAAGGATCCACCGCCTTGATACCGTTGGAGTAGAGCTCATGGAAGACAAAGCTGATACGAGCACCACCCGACAGCTCAATGCTCGACAGTTCCTGGTTGTTACCCTCCAACACCGTACGATACTCATTGCTGAATTCAGTAATGATGTTCAGGATAATATTAGCGCTGTTTCCGAGCATGGAATCTCCCAGCTGCGAAAGTTCGGCGGTGTACTTCTGGAGGGAGGACGAGATCCGGGCCTTAATATCGGGCAGGGTCTGCTTAATGTGCATCATGAGGATCTGTGAACAGTCAGCGAGGTGAGTTTCTCCAACCACGAGCTAGACGGGCGCACCAAGTTCAACTTCCTCGCCAAGTACGGCGTTCCACAGTACGAAGACTTATTCCGATAGGCCTTGTGGCCTTCGAAAAAGTTCTTCTCATGTTCCAGAGCGTACGAAATAGGCCGCTTGTTCTCAATATCACGCTGCCCACGGTTAACAACCGGCACATATCCCAGGCGCAACGGGATAATCCTGCCCGCAAGAATATCCACGACGTCGGTTCCCTCGTCCATCAGATCAACCTTAGTCAACACACCGATTGTACGCTGGCCCTCCGGATCCACCTCCCGCGCCAGCTTCAAACCGTCGGAGTTGGCAAGATCTTGGTTGGCCGCCGTGACCGCAAGAATGATCGCATTAGGCTTGCTGATGTACTTCAAGACCATGTCCCGGATTTGCTTCTCGATGTCCTTAGGCTGGTCACCGACCGGCACCTTAGTCAAACCGGGCAGATCGACCAGCGTGAGGGTCAAGACGTTGGGCGAGTAAATGCGAAGGTTAATCGGGGCAGGTGAGATACCGGCATTGCGACCGACCTTCGACTCCGTTTCCCGTACGATCTCCTCGCGAATCTTGTTGAAATCGTGGAACTTCTGACCGGGAATATGCAGGAACTCTCCGTACTCATCCAGATTGGCGGCGCTGTCCGTTGTTTCCAATTTCTCCTCCTTGACGCCGTTCGATTGAGTTGGGGGTCTGTTGATCAGTTGAAGAATGAGGGGTCTCCGAGTCACGATGCCGGACCCACGGGGGAGGCTAAGGTAGAGGTGAAGCCGTCAGCCGAATGCCCACCAGTACGACCATGACTACTTACAAATCCCGTCCGACGATATTCTCTAGAACCGAACTCTTACCGCTAGACTGGGAACCGACGACGGCAATCTGGGGTAAATCGATGGGGTTGTGAACCTAACCAGAACAGGCGGTGTCAGTTGCGGCGAGGGGTTGTAAGGGAAACCCACAGCTCCCTGAGAGCTTAGAGACACATACTCCAACTGTCGTAAAGACATCCTGAAGCTTATTGACCAGCGAGATCAAGCTGGGATCGTTGACGTTTATCCTGATTCCCGCAACTCAGTCAGTCAATGGCCCCGGATATAGAGCACGAGGGGCTAGGGGGAGCGCACGAAGTCGGGCTTGCCATGGCTGGCAGCAAACGCAAGAGACAGTCGCTCCAAAAGAAAATGGGGTAATACGGGACAGAGAAAGAGTAGGATACGGTAAAATAATTATATCGACCGTGTAGATTCGGGGTATTGTCCGACTTGCGGAGTAAAGGTGGAAGTGAGAAGAAGGCGGGAAGTGTCGAGCGGCCAAGTGGTTGACTTTCGCTTGCGGTCCAGAATTCAATCCAACGATAACCAGCGATAAGAGCGGACAACCGTTGCTAGGCAAGGACGTTTATAGGTACCCAACCACCCCACGTTTCGTCAAAAAGCGAAAGGTTATGAGATCAGTTCTGTGAACCAAGTGTTCTGATTGTGAAGATTTATGACAGCGCAGAAGACGCAGAGTCCAAAAGAAAGGGCATGACATGGCACATGATACCCAATAATCAAGACGCGTCATGTGCTAGTGGCCACCCAAACAATGCTGCCTAAGTTGAAGGAAGAAACGAAAGAACAAATACAATCAGGCAATTGAATTGATTCAGTGGCTGATGAAATTCTCGCAAAAGCTAAACAGAGATAAACTGCAAGAACTACGGAACATGGGAATTTGTTATGCTACAGGCAACCAAACAGTACGGCCCGTCTGTCAACTAGGACTCTCTTCTAATACCATCCATCTACTCATCCGACACCGATGCAAATCGCTCTGACATGGTCTGAAGGACCTTCTCGTACTACGGTCGTTAAGTTAGTATCACAGTACGTAGATGAGCGGAGAAGAAGACCAACCTTCTCTGAGACCTCCTGTTTGTTGTCCGGAACTTCGAACTTCATGCTCCGCAGGGCAGTCTGGATGTCCGAAGTGGCGTCGCGGACCTTGGACCAATTTTGGCCCTGAGCGATGGCCTTCTGCGCTTCGTCATGGTAGCCCATGAAGGCCTTCATCATGTATTCCGTCTTCCACAGAGGGCAGAACTGGTCGTAGTCACTGTAACCGTTCTGCTGCAGGAAATCATCCTTGAGCATGGCAGCCACATCCAGAGCAATCTTGTCCGAATCACCCAGAGCGGCCTTACCAACCAGCTGCACGACCTGGTCCAATTCTTCGGATTTGGTCAGCAGTTCACGGATCTGGTCTCGCAGCCGGGGGAATTCGGGGTGCTCCTTCTCGTAGAATCTGTCGAGGATGGTCGTGTACTTGCTGTAGGACATGGATGTGTTGATGGAGGGGAAATGCTTTCGCTGAGCCAGCTTCTTGTCTAGTCCCCAGAACACCTGGACGATACCCAGGGTGCTAGTAGTGACGGGATCCGAGAAATCACCACCCGGAGGACTGACGGCACCGACAATGCTGACACTACCATTTCTCTCGGGGCTTCCCAGGGCAATACTTTTGCCGGCACGTTCGTAGAAGGAGGCAAGCTTAGCACCCAAATAGGCGGGGAAACCCTGGTCTGCAGGCATCTCTCCCAGACGACCGGAAATTTCACGGAGCGCCTCGGCCCAACGAGAACTGGAATCCGCCATCATAGCCACGTTCTTGCCCTGGTCACGGAAGTACTCGGCGATTGTGATACCGGTGTAGATAGAGGCTTCACGTGCGGCGACAGGCATGTTGGATGTATTGGCAATGAGGCACGTACGCTTCATGATAGGCTCTTTGCGGCCCTCAATCTCGATCGAAAGCTATAAGATGATATCCGTATCAGCATCGAACAAACCACATCGGGGGGTGAATGAGGCAGAATCGCATACCTCAGGGAAGTCCATCAACACCTCAGCCATCTCATTACCACGCTCACCACAACCGACGTAGACGATGATATCACTATTGGAGAACTTGGACACAGACTGGGAAATAACTGTCTTACCGCATCCGAAAGCACCAGGGATACAGACAGTACCTCCTTGCACACTAGGGAACAGGGAATCTAGCACTCTCTGGCCGACGATGAAGGGTGCATCGGAAGGAACCTTCTCGTTGACTGGCCGAGGCACACGGACAGGCCAGGTCTGCATCATACCAAACTCCGACTTAGTGCCGTTGAATTCGATCTCCAATAGCTTCTCGTCGACCGTGTAGCTACCAGCCTCCGCGATCCGGGTAATAGTACCCCGAGCGCGAGGTGGCAGAAGAATCTTATGGTCGTTCAATAAGCTGTTCTCGAACACGGTACCCCAGATGTCACCTCCGGTGATGTGATCGCCCACTTTGTATTGAGCGGGCTTAAAGTCCCATTTCTTCTCGCGATCCAGCGCGTTCACAACAATACCACGGGGAATGTAGATGCTTTCAGACTGGTCGTAAATGGCTTTCAAGGGGCGTTGGATACCGTCGTAGATTGTTTCCATCAAACCAGGACCCAGTTCAACCGATAGGGGTTTGTGAGTCCTCGCGACCGGGTCGCCGACACTCACTCCATCTGCGGGGGGCGAAACTTGTTAACGTACCATTCCGATCCGATTTGGTCGCCAAAAGGCGGATGCGAACGCGTACCTGTTTCCTCGTAGACCTGAATGGTGGCCTTATCACCATCGATACGGATGACTTCACCGACGAGTTTATCGTGACCAACTCGACACTATAAATTCCCAGGATGATTTAGTCACGTCGCAAGCCAAACCAGACGGGGAAACCAAATCCGATAAGCAGGAATGACCGAAAGATACCGGATGGCGGGGGGTTGGTAACATACCAATTCGTACATGGCACAGCCGATCATGTTCTCGGCCACGACGACGGGACCGGAGACGGAGAAGACGGAGCCATGTTGGGCGTCAGCGTCGGGGCCCTTGCCGGATGGGGCCATGATGCGAATAATCGGAGGGTGGATAGACGACGAGGGGGGGGAAGGGTTGAAGGTGGTGGCAGTGGGGGAACTGGAGCTGGAGCTGGAGCTGGAGCTGGAAGACGGGGAAGTGGGCGAGTTGGGGAGCGGTGGCAGTTGGTCGATGTCCGCGGGCGGTGATGACCACCTTGATGGTTGTTGGTCCTTTCCACTGGCTCCTATCAGATCCAGCAAGGAGGGGCGTGTTTTAAGCCGACGCACGCCCAGACCTAACATTCGAGTTGCATTAATTGCAGCGTGGAATTTATTTGGCGATCGCCCAATCTCATTAGCTCCGTTGTATCTGTCGTGGTGAAGGTTACTCAGCCCCGTGTTTAGCCTCCATTCCGGATAGGTTTCTTGCTTGGCTTGTCACGGACTGGTCATATGCACTGACTAGTGGGCGGACAGAATCTTGTTGGTCATAGTTTGCTCTGTGGGTATTCTGTTGCCGTCTAGAAACTATCCACGGGAAACCGGAATTTATACTGACGATCTTATTCAATCTAGAGTCAAGGTCATGAACATTTTTACAAGGACTTTCAGCCAAAGTTCAGCATAGTTTGATGGCCTCTGGGTGCTGACATGGTCATGAAGTTGACGTACAGAAAATCAATCTCCATGAGCGTCTTTACAGTTTGATCAAGCTGTGTATCTATTTTACATCGCTTTCGTGCTTGTCTCTCTCATGTTCACATGAAGAGAATATCAAAACATCAGCTGGGCAAATACGACGCCGGCAACAAACTTGAGTGGTGCATGGACCATCACTGTTCACCCTATGGTTCACAGACTTCAGCCCTTCGGACACGTGAAGATGCCTTAGAATAATAAGATAGGGCCGCGTGAGTGATGGATGTGCGGGCCGAGGCTTCCATAGAGTTTTCGAATTGGGCCGCTTGTTCACAGAGATGGTCGCTGCCATCACGATGTCACCTCATGAGGTAGGTGCCTCCGGCTATAAACAGTCTGTATTGCAAACTGTTGCCGATGTAATTGCTCTACCTATATATACCTAAGATTTTGCTCTTGAGCCCATACAGGCCTCTCGCGCTTTGGAAAATAAATACTTTTTTTTTGGCAGCATCCTATCGTTATTGGATATCATTACAGCATGGCTCAACAGAGGGCAACGGGTAAAAAGATCCGCAAATCCTGGGGTTATACCTTTGAATGGATTGATGGTCTTCACTATGCTACCGACCAGTTGCATTCCATGATGTTTACCTATGACAAACTCGTAGATGAGTGTCTTGAGCGTCTAGACGAGATATCACCTCCAGATAGTATCCGTGCAGAGACTCCAGGGACCTCCGAGGTACGAACGCCGAAGAGGGATTTGTATTCACTGCTGGAGAAACACGCAAAAGACGATCCGAAACTTGAGCAGCTTTGGTCTGAAATCAACAACGTCCCGGATTGGGTCAACTGGGAGCAAATCAAAAGGGGCCAAGAGGTGTTCTTCCGTTACGGACATCCAATCCTCAACGTAGTACGTTGGTAATTATCTCAACTGTCGTATAGTCACTTACTCGGTATATAGCTCAGCTTTCAAAGCCTACTAGGCGGCATGTTCGTCTCTTCGAACTAGGATACATTGGAGCAACCACTGACCAATGCCACAATAGGGGGTCTCCTCGCGTTGTTGAGACCTTGACTCGGACTGGAGGCTTCTCAACGGATGTTGTTCGGCGCAGGCTCCTGGAAACTCTCCAACACGTTCTTCAGGTATCCTTGTCATTAGACTCGATAAAGCCGGGAGGTAACGGCCATGTTTCCTCCGTTCGTGTTCGGTTGTTACATGCGTCGGTCCGTCGTAGATTGCTCAGCCTTGCGTCACGCAGACCTGATTACTATATTGTTGAGAAGTTCGGGATTCCTATTAGTGACCTGGATTGTATTGCAACTATCAGTACGTTTTCGTCAAGCGTGGTCTTTGTTGGGCTTCCGCGACAAGGTATTTTTCTGAGGAACCAGGAGATCGATGACTATATTGCTCTCTGGAGGCTTGTGGCCTACTACATGGGTACGCCGACCGAAACTTTCATGACAACAGCTCGGGCACGAGCCATGATGGAGTCGCTCGCCGTATCTGAATTAGATCCAACAGATACCGGGAAGATACTCGCGCAGAACATCATTCTTGGTCTCGAAAACACTGCGCCCACATATGCGTCGAAAGAATATCTTGAGGCTATGGCTAGAAAGCTCAACGGGGATGAGCTCTCTGACCGACTTGGGCTCCCACGTCCCACCTTATACTACCGAGTGCTCGTATATGGGCATTGTCTCGTGGTCATGGTGGCGTGTTATGGACTCCGAGCGTTCCCAAAGCTCGACCAGGCTTTCATTAATGTACACCCCCTCCTGATCTCTCCGAACCAAGTCACCTTTATTCACGTATTAACCATGTCGCAGTTACGTCGCAGGCTCTATTATAAGATCATCACGGATAAGAAAGAAGGGCTAGGAGGCGAGAGCTTCTTCGAATTCAAATATGTGCCATTTTACAATCGCACAACTCGTTTAGGGAAACGCAAGACATCCAGACTGACAAGGAATGGTGTAGAGACTCTAGCACAGATCGGCCTTCTCGTTGCTTTCCTTGTTCTGATAACCCTGTTCTGCGGGACTATTTTCGGATTCAAGTTGCTAGCCCCGATGATTGTTCCGGCTGCCTTTATCTTATAAATCACCGGGAAACCCCAGTGGTTAATGCTTCGTGTGGCGCTATTCCCATATCCGTCCTCGTCAGTAGGATGATGTTTGATAGCTAGTATAATATATAGTTACAGATCTGTCAACCATAAGCGATCCTTGTATCCGATTGTAGAAAGAGGTCTTGCGAGTATAGTATTAGTATTACTAGTAGTAATTTTATCGTTTATTAATTAATATTTAAATTCAGGAACCAACGTTTTCTGAGGTTTGATTGCATGGAAATTTCCACTTCTTGACTTCAGTTACGCCACCATGAATGACGCCATACGACAAGGGACAATATATACTTTGTACTTAATTATAGAGTCACAAAACCATTGTACTCTGTTTTGCTGATTTACAAAACCGAAATCAATCGAACCCTAGCAACTCACCATGGTCGACGAAGGTATCGTCGCGCCATTGGTGGGCGCCCTCCAAGCCTACATCTCCGTCCTGCTCACCATGAGCTACGGCGTTGCAACGCAAAGATTACGGTTAATTCAAGAGTCCTCAATTAACGATATGGCTAGATTGGGAGTCAAGCTGTTCCTCCCAGCGTTGATCATTATCAACCTGCGTGAACAACTGCATCTCATGAATGCGTTGAATTATATTCCCGTGTTAGGTATTGCTCTCCCAAGCTACCAACGAACAGAATATCAAATACTAACACCACCTCTACTAGTGTGGTCCATTATTTACACCTGTGCCTCGATCGGTCTGGCGTATTTTGTCTCCAAAGGATTGAAACTCCCGCCCTGGGTGACACCTGCTTGCGCATTCAACAACACGACCTCTCTACCGCTACCCTTGCTGCAGTCGCTAGGAAGCGTGGGGAGTCTGAAACTGATCATCGCAGATGGGGACACAGAGTAAGGCTATCGGTCGAGCTCAAGAGCCACTTACTCCTCTGCGCCATGATCAGTAAAACGATCGGCTCCGCCGTCGGTCCCAAGTTGCTGCAGGAGGGCGACGACCCAGAGACTCAAGAAGCGAACAAGACAGACCCAGAAATACAGGATGGTACCACTGAGCATGATCACATCGACGAAGAGAATCCTCTCCTCCCACAACGAGCGCAAAGGGCACGCCGCAGCATCTCGAGCAGCATCAAGCAAGGGGCCCGGCGTACCTCATCCGTGCTCCCCAAGCACGTTAGGCAGCGACTCATGGCCCCGTTCGAGTCCCCGTTGGCCGATGTGGCTATTACCTGCACCGTTATCGGCGCGCTTATTGGGCTTCTGCCGCAGTTGCATAAAGCGTTCATCCGAGGAGGACAGGATTCTCAACGCCTGGTTGACGTTGAGTATCCAAAATATGGGCAAACTGTTCACCACGTTTCAGATCTTTGTCGTGGGGTGGAAGCTAGGGGTGAGCTTTGAGAGAATGAAAGCTAGTAGTTACTCGGGGAGTATGCCCTCAAGGCGATCGTAACGATCTTTCCCGTTCGGTTGGTGATCTGGCCTGCGTAGGTTTTCAGAAACTGGGGGTTCGTGAGTTCGGTTAGCTAACGGGTTCTAAACAGACTCGGCATCTCCGTTATATATAGCTTGGCTAGGAGGACAAACCATCGTCCTCACTGATCCCATTCTCTGGTTCAGTTTGATGCTCATGCCGGCTGACCATCTCTGGACTAGCCGAGTTGGCTCAGAGTTTCAGAGCTGCAGAATATGGCTATTGCCAAAATGATGACTGTGAGAGATGCGATATCTGGATTTTGGTGGCATTTATACTAATTGATGCAGGTAATGTATGTTGTCGCCATTCATTTGCTCTAGCATCACGGGCGCTTTTTAAGCGTCTCAGGGCAGCGGTGGAAGGGAAAACCTCCGCCTAGATATGTCGCTTTCAGATTGTACAGAGCTTAAAAGTATGTATATACGAGACTGGATTGACGATAGAGATATATTAAAGAGAGTGCATTAAGTAGTATCCAAAATAATGTCCAGTTTCACACTCAAGCAATACATCCAGCCGGTTGCATCGCCTTCACACAACATCACCAAGCTTGATTGGATCCATCGATGTGATCAAGTGCGGGATCAAGTTACTTCTATTCCGAGGTCAGCAATGTGCTCACCACCATTGTTAGAGATATACATACTCCGCAGTTCTTGCACTGGCAGTTTTCGTTACAGGTGCAACTCTTGGGGCCGGTGCAGCCGCATGTAGTTCCACAGTCACAGGCCATTATGTAGGTTAAGATACGTTTAATAGATAGTATAGAATGTTCGATAAATATTTTAAGACAGTGGATTAGGTCAGTTTAGAACTTGAAAGTCCAAGGGTTGCGAAGTAAGCACCGAATGCAAAATTTATATAACCCCAGGTATGTGGGGAAAATAGCATCATCATGAGGTCAGAGATATTGTTTTTCTTTCTTCTCCTTTTAACATTTTGTCATACTTTTGCAACGTTAAATAACTCGAACCATTGGTTCTTTATTTTGTAGTCATTGGCTGTCGGCCGAGTTCGTTAACCATGGCTTGTTCAGCAGGTTGGCGTTTGTGTCTAGAACTCTGGGGAGGCATGATCGGGTTGTTTCGGAGATGCTGTACGATAAAATCTATGATAGACATAATTCATCCTTCGCGAGTTTATGCTCATTGAAATGATTGAATCGATTAGACCGCCATTATGACCCCCCGCTGGGGGGAGAGGGGAGGATGGGCTTACTCCTGCGTTGATTGTACCCACTTGGAACTACTTCAGTGGTACCAGATGGCTTGACTCCACCGTTGACGTGGGTTCCAGGAGTCTCGACAGGTACATTTGAAGTGCAGGAGTCAGGAAGATTAGGTAGCATTTATAGTACTATACCTGGGGTTCTCAATATTTGACCATATACTGTGAAAGATATCGATATAGTGTACTATCTGGAAGTGACATCCAAAGTGGATCATCCCACCAAAAAGAACATCACCTGAAGAATGATACTAGGTGGGAGCACAAGAAGGGGATTAATTCACTTGCATGGGGAACCACTCACATCTCGACGATCTTTTCTTTATCGTCTCCAGTTCCAAACACTCCTGAGACGGCCTGGTGCAGGTGATGCGTTGGTATGTTGTTGATCGTTGGCTCGTTTTGGACCGTCCCCTTGAGTACCTGTTCGTTAGATAGATAGTAAGTAATATGTAGCTTCAGCCTCTAATGGGGGTTCGCTATCCTTGCTTCCACATTTCTTTTTGAGTTGGTTTAATATTTCTTTTTTTGTTTCCTTTTAAGATGAGCCGAAAATAATTTTTAATATTGCCTTAACTATTGTAATTTTTATTTTTATTTAGATTTTTCAGAACTTCTATTCTAAAAAGGAGAAATCTTGTCAGCTGGATTATTGATCAGTGGCTTTGGGTGTTCAGATGATTGTTGTCGTATCTTGAACTTGGAAGATTAATTCGCGCATGGCCTTAGGTATCTACCGGTATTGAATAGGGACCAGAAAGAATCTCTAGGAGTATTTCTTACAGTGAAGTTCTCCTAATCTTTTCTCTATGACCTGTCAAATAGACATTCGGTATGGATGTGTATTTATATACTGAACTTCAATTAGATCATCAGGTAGTGGGGAGAATACAAGAGTAAAGTAAAATAAGAATATTATGTACTCTGTAAGTAATTCACCAGTAATCTAATCGGGTCACCTGCTGACTGCGGTCCCCAGTATGGACAGGGGAGAAAGAATAATAAAAAAACCAAATATAAAAAAGACGTTTGGTCGATTACACGGTGGAAATTACTCAGATAACGTGTGGTGATCAAACGGTACCTAACTTACTGATTGGAATTAAATTGATTTGATTTATTGAAAAAGGAAAAAGCAATGGATGTCGTGACTTCTTCGCCCCACGGAGTCTTAGAATAAGAGAAGCCGCCGATGTTCTTCAACCTCATCTCTCCTGCTTTATCGAACACCCCCCTCCCATCTTAACCCTTTGAACAGCTCCTGGTCGGACAGTTTCATGCTTTGAGAACCTCTTTTTTTTTTCTTTATCTTTAACCACTCTCCTCCTTGGAGACCCCTTACCCCCCACATCACTCACCTCAAACAACTTGGCGCCTTCCCCCGGTTCTGACCTAACCCCAGCATTCTCCCCCCCCCCAAAAGTCCGATAAGCCTCCGCCCGTCGATATTGGGAAATTCTTACCTCCTACCCACCACCAGGAGCTCCATCAAACCAAGTTCCACCTTGCTTCTGCCGATATTACCTCGGTATATCTATCACAATAGAGAATTGACGGTCATTCGGCCTGAGACAAGCTCCATCGTCTGGTCGGAGCTGAGGCAGTATCAGTGACCCGCCACTGATATAGGTCTGCTCCCCTGGTTCTTCTACAGAGCCAGGTGAAAGGGCAGATCTACCCAAGTGTTCGATCTGGCAGACCACCCCTACGCCTATATACCCTCCTCCGCCGCTCCCGACCGCCCTGACCCTCCTATCCCCATCGAACCTACACCGTCCTACCCGAGAAGCGCTCCCGCTCCCGATAGCATCCTGTCGTCATCCCGTTCGGATCCTTCCGTCGATAACTCCTACACTACCGCGGGTGCTCCTGGACCTTTTCATCTGTCTTCCACCCGCCGTCGTCGCCGTCGTAGTACCCCCAACTCGCGTGAACGCACCGCTGAGGGAACCGGAAGTCTTGCGGGAGATTCCACGGCAAGTGAGGCCGCTGTTTCGGAACAAAGGACACATCCCACAGAGGGTCACTCGCCGTCCCCCAAGCGCAGGCGCCTGGCAAATATGCGTCCCGATGGCATTTCAAGCGCAAACGGTCCTTCCCACGTGTCTAACGGCTCCGTTGCCTCTCCGTCTCATAAGGTGGGTCTCTCCCACTCCTTGAACGGTCAGGCTCCGTCCGCTTCCTCTAATGGAGACCTTTATACGAATGGAGTACAGAAGTCCTCTGCCAATACGACATCATATTTTGGACATGACCGAGAAGAAGTAACGCGCATCCTCATCCAAAGTTTGTACGAGCTGGGCTATAACGGCGCAGCGTCACTATTGAGCAAGGAGAGCGGTTATCAACTGGAGAGCCCGGCAGTTGCTACGTTCAGAGGCGCAGTACTTGCAGGGCGATGGGGCGAGGCGGAGCGAATTTTAGTACAGTCTTTCTATCCAGATGGAACAAGGCGGACGACGAGCGGTGAGGGTGACCACCCTCCAACGAAGGAGAGGTTGGTATTGGTGGAAAATGCGGATATGAACGAGATGCTCTTCTATCTACGACAGCAGAAGTTCCTCGAACTGCTGGAGACTCGTAATCTGTCAGCAGCATTGACCGTTCTCCGTCATGAATTGACACCGCTCAATTACGATATTGGGCGTCTACATGCTTTATCTAGGTGAGACTTTTAAGAGTTGGCGCGTTTTTGTCGAAGCCTTTAAACTAACCACGGCCTCAGTCTTTTGATGTGCCCCCCGGAACATCTTCACGACCAAGCCGGCTGGAATAGCTCGATAAACTCATCTCGGGAGAGGTTATTATCTGAACTATCAAGTGCGTTATTTCTGAAAGCCCTCAACCACAGTGTTCAGACTAACACTCGAGACAGAATCTATATCTCCGTCTGTGATGATACCGGACAACCGTCTCGCCATGTTATTAGATAATGTCAAACAAAATCAGATAAACCAATGCTTGTACCACAACACTGCAAGCCCGCCGTCGTTATATTCCGACCACATGTGTGATCGGGCAGACTTCCCACTTCGAGCGGGAATTGAATTAAGTCAGCATTCGGACGAGGTTTGGTACTGTCAATTTTCGCATGATGGCACAAAACTGGTCACGGCGGGCCGCGACCATAGTGTTATTATCTACGATACCAACACTTTTGCCGTGTTACATAAGTTGATGGAACATGATGAGGGTGTTGCGCATGCCTGCTGGAGCCCAGACGATACTAAGATCATCACTTGCTCTCAGGATAAGAAAGCCCGCGTATGGAGCGTGGATGTAGGCCTCTCTCGTTCTACCTTTGGTTGCGTTGTTGCTAACTATAAGCAGACTGGCCGCTGTCTCTTGACCATCAATCATCATCGGCAGCCGGTGACGGCTGCCGCATGGGCTGCGGACGGCGAGTCTTTTGTGACAGCATCTCTTGACAATTCCTCGCAACTATGCCATTGGAGCATGCGTGGCCACGCTCTGCACATGTGGCAAGGCGGATTTCGCGTACAAGACTGTGCTATCACGCCCGATGGACGACGACTGATCGCTGCCGACGTCGAAGAGAAGATTCACGTTTATAACTTCCTTACCCACGAGGAGGAATACTGTCTAGCTTTGAAGAGCAAGCCCACCTCTGTCGCAGTCAGCCGGGATTCACGCCATATGCTTGTGAATTTGTCCGAAGGCCAAATACAACTCATCGATATTGACACGACAGATGTCATCCGGCGTTTTCAAGGGCAAAAGCAGGGGTCCTTTGTCATCCGGAGTACCTTTGGAGGAGCAGCGGAGAATTTTGTCGTCAGTGGAAGCGAAGGCAAGTTGTTCTAGGCTAACGGTTGTTTATTTCATTGCTAACAGTTTAACAGATTCCAGGGTCTATGTATGGCACAAAGAGAACGGGACCTTGGTGGAAACCCTAGAGGGTCACATCTCTGGATGCGTGAATGCAATCTCCTGGAACCCTACAAACCCCAGGCTGTTTGCTTCCGCCGGAGATGATTGCTTGGTTAGAATGTAAGTCTTCGTCTGATCAGCCACAACTTCTTCCGGCTTTGAGCTGACGAGAACCAATCCAGTTGGACCCGGGAGCGTGACGCGAATCCTCTTACTACTGCTAGTAATCGCAGAACGACACCGGCGAGTGGCTTCGCACGCACGAGTGCTATACGATCAACATCAAGCTTCTAATGAACTGCCGCGGGAATAAACCTATGTTTACACTCTGACTTCTTTTTCTGAAGATCGATTAATTGTCAATATCAAGGGATGTACTCGGAGCTTTTGGACTGGAAAGACAAGCTTTTCTTGTTGCATCTCTAATTCTTGCCCCTCCAATCATTCCCCGAACCTTTCTGCATATACACATCTCTTGGTCCCTCGCGATACAGGTAGTCCGCGCTCCCGTTTTGGCATTGCTGATTGATACGTGTTTTCCGTTGGCGCTTATTGAGCAATAATTAATTGCCCCTACCTTGCATTGATGCGTCGGGGACGGCACACATCACATATGTTTTCCTTTTTTTTATCACATACACAGGTTACACGGTGCTATTCATGGGTTCACTTTTCTCGTTTGGGTGATCGGGAAGGTTCGGACAACATATCCGGGATTGGTCTGGTGTGAGTGGGATTTGGTTTGGTCTTTGTTGTTTCCTTTTCTCTCTCTCCTGTCTCCTTCACAATTTGTTGTGTTCAGCACACACATATGTTCTTCCCATTCCACTCTCCATCGGTAGAGTCTGCATCATAGGTGCTTTATATATATCAATAAAGTCAGCTTAGTCTGCTGGATGAAATGTTCTCTTGTCACAAGAGCTTTGGACCATGCCGAGCGCCGAGAAATGGCCATTCACTTGTAGGGTTCAGTTGTCTACAGGGTCTGTACACTCATTTACCGAAGAAATCTAATAAACCCCAAAAAATAGAATCGTAAATTTGATAAATTGAAAATAGAAAAATTCCCCAACTTCAATAACCATGAATAATATCCCACGTAGCTAAACTCCATTTCGAAATGAAAAAACAATGGTCAAGGGGAAGATGCAGTCAGTTCTTGACGATACACCATATTTTGATAGTTTTTGAGTGAGCGATCTGGAGCTTGTCAGACTTGATGACCTGTTGAGTGACCGTTGATGTAGTCGGAGACTTACCAATTTGATTATATTCCCTTTTCCTCCACGCTGGTCTTGGTTTCTTCCTTTTAATTTTTTTTCTCTCTCTCTCTTTCTCTTCTTAGGATTTACGGGGTAAGGGGGGTTCGGTTGGAAGGGTGGCATTGAGGGTTGACCCTGGGTGGTAGAGATGGATTTATTGGTGGTATGGAATGGGAGGCGGTCGTGCGGATTATGAGAGGAGGTCGGCGACTGTGGGGTTTATTTGTTAGATACAATATATCTGAGAATGGCTAGAGTTACGGAGGGCTTACCGTTCATAGGCATCTCATCGATCTGAGTAGAATAGTACAATTCGATATCACGAAGGATGCGCACATCATCGCTAGTGACGAAGTTAATGGCGACACCCTTGCGGCCGAAACGACCGCTTCGACCGATACGGTGGATGTAGTTTTCACGGTTGGTGGGGAGATCGTAGTTGATGACGAGGGAGACCTGCTGGACGTCGATACCACGGGCCCAGACGTCGGTCGAGATAAGCACACGCGAGTTACCCTGGCGGAAATCCTGCATGATACTGTCCCGCTCCTTCTGGGGCATCTCGCCGTGCATGCTAGAGACCGTGAAGTTGGCCTCGCGCATCTTATCCGTCAGCCAGTCGACCTTGCGGCGCGTGTTGCAGAAGATCACGGCTTGCGTGATGGTTAGCGTGTCGTAGAGATCGCAGAGTGTGTCGAATTTCCATTCTTCCTTCTCCACCGCGATGAAGTATTGCTTGATGCCTTCCAGTGTCAGTTCGTCACGCTTGACCAGCACGCGAACGGGGTCCGTCATGAACTTCGTCGTCATGTCCAGCACGTCGTAGGGCAGGGTGGCCGAGACCACGACCACCTGCGTGGCCGGGGGCAGGTAGCGGTACACGTCGTAGATCTGTTCGCGGAACCCGCGGTTGAGGAGCTCGTCGGCTTCGTCCAAAACCAGCATCTTGATGTGGCGGGTGCGCAGGTGACGACGACGGATCATATCGGCGACACGACCGGGAGTGCCGGAGACAACGTGCTGGCCGTAGTCTAGCTTCCGGATGTCCTCGCCGATGTTGGTACCTCCGATACAAGCGTGGCATTGAACGTTCATGTAATCACCGAGGGCCATAATAACGGACTGAATTTGGGTGGCAAGTTCGCGGGTGGGAGACAGGACGAGCGCTTGACTCTCACGCACAACGGTATCGATAACCTGGAGGATACTGATGGAGAATGTAGCGGTTTTACCAGTACCAGACTGGGCCTGGGCGATGGTGTCGCGACCTTTGCAGATCTGCACGATGGCACGCGATTGCACAGCCGAAGGAGACTCGTATCCGTATGCGTAGACTCCGCGCAGAAGACTCTCCTTCAAATGCATGTCTTCAAAGGTCGGAGCAACCGTGACCTCCTTGGAGGTGTTGAACTCCATCCGGTCTGAATTTGCGCCTGTTAGTATACAAGTATTTCAAGGGAAATCGATTTCATGCATACCATCGGCCCGTCTGTCAATGCCGTCCGCCATTTTGAATTCACTGATCCCGCTATAAGTAGTGAAAGAAGAGTGTCGATTCGCGCGATAGTGCTGGCCCCTCTAGTTAAAGTGCGGACTTCGATCAGCTTCTCGCGCGACTTTTCCTGGAGCGCCACCGCCCGCATCACGTGATAGATACTCGCCGCAAAGCTCTCATGGCCAGCGACGATTTGCCCATATCAGCCCGGAGAGCTGGACAATCACATCTTTCATCAGGAACGGTCGCTGCTCGGCCTGTACATTCACCATGATCATCGAAGACCAAAGATTCATCCATGAGGATATCGAGAGACTAGAACAGGCGGTTGCGGATCGCGTGGCCGAGGAACCTCGTAATGTACGTTACTTCTCTTCAATTTCCACCCCGTTATAATTCCAAGCTAACCAACTATCCATCATTGAAGATTCGGGATCGCCTGGCTCGCGACCACGAGATAGCCCAGTTTCTGAACCGTATAGACGAACAATCGAGAAGACTACTAGAGATTTACAAAGATGCGGACGGGGCCCGAGAGAAGGAAATCCAGGCGATCTCGACCGGCGACCAATTCGAGGAATTCTACAAACAACTAGATGAAATCAAAAATTTTCACAAGCGCTATCCCAATGAGCCCGTGGAGAACCTCGAGCGAGCATACAAGCGCCGCGAAGGCGAGCCGATTGGAATCGACATCGATAACATGTTTACGGGTGAAGAAGGGTTCGGCCAATTCCTGGACCTGACAAAATTGCATGAAGATTATCTGAACCTTCCTGGTGTTAAGAGGTTAACGTATGTGCAATACCTCGAGGTCTTTGATTCCTTTACACCCCCGCAGCTTCTTATTAAGCGGTCCAATAAGCTGTCCGATACGTACTTCCAGTATGTTGGGGACCTGGCAGAATATTTGGAGGGATTCATCAAGAAGATTAGACCGTTGCAGGACCTAGATAAGCTTTTTGGTAGCTTTAATGAGGAATTTGAGAAGCAGTGGGCGGCGAAAGAGGTCCCTGGGTGGTCGGAAGAGACGGCCCAGAATGGTCCTCAGGGTCCCAAGACTGAAGGAACTGGGGAGGGTATCTGGTGCGCTGATTGCGAAAAGGAATTCAAGAACGAGAACGTGTACAAGAATCACTTGACAGGCAAGAAACATATCCGGGCCGCCGAGGCGAGAAAGGCTGCCGGGGGTTCTGGCGAGAAGCCAGCAACATCGAATGGTGCTTCTGGTGTGGCTCATCGCCTCAAGGAACGTGCTGTGGCGGAGCGTGAGCACCGTGTTCGGTCTTTGGCTAAGGTGTTGGATGCTGAGCGTCAAGCAACGCGGATCAACGTTGAGCGTAAGCAGGGCATGACCGAAAGAGAACGCCAGATGGAGCTCGAGGCACTACTAGCAGAATCTGAGAACACTGGCGGCGACCGTGGGGGTGATCAGTCTGATGACGATGACGAGGACCGGATCTACAACCCGCTTAAGCTACCACTTGCCTGGGATGGAAAGCCTATTCCCTACTGGCTGTACAAACTCCACGGGCTGGGTGTTGAGTACCCCTGTGAGATTTGTGGTAACTTCGTGTACATGGGCCGCCGTGCCTTCGATAAGCACTTTTCGGAAGGCTTGCATATCTGGGGTCTGAAGTGCTTGGGTATCACATCGAATACGAACCTCTTCCGCGAGATTACCAGGATCGATGACGCACTTCGGCTGTGGGAAAAGCTTGAGCATGACCGCAAGAAGGACAAAGACAGCCGCGACAATGTGGTACAGATGGAGGACGCAGAGGGCAACGTGATGCCAGAAAGGATCTACTTGGAGTATGTTTCTCCGTTCTTATACTATGCGAAGTTCACAATATGCTAACATATATCAGTCTTCAAAAGCAAGGAATCCTCTAGCCGCTGCTTTCCATCTGCGCATTACGTGTATTCTCCTATATCCACATATCTCACGTTTAAAAGCCCGGAGTTTGACGGTTGTTTTCTTCATTTCCGTAGGGTCTCATACCATTGGGTTGTCTGGCTTGGAATAATAACTATATCAGTGCACGGCCCTCATATACCTCATGTATTCTACATAAGAGTTTGCCATCATTTACAAGAGAAGACTATTACAGTTCCCTCCTTACATTCCGTAGATTTGGTTCAATATCAATGGTTTTCTAGTGCCGATCACGTGCTTTCGCGATCCATGGACACGACCCCCGTAATTTCCCTGAGATTTCGCGTCAAAGTCCATCACTCTGCTTGCATGGTAACTCGAGCGTTAATGTCCTAAATATACACTCTCTTGGTTAGGTATGACACTACAGTTTTGGATAGGTGGTCTAAAATTGTGTAATCTGTGTCCTAGGGCTTATCGGTGTCTTGAACACTTCGGCCTACTAGAACAGACATAGATGGGCTTCAAATTTTCCCATTTATGTGACCTACTTTCGTCTCTTGAGAATAACAAGATTTTGAAGGCCACTACTGAAGCAAGGAACCATGACCCAGACGTCCGGACCCTAACTCACTGGTTCCAGCAACATGGCAAGCGGCTCCGCGATAAAGACACGGACCAATTGGCCGTTCTCTCGTGCATGTTCCCCGAAAAGCGAGTAGACAGGGTCTACTGGTTAAAGGACACCTCGCTGGCAAGAGTAATAGGCCGATGTCTTCTTCTCGGGTCGTCTCGGCGCGAAGAGCTCGACCGGTGGCGCGCTTCCGGGGGCATAGACCTAGCACAATGTGTGGAGAACGTCATGCGACAGGCGGAGAACCACATTCTCGAAGGTCAGGAAGTCACTGTGGAGGAGATCGACGCTGTGCTGAATAGAGTTGCGTCTCGGTGTAGGTTTTCTGGGCCTCGGTTGCGCAGACAGAGGGCGGCGGTTGATGTGGATGAGGCGCTGTCTCCTCTATATCGACGCCTGCATAGCAGAGACGCGAAGTGGCTAACTCGGATGATCCTCAAAAGCTATTCTCCTGTTGTTCTACCGCTGAATTTGACGCTAAGGAGCTTTCATTTCTTGCTTCCCCATCTTCTCCTTTTTCAGGATTCTTTTGAAGCCATGGTAAATATGCTGGCGGCTGAGCCAATCAGTCATTTCCCGCCACACCCGGAACCTGGTCTTGCTAGGGACTTGGGGATCATAGCTATGCAACATTTGAGCCCGGTGGTTGGGGTTAAGATCGGACGGCCTGATTATTATAAGGCTCGGAGTATCAAACATTGTTGCCAGATGATCGGCCGCCGTCGCATGAGTATGGAGAGGAAGTACGATGGTGAATATTGCCAGATACATATTGATCTCTCGAAGCATTCTAGTTCTATTCGAATATTCTCTAAAAGTGGTAAGGATTCTACTGCAGATAGGTCAGGGGTCCATCAGGTTATCAGAGATTCGTTGAGAATTGGAAAGCCTGGCTGCAAGTTCTCTCGTCGGTGTATCCTCGAAGGTGAACTATTAGTATGGAGCGACCGACATGGTAAAATCATGGACTTTCACAAGCTACGCAAATTCATAACACGGTCTGGCACGTTCATCGGAACGGAGGGTGATTCTCCGTGAGTTATCAAGTCAAGCCACCTAGAACGATGTATTCTGACTTGACTTAGGCCACAGCTTTATGAGCATTTAATGATTGTGTTTTTTGATATTCTACTCCTTGACGATGATGTCTGTTTGAGAAAACCGCACCGAGAGCGACGGTTACTATTGAAAGACGTGATACAAGTAATTGCAGGTCGTGCTGACATTTCCGAGCAACGGGTGCTAGACTTCTGTCGGCCTGGGAGCCAGTCGCAGCTAGAAAGTATTTTCGCTAAGGGCGTCGCTGAGCGATGGGAAGGGTTTGTCTTAAAAGGTTGTGAAGAGCCTTATTTTACCACCTTTCCCAGCCGAGAAAATGGCTCCTATGGCCGCTGGATCAAACTGAAGAAAGATTATATCCCTGGTCTGGGAGATACAGTAGACCTTGCGATCATTGGCGGACGGTATGATTCTCGCGACGCTGTTGGGCTGAAACAGATCAACAAGCTATCATGGACGCATTTCTTCATTGGGTGCCTCGTCAATAAAGACGCCGTTCTGCAGTCAGGTTCTAAACCCAAGTTTCGGGCAGTCGATTTAATCAACCATCATTGCATGAGTGTGAAGAATATGCAGATTCTCAATCAGTTCGGGGAGTACAGCGCCTGCGGTATAGATTCAGGCCATGGCTTCGATATAGAGTATGGGGCGAACAATTTGCCACGTATAGATGCTGTTTTCAAGACTCCATTCGTCGTCGAGATGCTGGGTAGCGGGTTTGAGAAACCATCCGGCGCCAGATATTATACGCTTCGTTTCCCGAGAATCTTGAAGATCCACTGGGATAGATCATTTGAGGATGCAGCATCATTTAAAGAGCTGCAACTTCTAGCCGAAGATGCCCGATCAATGCCATCAGATGAATTATTAGAAGAAAACGAGTGGAACAAACGCCTGAAGCTGGGGAACGGCTCATCGGAGTATATCATCAACCGATCACAGAGCTTGACGAGTTCTTCAGGACTGACACAAAGCCCGGTAAAAGGGCACATATTAAATGGAGCTACGCAGCCTGCTGTTGACGGGACATCTATCCAGAACTATTCCAGCAGTCCCGTTAAGGAAGACAGCGAAGGACCGCCCGCACTCGCACGTCCTATTCCTATTTACGTGGACGAAACGATAGTATCAATATCGTCTGATAACTCGGACATCCACGGCAACTTTCTAACCACGAATGACAACCTCTCGTCGCACCAAATCTCCTATCAAAAGAACAATGTTTCTTCCACTGATTCCGTGAAACAAAAGAATAGCAAACCATCCGACGAGTCCGAGAACAGCAACGCATCAACCTACTCAAACATGTCATCTACACAAACCAATTTCCCCTCTACACAAGACTTAAAAGCCCTCAAAGAGCATGCTGACATCTTGACCTGTTCATCAAGAATCAATAATCCACCACCACAAAAGCCCCTAAACCCCATCAAATCTCTCCACATGACCCTCCCCATCCACATCATACAAAGCAACCCACCGACCTCACAAATCCCCAAAATCAACCTTCCCCTAACCTACATACCAAATATGAACACCTTCCTCAAATCACTCACGTCAAACTTTCACAAACCTCACCTAAAAAGCACACCAGCCCTAGGCCTTCTCCTCTTAAAGCCCATTGAAACACCTCTAGGCCCGACTCTCCTTGACCTAACCACCGCTCTTTACAAAAGACTCCAACCCTATTCCAGCAACAGTCCAACAAGTGGAAAGATCTTCCTCCTGGATTCTTCCTTCCTAGATCATGGAACGGTTATAACTGATCCTAGACTTTCTCATCGAACAAGGTGGGAGGAGATCGGGAGGAAGCACTTCTATGCTTCTGTTTCTTGGGGTTCGAAGGGGAGAATCGATGAGATTCCCTGTACGCCTTCGGACGGGGGCTACAAGGGGAGTCTCGACTTGGGACCTAGGGTTTCTATTGAGTTCGACAGGGGTGCATTGGGCATTATGGAATTGAATGGACCTTTGAGAGTGGTATGAGACAGTATGATTTGGAGGTGTTATAACGCTGTTTATTACCTAATTGTGTAAAAAGCTTTGTCAGAAGAGCTAACGGCTTCTATCTGTTGCTTATACGCTGTACTGATATTTGCAATAAATAACCATAGTAAATCCCTATATAATGCCGACACCTAGCCGCAGAATGCAAACGTCAAGTTGTAAGCACGCCCAGCACAAACGCCTCGCTACCATATTGTAAGAATGAAATCAATCCGCCCCTGGTGAACCTTAATAATGCAAAATGGACTATCTGGATAAAGTTATTTATTCATCGCCTTCCCTTCTAGCTCTTACATCTCTCATCAATGCCTTCGCCTCCTCAACCTCTACTCCATCCTGACATAATTCACCCGCCAGCTGATCCGCGCGTTCGAGATCACCGTTTCGTAAAGCCCATCGCGCGAGCCACAATCGCGCTTTGGAGGTGGTGACTGTAGGTCCTGTTCCATGCCAGGAGTCGTCCTCGTTGTCATTCTGGTTGAACGAGGAGGATTGGCGGGCTCGGCGGGAGGGTTGTTTTGTCCCGGCTTCGGATTGGTCGTCGTCGTTTTCGTTGTCGGAGGTATCTTCTACAGGCATCTGGCCTGATTCTTGCTGCAGGGTGAGTTCCATGTAGCTGGCTGCTTCTTCGTCATCGCCGAGGCGTTCGTAGAGGGTTGCGATTTGGTGGAGGGTTTCTGGGTCGAGGATCTTCCGGCCGGAGCCTCCCATAAGGGATGGATCTTCGGCGTAGTAGGAGCCAGCCACGAGAGCGCGTTTGAGAGCTTTGATACTTTGCGGCACACGGCCCATTTTAGCATAGCAGGATCCGACGGCTTGCCACATTTTCGGGTCGTAAGGTCGTAACGCGGCGGCACGTTGGTAATAGAATAAAGCGTAGAAAGACATGTCGAGGACTTCGTATGCCTGGCCTAGACCGTACCAGGCACGGTAGTCTTTGCGGTTGACGTCAACAGCGCGGCGATATGATTCAATCGCCGCATGCGTGTTCTTCATCTCGATATATTCGTGGCCCATCAGAGTCCAGGCGGAGAGGAAGTTGCGATCTAGTGTTAGGGCTCGACGAAAGTACATCACTGCCTTCTCATGTTCAGATTTAAGTGAGTAGTAGTTCCCGACGACACAACAGGTTTCAGGTCGGAACTTGTCGGTTGCTGTTGCAACTTGTGCGACGAAGGCTAGCTGGGGACGCGCGCCCATCACGTATAGTATATTAGAGTAATGATCGAGGCTGTCAAGACGATGAGGGGACGTAATCAGTATCTCGGTGAATATACGTGATGCCTCTTCAAAATCTTTCAGACGGTTAGCATTGTACCTGTGTGCCAGAGTAATAGGCTATTATATACCTTTGGAGTGATAATAGAGGAGGGCTCTTTGGGTCATGAGAAACGCGCTGTTGGGGAATATTGTTTCCAGCTCCGACAGAGCCTGGTAGGTGTCTTCAGTAGCTTGATATAGTTCCTGGCTACAGTATACATGGAATAGGAGTGTCATAATATTTTGAGGGAGAAGATCGACGACTTGTTTCAGCTGTGTAACCATTAGTAACCGGCGAACATCAACGCGCCTGGAGGGAAAGATACATACATCCTCTGTACTCGAAAGAAGATCGTTCAATTCCTGCCAGGAGCCCCAATGAAATGGGTTCAAGTGAACGCTCCTTATGAGCCACTTCTTCGCCTCCTCCTCGTTTCGGCCTTTGAGTAGAATAACTCCGTAGAGATATTCTAACCAACCCTGATTGCGCTCTTCGAATCCTTTCTCTCGACGCTCGGTCAGCCAGCCCTCTAGGCCCCGCGCAAGGTCCGGCAGTTCTCGATTGACCGCTGCGCCCCCGTCGGCTGGTCCCAGGACCATCTCGGTCTCCTCATCCTTCCGCTTTTCTCCCGCTAGGTACTTGGCGTACAGTGCAAGAAATAATGACTTCTGGCTCAACTTGGGATAGGGGTTCCGGCACACACTGCTATCCTTCCCTCCGACGTTCTGGGACGCCTTCGATTTACCCTTCTGCGGGGTTAACGATTGTCTCTTCTTTTGATTCGGCGACGACGTGGAAAGCGCAACGGGAGATATGGTCGGAGGCAGGAAGACGGCTGCGCAGCGATCGTACTCGCGCGTATCGAAATATGACTTTGCTAGGAGGTATTTATAGGACTCTTGGGCTTCAAGGGACGCTTCGACGGGATCTTGGGTTTGGAGGTAGGGGTTTGGACGAGTCGAGGTCGTTTCAGGCACGTCCATTGGGGATTCGGGGTCGGTGTCATATTGGTCCAGTGGCACAATGGCATCTAGCATCTCTGCCGCCCTATTCTGTTCGATCAACATTATACTTCTTTAAGCGACGAAGGTAGGTCCGCATATGGTACCATTTGGCAGATTGGTATAAACAGCGCTCGGAGCATTTTATGGCGGCATCCTCAAGCCGGAACTTGAGCTCCTGTATGTTCTCTTCGGTAATCTGCGCCGTCATCGCGACCAGAGCAATGCTCGAGTGGAGTTTCTGCAGATTGTCGTAGCTCTGGAGGAGAGGTTGGCTGGTGTGGGCGTCGTCGATTGCGGCAGTTCGCGCCAATCAAGTCCATGCGCGATTGTTTGTATTGTCGGAGCTTCCGCGAAACAGGATAAATTGCTCTCGTCTTTTCCCCTTTTTTTTCTGGCCGAGACAACCGAAGAGCCCAACCCCACACGACAAGCCAAAGAAGGCGTTGAAGTACAAATGAATCCTACCAGGCGGGTCCAAAGGAATAGAGGTCAGAAAGATGTCAGAGATGTGCCTGGTGTACAAGGGTAGGCCGATTTCTTAGCCGATTTCCTGATTGGGGGAAATCGGTCGGGCAAACAGCGCAAACAAAAACTCAACTGGCGGGGCTTGCAAGAAGTATATTGTACTCCGGTCTCACTCCCCCTTCATGATACCTTCCCCTCACCTTTCCCCCTCTCAATTAACATTATACCTCAGTTTGATTCTTTTCAAACAATGCCTGCCACTGAACGTGCCGCTTTCCAGGAGGTTTTCTCTACCTTGGCCGAGGACCTCCTGGCCTATGCGAAGACCTCCAACTTGCCGGAAAATGCTATGCAGTGGTTTGAGAAGGTATATCCCTAGACAAATTGCCCAATTTCTTGCGGCTGAAATGTACTCATTATTCTTTGCTCCGTATAACAGGCCCTCAATGTCAACGTCCCCGGCGGAAAGCTTAACCGCGGTCTCTCCTGCCCAGATACCGGCCTGGCTCTCCTCGGGAAGCCCCTGACCGACGAGCAGTTCAAGCACCTCAGCATCTTGGGATGGCTCACCGAACTTCTCCAGGCGTTTTTCTTGGTCAGTGACGATATCATGGATGGCTCCATCACCCGTCGCGGTCAGCCATGCTGGTACCGTCAGGAGCGGGTCGGCCTCATCGCGATCAACGATGCCTTCCTGCTCGAGTCCTCCATCTATGTCATTCTCAAGAAGTATTTCCGCTCGCACCCTGCCTACGTCGACATCATCGAACTATTCCACGAGACTACCTGGCAGACGGAGTTAGGTCAGCTGTGCGATCTGATCACCGCCCCCGAGGACCAGGTCGACCTCAACAACTTCTCCATGGAGAAGTACATGTTCATCGTCACCTACAAGACCGCCTACTACAGCTTCTACCTGCCCGTTGCTCTGGCTCTGCTCTACCTCCAGCGCGCCACCCCCAGCAACCTCCGCCAGGCCCACGACATCCTTATCCCTCTGGGCCAGTACTTCCAGGTTCAGGATGACTACCTCGATGCCTATGGTGACCCCGAGTTCATTGGCAAGATCGGCACCGATATCAAGGATAATAAGTGCTCATGGCTCATTAACCAGGCCCTTCAGCGTTGCAACGCCGAGCAGCGTCAGCTCCTCGACGAGGCCTACGGCCGTAAGGACGACGTTCTGGAGGCTAAGGTCAAGGCCCTCTTCAAGGAGCTGGATCTCGAGAAGGTCTACCACGAGTACGAGGAGAAGATCGTCGGAGAGTTGAAGGCCAAGATTGCCGCCATCAACGAGTCCGAGGGACTGAAGAAGGAAGTCTTCGTGTCCTTCCTGAACAAGATCTACAAGCGCTCCAAGTAAAGCCGTGTGCGGTCGATTGTCATTTTCTGGGCGAATTAGAAGAACGATACCCCTTCTATATCCTGTAATTACACGCATTTTGCCACACCATAGATTAGCGGGTTAAAGAGCTGAGGAATACCTATTAATGACAATGGCTCACTCTTGCATGATCCAAAAACTAAAGTAGTACACATTGTTCTGGGAGCCTCGCCGGGTCTGACAAGCGTGATACAGCATGAATGCTGAAGCTCGTGTACTGCAGATCCGTATTACCCATACTGACAAAATCTAGTAAAAGCCTTTGCAGATATATTATCTAGATCCGAGGATGTCCTTGTAAAAGAGAGAATGTGGGACTTTAGCCCTAAAAAGGAATTCGCAAACATGGCAACACGTGAGGACATTCGAGGTCTCTTATCAGAATCAGACTCGGACTTGAGATCCACGACCCGGCTAGATCCAACCCACGAATAAGTGGACTTCGCGAACTGACGTATACAATCCTTACTGAAGTGGTCAACTGTAATCGCATCAATCCATTGTCAAACAAACTCGGACAATATTCAGCACTGAGACTATTCTCCACTCTAAAATTCTCCTGCCAAGCCACTCCCTCACACTTGGGAACCGAGCACAGATCCCACCCCGTCAAAGGCAATAAGGGGTTGCGCATCGCATTCACGTTGTCCACCACATCCTTGACAAGTGGAGAAGCAGATATGAAGAGTGTCAACGATTGGCAACCCGATCGCCAGCCGTTCGTCACCCTCGTGAAAACCCGGGGCGCTAACGGTGGATCGAACGGAAAAGCCGACAGCACAACTGCCAGTTCAATTAGGGTTGTCGTAGCACTTCCCCACCGGAAAATTAGACTATTCGACGCATATATGAAAGAAAATCGGTCTGCCGATTCAGCTGACGAATCCCTTTTTTGGGTCTTGACAATGGGGCTACTCTTTCTTATTTCAAATTGGAATTGCTGCCCTTTATAATTCTTCGGGCAGTTCTCTGCTGATGTTGTCTGTGGATGACAATAACCTAGGCGCTTTGTTCGTCGTCGTTCGATGATGATGATGATGTCGACGCTAGATGGGCTACTGATTCTTCTAGGGCTTGTCCTTGTCAGTGTAAAGGCTGACTATGGCCCTTATTTCCAGTCTGCGGATTATGACGAGGGGAAATTCGGTGAATGGCCCACAGAAACGTATCGGTCTTCGCCGATTGTTGGCCCGTCGCTGAATTATCTGCAGTATAGCGACGAGTGTAAGGATGGACTTTACACTTTTATCGCGCCCCGAGGGAATAAAGTAGCCAACCCGGGGCCAATGATCCTCGACCAGAACGGACATCTTGTTTGGACAAAGCACTATGGCCAGACGTATAATCTGAACGTCTACACGTTCAAGGGCCAGCAGTATCTGACGTTCTGGGTGGGGGACGACGGCGTGCGCGGACATGGCGAGGGAGCGTACTATATGGTAAGGCATATCATCCCTTTTCCCCGTATACATACCCTACCATACTATATATCACCGTTCTAAACCAACCTCAAAGCTAGACTCGTCTTACCGAGAAGCCTACAAAATCAACGCAGCAAACCGCCTCCGGGGTGACCTGCACGAATTCCACATCACCCAAGACGACACAGCCCTGATCACCATCTACGACGTGATCCCCGCAGATCTCACCCCCGTCTCAGGCCTCGAAGAAGGCTGGATCTACGACGGCACCTTCCAAGAACTCGACATCGAATCCGGCAAACTCCTCTTCCAATGGCGCGCCTCTGACCACTTCAACTTCACCGACATGTACCGCCCCCGCGAGAACGGCGACTCAACCCGCTACCCATGGGACTTCTTTCACATTAACAGCGTCGACAAAGACGCCCGCGGCAACTACCTAATCTCGTCCCGCTATGCCAGCACCTTAGCCTACATCGACGGCTGCACCGGCTCCATTCTCTGGCACCTCGGCGGCAAGAACAACAACTTCCAAGATCTCTCCCACGGCGCCGCCACAAACTTCTCCTGGCAACACCACGCCCGCTTCCACACCAACGGCTCTGCAATCACCCTCTTCGACAACGCCTCCCGCGGTGACCCACCCGCCACCAACCCCCAATCCCCCTCCCGCGCCCTCTACCTCTCCCTCGACTACGAATCCATGACCGTCAACCTCACCCACCAGTACCTCAACCCCGAATCCCCCACCTCCCAATCCCAAGGCTCCGTCCAACTCCTGCCCCCCACCCCCAAGTCCCCCACCCCCAAGGTCCTAGTCGGATACGGCCACATCCCAACCTGGACCGAATACTCCCTCTCCGGCCAGGTCCTCTGCAACACGCACTTCGGCGCCGCCTCCGGAGACGGAAATGTCATGTCCTACCGCGTCCTCAAATACCCCTGGTCTGCCTCCCCGCTCACATCCCCCGATATAGCGGTGTACCGGTACACAGCCGCCGTGAGCTGGAACGGCGCCACGGAGATCGCCACCTGGGCGCTGGAGGGTGGGGATTCCCCTCGTGCCAAGTCGTATGCCTTTGTAGCCGCGACGCCGAAGATGGGGTTTGAGACGGTGGTTGATATTCCCGCTGATGCGACGGTGAGGTATATCCGGGCGGTGGGGTTGAATTCCACGGGGCATGTGCTGGGGAGGTCGAAATTGGTGAGGTGGGATCCTGGGTCTGAGGAGGCGGTTGTGGGGAGGCACGATGAGGTTGAACCGGGGCCTGGGGTAAGGGAGCTCTGGTTGTTTTTTGGGGCGTTTGTGTTGGTTTTGGGGGTTGCGGGTGGGGTCTGGATTGTTTATCGGCGCTGTGGGTTGTGTAGAGGGGAGGATAGGGAGAGGGGCGCTTGGCAGCCCTTGGATCGGTTTAATGGGGATGAGGATTTGAGTGAGGGGGAGATGGATGAGGTGGAGTTTGCGCTTTTGGGGGAGGAGAGGGGGAGGATTTGGCACGAGGATGGTGATGGTGAGGAGGATGAGCGGACGATGGAAGGGGAAGGAGAGGGAGGTTTGATTGGGTAGGCGAATTTCTTTCTTTCTTTCCTTTATTTAGTACCTTTAAGTATCACTGTATATAATCTTTAATTCGTTGTATATAGACTTGGGGTTTGGCGACAGAGATGTTTACCTTCGCCAGTACTATGTATAACACGATGATACCAAGCCAAAAACTACGTGAAGCTAAGTATGAGCTAGTAGACTACCAATGGTACAACGGACATTATCTTATTGCCGATTGGAGCAGATTGCAGCATGCGTCGCCGGTCTTACTGTTTACCTGGACAGATTACGGTATACTCTACAAGCACGCTGCAAGCATCCCAAAGCAGCATCAAAAGAGATATACTTGATGAGACTTTCGGCTTGCATTGGATCGTATGACTAGTAGCAGATAAACTATCCATTCAAGACTGAACCCGAACCACCTAGGCGGTCGAGGCCACCTGCAGACGCTTGAAGCCACCTTCAGCAGCAACCTGCTTCTGCAGCTCCGCCATCCGCTTCTGGTCACCCAGAGGGTCGGTCGAATCCGCATCCAATGTCCAGGAGAGGTACTGGTTGGTATAGTTGGGCTGGAAGTCGGGGTCGAGGATAGCCAGACGCTTGCCGTAGTTGGTGACCTTAGCCCAGTCACGAGTGACGTTCTTCAGGTCACGGCTGAAGTAGGCAAAGGAGCGCTCGAAGATCTTACGGTTGACGGGGGTACCCATGATGGGCTTCATGTCAACGTATTCCTCGAACGCCTTGGCGGGCTCCGCGAGGACGTAGTCGGTTGCACGCTTGACAGCATTCATGAACTTCTGAACCTTCTCGGGGTTGGCAGCCAGGAAGGCGTCGTTGGCAATGTAGAGAATGGAGCAGAAGCAGCAGCAGCCGAGCTCAGCGAGCTGGTCGATGCGAAGCATCTGAACGTCGTCACGGGGGCGGCCCTGGCTTGCCAGCCACTCAGCCAGCTCAACCATCTGCACGTTCTCGAGACCAATGCCGGCATCGATGTCGCCGCGAATGATGGCCTTGGTAACGTTCATGCCGCAGCGGACGGCGGTGTAGTCATCCGCGGTCATGCCGTAGTACTTGGTGAGCTCGTCGATTTGAATCTATAGAATATTAATCTTAGTTTTTTCGACAATAGAACAAATGATGCATACCTTGCCAAACTCTCCAACGTAGCCAATTCTCTTGCCCTTCAAGGAGCGGAAGTCCTCGGTGATTCCGCTGCCCTTAAGGTAGACAACTCCGGTGAAAGGCTCGTCGAGAAGAGAGCCAATCGAGGTGACGGGGAAGTTACGAGCCTTGGCCTGGCATGGGAGTTAAGACACTTTCGTGCGGAAAACGCTAGGTGGGGATGATGCATACAGCCAGAGTGTGAATCATGGCCTTGAAGCCCATGTCGACCTTGCCGCTGCCAATGATCTCGGTGACATCGGAGGGGTCATTGGGCTCCAGCAGAGCAACCTTGAGGCCTTCTTCCTTGAAGTAGCCCTTGCTCTGGGCGAGGTACAGGGGGGCGTGGTACGGGGTCGCGTGCCTTTATAACACACAAAACCTTAGTAACAGTTCTAGATTATGACAAGGAAGTAAGAAAAAAAACACCAATGGCATTTCATACCAGTTGGTGAGGAAGGTAATCTTGTCAGTAGACATCTTGGCACAAATTTAAGTCAAGAGCTCTGAAACTTGTTAGTAACGAGGGAGGGGAGTCCCTCTTCTCTGTGACAAATAAAGGGGAGCAATCAGTGCCACGCATGTCCTTTCGCTAGTATTATCTAGATCAAGTTATGACAGTATAATCTCAGAACGACCAGACCCTGCCCCGTACACCTAGTACATATCCACCCAGCATCAGCCCCTCGTGTCCAGTCTTCTTCGAGGGGATGCCCTTTTCAGAGACCTAGACACGCAGGGATAGCATATATGGTAGATGAGTAGCTAGGGAACCAGAACAGGAGTCCAAGCCGAACACCTGTCATGCGCAAGCTATGACTGATATACAATGTACGATACCTTGACCCGAGGGGTTACCCCATAGCGAAAAGACCCAGAAGGTCATCCTGGCTGCGCGGCCTCATGGTGAGCCGTACCGAGCGGATTGCAGCGTTAATTGAGAAGGAATTGAAGGAATTTAGGATGAGAATTGGGGTTGAGAGAAGAGAAGGAGGAAACTGAAGAGTGGGGAGGAGTCGTCGATGAATAAATAATACGGCCAAGTCACATGTATTCTCCCCCACCTATAATTACTCAGACTTAAGAATACCAGTAGTAAGTATGGAAACTCACCGGAACCCTGAAGACGAAAACCGTCTTTGGCCCCATTGGATACTCGATTCTTCCTCGACTAAATCCAGTAACCACTTCATCTTCTTTTAACTGTTCCCCCCCTCCCCCCCCTCTTCTACTTGGACTTCCGAACAATTCCCACATAGCCGATAAAATGAAATTGGGAGGACCAAGTGGAATGGCCCTTAATGGCTCTTAATTACCCTTTGTTTAACCTCTTTTTGTACACGATGATATGTCTTTTCTCTGGAAGACCGTGGTCCGGTCAATCCTGAAGGGGCCCGGATCAGCCTATGGCCCTTCGTGTTGAAGTGGGACTGTTTAGTACTATCGATCAACCCCTCACTAAACTAGTTTCTCAACACAACTTCTTTTGATATGATGTCAGGCAATTGCGTAAGAACATCAGGCAATGAATTTATCCCCAATAGACACAGATGAGTGAAAGGCTCACAAGGAAAATGCGAGGGTAGAATGAACGGTAAATGCGTAAAAAAAAAATATATATCCAGGGAGACTTAACAGTCCACGTCCTGGAAACGGTCGGTGTATTTCTCTCCAAACAATATCGGTAGAGCATGCAATAGAAGTAAGAAAGACAATTGTAGAAAAGCTATGGCACATAAACACACAAGAAAATGGCACCAACATCACTTCTCCGAACGGAACGCGTGGCTGCCGATATGGTACACAGCCGTCAATCAATTACTGCCATTTACGGAGACCTGGTCGAGGGGCGACGCGGGTCGATCGGATGCCTTTTTCGTCCGTAAAGTAAGTGGGAAAAAATGGTCGTCGGGTTCATCGTCCTCGGTTGTGCCACTTTGATAGCCCAGTTAGGAATTCACCCAAGGAGTCCGGTATGGTCCAGGAAAACACTTACGGTAGGCGCCATGCAACATAATCCTCCGTACTCAGGCCTTCCTTGACTTCCTGCAGGGACGCGAAATCGCCGGGGGTCATCATCCCCGACCGATCCCTAGGCGAACCAGGGACGGACAACGGACGGGAGAGCTTCTGTTCAGTTCCTCCGATGATATCAAAGAAGTCTTCATCGCTGCCGAATGAAGACGGGTACGCTGTAGGTAGTCCAGTCGGTTAGTGAGATCTTTTTTCATTTCCACAAAAGGTACGAGAATAGTGACGAAAGAGAGCATACCTCTCCGGAGAGCCAGCTGTCGAGCTTTGACATACTCCAAGCCCATCCGTTTCCAGTCCAACAGATCACTCAGGCGCTCCGTGCGATTACGCTGGTTGATCCGTTGGCGGCGGCTCTTCAAGGCGAAGTTGAACATGAAGTCCGTCAGTTGATTAACGGAATCGTCAACGCCTTTCATGCGGCGATCTACTATATAAATACCGTAGTCGGACGAGTTCTCGATCAGCTCCTCCATGTAGCAACCAAAGCCGGACAGGTTGGTGGTGATACTGGGCACCCCCATCACGGTGCATTCAGCGGGTGTGTAACCCCACGGCTCATAGTACGATGGGAAGACTCCAAGATGAGTGCCCCGGACGAAGTCATCGTAATCCAATGGCAACACAGGGTTGGAAGAGTTGAGGAATTCCGGGTGAAAGACAACCTTAACGCGGTCCGTCGGATCGTTGAAGAGATGCACACGGCGAATCTGGTTCAAAATTGGATCTTCCGAGTCATTGGCCATGTTATGAGTGACAATTGGGGGAAGGGAGTGCCTCTTCATGGCGAACAGTCTACGTCGCAACAGTACGCGATCTTGACTGGCCATGAGGTCCTTCTCATCTGGCATGTTGTCGCCTTCCTTCCATGCGAGACAGCGCTCATACATTCGCTTCCCGATGCCTTTCTCGATCATCTCGATTGTGTCCCTTAGAGACTTCACGACAGCCTGTCCCTTGAGGGATTCAACCGTCAGAGACGTGGTCTGAGCCGGCATGATAATGAAAGCGACCACTGTGGTTTTGGACCCGTTGGCTTTGAGGCGATGGTTCAAACGAGCCAGGCTTTCGATGAACATATCGACTCCCTTATTACGGAATTCGTAGCGTCCCGCTGTGAAAAGGTATAGGGTGTTGTCCAAGTCGAAGTCGTTATGACCGTAGAAATGGCCCCGAACGAAGTCATTAATCTTCTCCTTGGACTGCGAGTGTAGATTCTGGAACTCATGCACCGCAGAAAACTTTTTAACATTGAGCCCATTCGGTAGCACCCCGTCCGGCTTCCTCTTCAGAAGATGCTCACTTTCGAATGCCGTAATATGGGAGACGGTAGTGAAAACATCTGCCGTGTGTGCCGCGGCTCGCTCGATACAGTACCGGTGGTAGATTCCACGCTTCCCAGCCTCTGCGTCCACGTCAAAGTGCTGGAGGTGGTTGTAGAAATCTACCGACCCTGCACAAAGGTAGCGACCGAGTAACGTTGCATGAGTGGTGAAGATTGTTGTCAGGTCCATATGCCGCTTCTTGGTCAAGGGAAGGGCTACCCCCGCAAGCCATTCATGGAAATGGGCAACCACGGCAACCCGTCTTTCATGGGCGATGAACTAATTCCTCGCGTTAGTGTAGCTCGCATCCAATGATGATATGGCCGGATTGAACTTACTTCACCAAGGAACCATGCTACCAGGTACCCGAACACAATCGCTTCGTTGGTTTCCGAATCCGCAGCCGGGGACGGGATTCCCGCTGTATTCCACAAGTCTCCTTTCCACTCATCCAGGTACTTGTATCCGGTTCCTGTGTCAATCAAGAGTACCCGGGGAGCACCTTCAATGAGCCAGCGACCGTAGATTACCTCGATGCCACGCTCCTTCATCGACTTGATCGTATCGATCATGCGGGGATTCGACGGCGTCAGTTCTTCAACCTCCACCGCGGCAGAAGCACGATTCAAGGGACCGATCAGAGTGTATCGCTCGCCATATTCGGCAGTCGTTACGGGAGCTTTGGACTTGAGGACGGAGTAGATACCCCCGACTCGGTTGGCCACTTCCGTCGCAACCTCGAACAGCATATGGTTGCGAACATCCCTCTTGGGGGGTTCAGCGCCCGTCTCCTCACTGGCCATGATAATTACCCAGCAGGCGCTAATCGAATGAGCCAAAAGTGTAAGCAATTGAGAGAGACTGAGAGAAGACCAGCTTGAGTAGAAAGATGAGGAACAGTAGAGGTTGGACGAATGGAGGAAGGTAGAGGAGACAGTACGAGCTTAAGCTCACCCACCAAGTTTCCTTTTACCGGTCTTTATCCTTGTCCAACAGCAAGAGGAGGTATGTGCGGGGGTCAAAGACTGAATTGGGGTGGCGGGGAAGCCAAAGCTCGATCTGAGCGGGAGGTTGGCAAAGGAAAGTAGGAAAGTCGCAATACAATTTCAAGGTACAAGGTACTCCGAGTCGTAGTACCAGGCACTTCAAGGTAGGGTCTTGTGGAACCTGTTTCCCTTGGTAAGGGGTGAAAAGGATAAGAAAATTGAAGAAAAAAAAAATTTCTCTCTTGTTTGTTCCAGGACAACAATTGAAGGGAGGAGGGGAAAAAAAAAGAAAAAAGAAAAAGAAAAGAAAGGTCTATCTCCTCATTTTTTGCCTCTTGAAGAGCTACTGCAGTGGCACGGACTGCGTGCTCATTATTTGCTACGGGGCGAACCCGGTCCGCGAATGGTGACCCCTGTCACCCATCATCCGACCGGAGGATGATGCTCATCATGTAAATCTCTTGCAGGATTTGTTTCTGCTTGGGACGATGTCTATTCTGTTCCGGTAATTCTCGTAGTGCTGACTCGAATTCAAGCTCCACCTCCGTTTTTGAACATAATCACAAAAGATAAGGATATTACCTTCTGTACGGAGTAGCTGTCCATCCCCAACCATGGGATCCAGACTCCCGACTTGGCTCCATATACCTAGAGCTGTATACTATACATTACCGTACCTGGTGATATTATGATCTTATCGTCTAGACTCTAGGGCATGTATTTTATTCCCCCACTTGACCGAATCCGGGGAACCCCAGGGGTCATTACGTCATGCCTCACCGGTGACCGCATGTGACCCTAGCCCCTTCTGATTGGTGGGGGGTCATGTGCAGTGGTCCTATACACCCCCCGTCCAGAGGTTGTACTCCGTCACTGTATGTACTAAGAATCAGTACCTAACCAGCTATATTCCACGGTTCCATTCTCTTTCGGATCATACCCTGGTGGAAATTTCTTTATATGCAACGTTCTAGCCAAGATAATATGCCCGTTCCCTCGATCTTTGTTCTAAATCATTAACTGAGCACGCACCTGGACTAGTTTCTGTTTTATCACTCGCTTGCAATAGACCTAAAATCCAACTCACCCTTCAGCAATCTCTAATGTATGTCACAAAATGTGTATCAGTGCTTAGCATATGCAATGTCACTCTTCAGCATCCCACCTTTGCAATTCACCCCAGTCCCAGGGATTGTTGAAATGTCGGGGTGCACTGCTTGCTGTCGTGCCACATCGATCATCACTCGGCAACCAATCGAGGCCTGGTGCTAAATGCTGTTATTCACCTATTACCAGGGTATCCCGGCGCTGGTTGACTCGATCGTTTTTGAATCACCCGGCTGTGTCCACTCACTCCAGCCAATTGCTCTATTCATAGCATAAATGAGATCTAACGACCCTTCTAGACTTAAGAATCATCGAATAAACGATCACAGATAGCAATCACATCTATGGAACTACTACAATCTTCCCTTCTGCCTCATCTCCTTCCATGCAGCGGTGGGCCTCCACAATCTCCTGTAACCGGAACACTCGTCCCACCCGAACCTGGAGCTTCTCCTCCTCGATCATTTTGACCAGTATATCCAGCGGTGTTCCCATGAATTGCTCGTCCATCCCAGAATATGTTGTCAGTTTCGATTCACTCGGGATCAACTCCATCGGGTTGATCTTATCCAAATGCCACTCGTTCCCCAAAATCCCTGTCATACAAACAGTCCCTCCCCTCTTCACGCACTTGAATGAATCGGCCAAGGTCGCCGTTCCCACAAGCTCGAGCACCTTGTCGAAATATTGGCCCGATGTCGCGGCAATCTGCTGAGCAATAGCCCCGTTATCAATCCAAACCTCGTCCACCCCTTGACCCCGTAGCAACGCCTCTCTGTCCTTCTTTCTAGTCGTCGACGCCACAAACGCTCCGTGTTTCTTAGCAATCGCCGCAGCCGCCAGCCCCACAGAGGACGTTCCACCACGGATCAACAACCGATCCTTAGGCCTCAGAGAGAGTGACCGTATCACCGACCCCCAGGCTGTCTGCAGCATCTCAGGAAGCGCCCCCAACACTTCCCAGGGTAACTTCGTCTTCACAATCTGTACCTGCTGGGCCGGTACGCACGTATACTCCGCATACCCACCATCAAAGGCTCGACCCATTCCACCCATAGCTGTAGCGACGGTGGCTCCGGGCGGAAATCGGTCTTCCAGGCCTGGGGCGGCGTCGATTATGCCCACGGCTTCGATGCCGAGGATGCGGGGGAACTGGACGGCGGAGCCCGAGTGGCCCTGCCGGGTGAACATTTCCGACCGATTAAGTCCGAATGCCTTGACTTTAATTCGGACTTGTCCCGGACCGGGTTGGGGAATGGGATATTGTATGACTTGGAGAACGTCGGGGGGTCCGGCCGTGTGGACGACCACCGCTCGCATCGTAGACATAGTGTAGCACCTTGTTTTAGGTATACTGGAGTTCACGATGAGATAGATGATGAATCAGTAGTTGGAACAAGATACATTTTTGGTTGTTGCCCTTGATCAGCGTCATTCCAACCGCAACGGGTCTTGGCATTCAAAGCCCACGGCTACTGCTTTTACATCCACGCCGATGTCTTGCCCACTACACCATGATCCAATATTTGCGATGGAGCCTTGTTGGCCTCATTAGTGCGCACCCTCTATATTGATTGACTAGAGTTAGTATATCTGCGGCAAGGATTCATGGTGAATAATAATGCTTTTGCTTGTCAATACGGTTTGAAGAATGACTCCTCCATTCTCTCGTCTGTTTGTTGAGGCGGAGAGAATATAGTTGACAAGAGATATAAAACCATCTAAGGCCATAAGCCTGAGGCTTAAAACTTTTGCGACCCTGGGGGGGGCGGGGAAGGTTCCGTCGGAATAGTTAGGCCAGGGTTACTCAGTTGAGATACCTAACGAACTTAGTAGTCGGTGGTGCCTTTTCCCACGAGGAGTACTTCGGATACTACTCTGAATGTTCCTGACTCCACGGAAATGAATGACTGGCACCTTCGTGCATTTACATCTAACGCCGAAGTCAGCCAGTCAGTTTCAACCAGAGTAGAGGAATACAGTACCACACACTATCATCTTTAATGCTAACCTACTCACTTGGAAAGTGGCGATATTCTATCTTAGGAATAATCTTATATCCGCTGTTGCAAACAAACTGACGTGGACGGGGATTGTTGGTCGTTGGGAAGAGGGGAAGAGGAGAAGGGACAACACAGACACCCACCTTGCAGAGATGGTTTGCGAGAAATAGGTTACCATGCATCTGGCATATCTGTGTGCTTATATATATATATATATATACACACACGCCCAGTGTCAGTCATGGCGCAAAATTGGCGAGTGCGGCATCATGGCATCGTGGACTATCCATCCACTCAGCCCGACCTTGGAGCCAACGTCTAAACAGTTTAGGATATGCGGCTGCCAGGTGCAACCAAACCAGGTTAACTACAATCTCCAGCGCGAGTGGTTTTCCCACTGTCAAACGCATAACAGAAGACGATGTAATAAAGAATATGTCCACCAAACTCCTTAAAGCTAATTGACTGAGAGACAAGAAGGGTTGTCTTCTGCAACCAGGTTGGCAATACTAGGCTTTAAGTTACGTATGGGGACATTCCTTATACTCCGACTCCTTCCCTGAAGAAGTAAGGCCATTACCAAGACGTTTACCTGTCACGATTGAAGATGCAATCACTGCTGTCAAGTCATTAGGAGAACGCTTTCTCTGGGTAGTCAGATACTGTATCAGCCAGAACTCTACCGAGAAACACGACCAGATAGCGCAGAGGGATATCATTTATTCCAATGCACATGCTACTATCGTTGCTACCGGGGTCTGCAATAACGAAATCCGGTTTACCTGGAGTAGGCACCGCCGACGACTTCCTCTACATCAAGCTTATTCGAGAGGGAGACACTTTGTTTCAGCTCTCCCAGATCTTCGGGCAGCCCTCGCCTGCTCTCCATAGATCCGTCGAGCTTGGACATATCAAGAAGCTCTTCTATGTCGATGCTGTCTGTCTTTTACCCATCATCAAGTCTACTCTATGTGTGGAGAGATGACACGCTATGAGTCTACTATAACCAACTACCCCAGGCAAGAATTATCTCGCTTTAGTAAGAAGACAACTATATTGGAAGATCCGAGTTGTTTAACACCCATTGGGATACAGGGTATCTCTTGGGAATTTAGCCTGCACCTAACACAGTACTCCACACGTGCGTTTACATGCAGCTCTAATGCTATCATGGCCTTTCGCGGTATCCTAGCCAGAAACGAGTCGCGCACCTACTGGGGCATACCATTCTTGTTCGAGGATTATACGAACCTATAGCTCAGAATGTTGACTTGCGTTTTTCTTGTGCTTTAAGCTGGGAACTTTCGTCGTCTAGTACTTCGCTAATGAATCTATGTGTGAAAAGAAGGCTTGAGTTTCCGAGTTGGTCTTGGGCCGGGGGGGGGGGGGGGGGGGGGCGCAGGCTCACGTTTGCTACTGGGTCCCTCAATGCTTTGACTCCGTTCTTCATACGGAAAGTATCTGAGAGTGATCTACAGCCTGCCAAAATTGATTTTGATTATTCTCCCCTCCATATTTGGGGAAAAGATGGTGTACAACGATTCGGCTCGAACAAATATTTTACAAATATAAAGCTAAGGTCGGCCCACAGATCTCCCCACAATTGGTTATTGAATCAACAGGCTTGCGGGCGCCTATCGTGTTCAGTCAAGAAGGAGAGCTTAGTTATCTACCTAGGTATTATTTCCTCATCGATGATAAATTCTCCGAGGTTCCTATCTTATTCTACAAAGAACCTGTTCAAGATATTATACACTAACGTGGGTTCGAGTCAGTGTGATGGCATTGTACTCTTTCGTAGAACCAAGACATTCCTGGATTGGAAATGTTCTGCAGAAATTTTCGTCATGTTGGTCCAACCATCCAGCGACGGTATGGCTGAGCGCATCGGGTCTACCTGGACAACCATGGAAGAGTAGGATCGGACGGACAAGCCATGGCGAAAGATTATTATGTCTTAGGCGCGCGGTTCTATATGGTTTTCGCTCAGATCAAAATAACAATACCTCTTGAATATCACAGTAAAGAAAGAAGGCTCTCTGTAGAAACAGATGGATTCATTATGCATAACTTGGTTCTTCTATGATCAGATTTCTGATCATGAGCAGTTGCCCTGATTCGGCCTCATCTTACCTTTATATACCAACCATAAACATACGTACCTGACCATCAACGACCCCCAAATGACACAATCAATCCCCAATTTAATTTATTTTTTTTGAATAAAACCCTAATCCTATAAAAGAGCACTCGCAAACATCTAGACCAGCATGTCCAGAATGCCAACTAAGACCAAACCCTAACTTGGCAACCCCAAATGAAGTCATACGCGTCTCCACAATGACTTCACGATGTTGTCAGCAACCAACAAAGCAACATACCTCGATGATCCATATATATCATAGAAAGAACATATAAAGCCTTTGCTTGCTGCTTGAATACTCACACACTCAATCAATCACAAGACCATTGAACATACAGCCAATAGAACACATCTACACCTATACCTACATCTCTCGCATTCCAGGTACGGCGCCACCAACTAACTATCCCACCCCTCCCCCCAAAAACCCAACCAGCAAACTAACACACCGCCCTCTAGCCTTCCACATAAAGCCAAATCAATCAAAATGGTCCGCGGCGCAGAATATGACGACGGTGTTCCCCACAGCGACAACGCCATCGAAGCAGGCAAGACAAAGGTCCACGGTGCCGGTTCTTCCGTACGTCTTTCTTTCTATAATCTACACCTTTTGTCCGTCCCTGAGAAGCTCAACATAACTGATTGTGTATCACCTAGAATCCTGAAATGGGCCGCGTGTACAGAACCGCCGAGTTGCCCGAGGCAGCGAAGCAAACTGGAGGTAATGCGACCAGCATTGGCGGTAGTGCCGGCCACTCGAGTGGAAAGGGTGGTCATGACCCGAAGACTTGGGGAGAGAACAAGGGGCTTGGGGCCCATAAGGCATGAGTTATGAATGAATCCATTTGGAGTTAAATGATGGGGGTCTTTTATTGTATGATATAGGCTTAGGCTTCTGCTACGGAACAGGGGCTAGGCTGGTCTTATTTTATGATTATTTATGAATGGATCATAGTTCATAATGGTTTTTTCTTCTTCTTTGGTTGGTTGTTTTGTAGAGAATAAGAATCTAGTAAAGGTAGGTTTCGGATTAGTCTATGTAGAAGGATATATGTTGGATGCCGTGCGATCCGGGAAAATAAACAGGTATTTGAAAAAGTGGCTAGTAGTGGCCAAAAGTCGCTAAATCGCTGTACAATTCTTTTTGCCTTTGACAAGATGTGATGGTATCTCAGGTACATCCAAGCGAGAAGAATGTATACTATGTGGTCGTCAAGGTCGAGACATCCACGTATATATAACCATTGTTTATGCTTGGGGACTCTTCTCGCCGTTGCTGGTCTCTGAGCTGTTTCGGTCGGCCCCGTTGGAGCCATTTTCCTTGGCTTCTGCTGTTGGGGTCTTTTGTTTCGCTAGCTCGAGAAGCCGCTCGCCCAGGTCTCCGAAGCCGTCGATTTTGCTCAGTTTCGATTGGAGGTACTCTGCATCCCGCTGTAATCTGATTTACTATTAGATGGTATGTACAAGATATAGAAGGGAGGGGATTCATTCTTACCTTTGCTTTCCATTGTCGGTGTGAATGACCACCGCGTCAAACGCTTTGGTCCACTGTTCCCGGTAGCTGTTGAACACGGGATCCATGATCATCGACACGGTCATGTCCGGCAGATGTTTGCTGAGCACACGATGCAGTGTACCCGTTTCCTTTGCAAGGGTCTCCATATACGAATTGACCGAGCTAGACCCCGAAGCGTCCCAATCAATCTTTTTCATGGAGTTGACATGCATAGAAGACCGCGAGCTCATAATGTCGACCAACTTCTCGTGAATGCCGGATTGGTGTTCCTGATACAGCCTCTTCACTTTGTCGAATTCGCCCATTAGTGAACTAGAAGGTGCGTGTCGACGGACAAATTCTCGAATATAAGGCACCAGCGCGATGATAAAGCTCAGAGCTTGCGAGGACAACGCGAGATGCTTCGTGGTAATGTTCTTTAAGCCAGCACTTCGGGTAGCTCCCGCACCAAGGATCAGTTGAGAGGATCGTGAATTGAATAGTTTCAACGACTCCAAAAGGCCAGGTGCAATATCTTGAATCATGCTGGGAATATTTGCCATGAGGAACAGGAATTCTTCGATGCTCCTCATCATGGCCAGCGCGGATTCCGAGAGGATGTACTTTTGCTCGTCAATCACCGCAGATCGCACCTTGTCCTTTCCATTTCCGTTGCTGGCATTCTCCGATTCATTGTCTTCAGATTTACTCTGCCAAATCTTCGAGGCATCTACCCAGGCCTCAATGTCTTTAGTGCTGGCATCGAGGATACGGCTTAGAATTGTGGTTTCCGACTCTCCGAAATCCCTTGCATCCCATCGGTCTGAGTCCATAACCTCAACAAGACTATGTCTCTGTTTATCGCCAAATCGTGAGATATAGTCTCGGATTTGATTACCAACGAGGTTTTTCAGCGCAGTACCACTTCTACCGGAGATTGCCTCGCACTCGTCGGCGAAGAGTCGGTTTAGGGTAAAGTATTTCAGGAATTGCTCCTTCGGCAAATGAGAGGTTTGCTCGGACCGAACTTTCAGAACCTTGTTCACCTGAGACTGGGCGATATCAACAGCCTGACCGAGAAGACTAGACATATCCAAAACCTGCAAAATCTCATCCTGGGCCATTGCTGTTGCCGCACTCTGTGGGCCCGCTGCGAACGCCGCCGCATTGTCTACATTCGGTGAACTGGGACTTCTCGAGGACTTCAAAACAGTGCTCGAAGGGTTCCCTAATCCACTAGCAATATCCAGAAGGACCTTGACCTGGACACTAAGCCTCCGTAAGGACTCACTGATGCCAGTATATACGCGGGCGAGCATAGTATAAGCGTCCTCTGCGTCCAGAGAACGGAGGTTACGAGCAAGGATTGATGACTTTTCCTGCTGACTGAGTTGGGAGGACCGATGAGTGGAGACAGACACCATAGACTCATTATCATCATCACTCGAGCTAGGCATGTGCTTGCGAATTAAGCCTTTCATTTCCCGCAACACCGCTGTCTTGAAGGACGTTGCTGCCGCAGTTGTATGGTGTGCTCGTGCAAGTCCAGTCAGCTGCGTATGCAGTCTCGACCTCAGCTGATCATCAAATGCCATATAGACGGGAGAAGAAGAGGTAGCACCTGAGCGTTGCACCCCACGTTGCCGTTGAAATGAAGAGCCCCAGCGCTGCAACGTCGCTTCCAGGGGCACGTGTTCTACGTGGTGTCTTAAATCACCAAGAAGATCATCCAAGAAGCGGGTTTCATACCCCATGCCAATTCGAGTTCTTAACTGGGCCAAATCATCGGACGCACCCTCAAGAGCTTTGAGCTTCCTAAGATCAATGGCGTTTCTCGGCTGCTCCTGTGAATCCTCCCTTAGAGTATCGGAAACATTCTCTCCAGCCATCAACCTCTCCACCTCTTCAAGACTACCCGCAGCCTCTTCAATATCCCCATTCTCGACCAGTTCTTCGCACCGAGACACTGATTGGACCACTTCTCGTAGCTGGGATACGGCATCGGCCAACAGTCTAACGTTTTCCCTCCGCCGTCGGAGGTTCACGATTTTCAAGCCGCCGAGTGCCATGTCACGATCAATCTTCTGAAGGTCCTTCCGCAGCACCTGTATCCGCTTTACCGAATCGGCAGCCTCGGAATGCAGCTCGCGGAGCGAGCCGAGAGCAGTGAAGAAAGATTTGGAAGCCGTTGAGATTGACGAGATCAGGTGTATTTCTACGGTATCCATATACCAAGAAAGCTTTTCTTGCAATATCGCATTTGTAGCAAGCGCCTTTCTCCCCGTTTGTGCCGGCCCGGTAGCGGTTCCATTTTGCGACTTTGGCGGGGTAACAACTTCAGACTTCTCTGATACCACATCGAACGTTCGCGGATTCTCGAGGTGAAAGTCGTCATCGAAGTACACCTGAGGAATAGTAGAAAGAGGAGTCACGGCATGTCCACGGCCACGGCCAGCGTACGATGACCGCCTCCGCCCGCGAGTGTCGAAAGGAGAGCTTGCACGGGGATTAACTGATAACGTCGAGGCCCGCCGCTCCGTAGACCATTGTGACGACAGAAATTCATTCTCCTCCGATTTGGGTGAGTTGGGCGTAGTCTTTCCTCCTTCTCGCGCCAGCTGCGACTCTTGATCTCCGGCGCTTTCTTTTGCCTGCTGGAATACATCATACAGCGATCCAACCTGAGATAAGTACGGCTCGAAGACCTTAGCCTCCACACGAGGTATATTTGTCAACGTAACCGGAGGAATGTCGCGGGAACTCGGAGGCCTATACCCACTAGACGGTGCAGCAGTGTGGGGAACAAGACCAGTGCGAACAATCGGAGGTTGTAGGAGAGTAGAGATGGCTAGATGAATTAGCGTACCAACAAAATACGCAACGTATCACAACGTACCATTTTGACCTGACTCTGCTATTGACCCATGGCGACCGGAAGAGTCGAGAATTCCTCCAATGCTAACGATCGAGCTTGCCGTCGACCCTCGTCTCAGGGGGTACCTCTGGGGCGGAACGCGGGGAGACTCGAGCTGATTGAGAGAATACTGAGATAACGAAGGTGTGGATGCACCTGAAGCTAGGCTGTCAATCGACTTCCGGGGGCTCGCAGAGGACATCTCGTGATGTCAAAGTTGTTTGGCGACTCCAACGGCCACCGTGCTATTTTGGACGACGTTATCTCCACATGACAAGAGGACAGCTGTAGAATAGTCCGGTGGGACCGAGCACAGGCGTTCCTCCAATGAATTCCCGCTACAAGGATCTTGGTATCCGAACGAGGCTTCAAATAGGAGTTCGCTTAGGGTCCAACGTCACCAGCGGCACAAGCACAAGTAATCCGACCTCCGGGGAGTGTACTTTTGGGGATTCAGAATGACAGCCGGCCCAATCGGGTAAGGTGTCCTGGCTGAGAGGGGGTCTAGTCCCAGTTGGGAGGAGCCGGAGCCACTATCTTCCGTGCACGTCTAGACAAACATAAGCTGCCTTAAGGCCAAAACCACTTAACACGTGCCATACACGCGACGCGCATCGTTCGTGTCCTCTTGCAATTTCTTTGGGCGGTGATGGTGATAGTCAATAACATATCCACACATTCCCCTCGCTCCCTCTCAACCCACCCCTCCCTCAATTACTGTCTCCATAATGGACAGGCGTTCACCTTATTCTCTGAGCGTTCTCGCTCCTAGCACAAATGGTGCAGAAGAGTCCCGGACACAGATCCAGCAAAAGTTACGAGACTTCGTTTTAGAATTTCAGTTGGATAATGCGTTTATTTATCGGTATGTCGCAACGACAATTGACAATACGGCAGTAAAACTAATTCAGTTTTGCAGAGACCAGCTTCGGCAAAATGTGCTCGTGAAGCAGTATTACTGCGATATTGATATCGCGCACTTAGTGTCTTATAATGAGGAGCTGGCCTACAAGCTCACCACCGAACCAGCGGATATCATCCCCCTTGTGAGTGACACGACTAGAGAGCACGAAGAAAATTGGCACTAACCACCAGTGCTATTTCAGTTTGAAAATGCTCTCCAGCAATGCACACAGAGAATCGTCTACCCCTCTCAGAGAGATGTCGAGCTCCCATCCCATCAGCTCCTACTTCACTCATCTGCAGCACATATCTCCATTCGTGACCTTAACGCAACAAATATCTCTCACCTTGTCCGCATCCCTGGTATTGTGATTGGCGCATCTACAATCTCATCGAAGGCAACAGTCGTTCACATCCGTTGCAAGAACTGCGATCATAGTGAAAACATTCGAGTCGAAGGCGGGTTCACGGGCCTATCACTTCCCAGGAGGTGTGGCCGCCAGCAGCAACCTGGTGATGCCCCTGGCGAGCAGTGCCCTCTCGATCCTTACGTTGTTCATCACGAGAAGTGTCAATTTGTTGATCAGCAAGTTCTCAAGCTCCAGGAAGCCCCCGACCAAGTGCCCGTGGGTGAACTTCCCAGGCACGTTCTCGTCTCTGCAGACCGGTATCTCGCTAACCGGGTTGTACCCGGTTCCCGCTGCACAGTCATGGGCATCTTCTCTATCTACCAGTCTAAAGGCGCCAAGAAGGACGGTGCCCCCGCAATTCGTAACCCTTATATGCGGGCAGTAGGCATCAGCACCGACCTCGATCACACTATCAAGGGCAATGCCATTTTCTCAGAAGAAGAAGAGCAGGAATTTCTGGAGCTGAGCCGTCGGCCTGATCTATACGATGCTCTGGCCAGAAGCATTGCTCCCTCTATTTACGGCAACCTCGATATCAAGAAGGCTATTGTCTGCCTGCTCATGGGCGGTTCGAAGAAGATTCTTCCCGATGGTATGAAATTGCGTGGAGATATCAACGTGCTGCTTCTTGGTGACCCCGGTACGGCTAAGTCTCAGCTGCTTAAATTCACGGAGAAGGTGTCGCCCATCGCCATCTACACATCCGGTAAAGGCTCGTCTGCAGCTGGTCTGACAGCTTCGGTACAGCGAGACCACGCGACACGCGAGTTTTACCTGGAAGGAGGTGCAATGGTCCTTGCGGATGGGGGTGTGGTGTGTATTGATGAATTCGACAAGATGAGAGACGAAGACCGAGTCGCCATCCATGAAGCTATGGAGCAGCAGACTATTTCGATTGCCAAAGCCGGCATCACCACCATTCTTAACTCCAGGACATCCGTTTTGGCCGCTGCAAACCCTATCTTCGGCCGCTACGATGACCTGAAAACTCCCGGCGAGAACATAGATTTCCAAACCACCATTCTGTCTCGTTTCGATATGATCTTCATTGTCAGAGACGATCACGAACGCAGCCGTGACGAGAACATTGCACGACACGTCATGGGCGTTCACATGGGTGGTCGAGGTGTTGAAGAACAGGTAGAGGCTGAGATCTCGGTGGACCAGATGAAGCGTTATATTAGCTATTGCCGCACGTAAGTTCCTGGCCTTCTAACTCCCCCATATTATCCACGCTTTACTAATATACTTCTCACAGCCGTTGCGCCCCGCGTCTATCCCCTGAAGCTGCAGAGAAGCTCTCGTCTCACTTCGTTTCGATCAGAAAGCAAGTTCACCGCGCAGAGCTCGACGCCAACGCGCGTTCTTCCATCCCTATCACAGTCCGTCAACTGGAGGCCATCGTGCGTATCACTGAGTCTCTAGCCAAACTTAGCCTGTCGCCAATTGCTACAGAAGCACACGTCGACGAGGCCATCCGCCTCTTCTTGGCCTCGACCATGGACGCAATCACTCAGGGCGAGGGTCAAGGTAGTAAGGAGATGATGGAAGAAGTCAGCAAAATCGAAGACGAGCTGAAGCGCAGACTTCCCATCGGCTGGAGCACCAGTCTTGCCACCCTGCGCCGTGAGTTCGTTGACGGCCGGGGTTACACTGAACAAGCCCTAAACCGGGCCTTGATGGTCCTACAGCGGAGAGACACTGTCCGCATCCGCTCCGGCGGATCCCAGGTGTACCGCCACGGTGTATAGTTTTCTTTCAGCTTTGTTCGCTTGATGACTGATGCTCGCATGGAGTGTGTATGGGCTATGGGACGCTAATGGTTTAACTTTGGGGGAGCATGCATTACCTGATATCATGTCTTTATAGAAACTGGACCTCGGGCACAGCGGGCTGACGGTGTACGGCGTTGCTTTACATTTAATTATACACGAAATCACCACCGGTTCAGAAGATCGAAGAATTTCGAGTAACAAATCAAGATCTCCATCGCCATCTAGTCTCAGCACCAAGCAACAGTAACCGTAGTATAGCAAAAGCCAACCTCCCCCCTTCCCTTTCAAAGAAACACCCCTCTCAAAATAACTCCAACAGAGGAGGGAGCCGTCCTCAAAGAAAACCCCAAATCCGCCCAACTCCACAGTCCCAACCCTACTATGCCTCGTCCCCAACCTCTCAAACAACCTCACATGTCTCACCGCCGCCCTATAAAGCACGTCCACCATCTTATGCCCAGTAATCAGCACCTTACAATGCGCTGGAACCCAACACGCCCTAATCACAACCCCCCATCCCGCCAACCTCCTCCGACAGCCCACACACATCCTCCACAATCCCCCCAAACACTCCCCCCGTCCTCCCATTCCCCACACCGACAGCATACGCCCACAACAAACCCTTCGCCACCATCGAACCAGAAATCACACTAACAACATGCTCCTCCCCACAACCAACAACCCTCTTCCCGATCCGACTCAGCGCAATTCTCAACACAGCCCCGATAGCAAATAGCTCCGGCAACTCGACCCATTTCCCATCGCACAGGTCTGAGATTGCGTATCCCCCGTCCAGCCACTTGTCGCCGCTGGCGGGCGTCTTGTAGGCTGCTGCTGCGCCGGAGGAGTTTGTTGGACCCCGAGGCGTCGGCCCGGAAGATGTGGTGCTGGAGGCGGGTTGTGGGGGCTTCTTGGGCGGTGGTTATGTGTAGGAAGAGAGTTATTTCACGACTATGGTTCGTAGAAGAGTCATTGTGCGGGACATTATAATCGCTTGTCAGGTGGGATGTCTGGTAAGTCCTACTTGCCTGTTCCATGGTATCTGGATCAGGACATAGGACTTGTATTTGTGGGATGTCGATTGTCACATCGTGATATTTACTTTGTACCTGGGGATTGGAAAGAGTTGAGTATTTTGCTTTCTTATATAATAACAGACATATAGACAGAATATTTCCTGAGAAGGGGTAGAAGCAAAAGATCTCATATTCTCGGCACCACTCCTTGATAACCCTGCCTTAGAAGTGTGATCTTGGATGTAGCCATCTAGAACATACCCAATCCAGCTCTACTCTCAGCACCAAACGCTCACTATGTCTTTACCAAACACCTGCTCCGCCTTTACAAATCAATAAGCCTGCTTCGCCCCCTCAGCAGGCCCCTCCCACTCCTGCCTCTGATCCGTAAATACCTCTATATCAAGCCGAGAGATGACATCGAACAAAGAAGCCTTCACAATAAGGCTGGGACCCCCTGTAAGGACAGGACTATATGATTATTTCAGCCATCTTATCCAGGATTAGCATAGAGAGGACCAAGAGAAGGTAAACCAACCTACCGCAGTTCGAGCAGAATTTGCGCTACGGCGTGGACATATATTAGCGCAGGAGGTAAAATGGGGACGGACAGAATGTCACGAAGAGATGATGATACCTGGATGCGGTTTCCGCTGACTGTGTTTGTATCCTCGTATGCTTTTAGACTGGAATGGGGGTCTTTGAATGTGACATCTGCTTCGGGGAGGACGTAGTTTATGGAGGAGCCTTGGTTTAGAGATTTAGTGGGTTGGATAAATACGGGTTGAGGGCTGAAGGCTGACCACCGCCGGATCTACCGCAAGTACGACTATTGTTGAATTAGCGTATAATTTGATGTAGAAGTTAAGGCAATAAGGACATACCAATGGCAGACAAGTGGAGCGGAGACCCTCGGCACGGTGATAATGAGACTGACAAAGTTTGGGCCATGGCTCGATGTGGATTCAACTAGCTTTGGTCGCTCATGGAGTGTATAGATATGGGAATCATGGGAAGACATTCCAGATCTGGAAACTTGATCATCTTCGTTCTTTGTACGGGGGTCAATTGTATCCAATCTGGCCTAAGGGCAAGTCCAAGATGAGGGTAAGTCCAACTACAGGTAACTCTAACCTCAAGGCAGAAGAAATCAGCGTTCATTGGTTATACATCGATATGGAGGTGAATGCTAGTATGGATGGTTTGCCTTGCTACTTGATTTACTTCAACTGAGAAAGTAGCACGCCTAGAGCTGTATAGCGCATGGTCTTATAGACAGGCATATATATATTAGCCTATCTAGTATATCGAGCGGGTTGCCCGTCGTTTTGTATTCCCAGAGCTGAGAGTGTATTGTGAGATGCATAGAGAACGAGGAGAATTTATCATTCCTGTTATATTCATTTTACCTATATTCTCATCATCTACATATATAGTGTAGAAATCTGAAAAATCGTTTGTTCATAACTAAAAATCATTGCGATCCAGGCAGTGAATGGTTGAAATCGGAAGACTTCCCCCCAACCGAACCCCGCGGTTCCAACCGACGTCAACTCTTTCCTTACACCACTCGCACTCTACAATACAACTTCTAAATCAATAAGACATACCTTACATCTACTAAAACTTCCGGAACTAATAGCAACTACTGAGGAGCAAGCGAAACGCAAGTGCTTGCTGGGAACGACTCCTTATCGTACAATTCCCCGCACCCCGCTATTACAACCGTCCTGTACCGCGACATTACGAACCGTCCGATCCTGCCAATATGGCCCCGACCATTCGTGTCGTCGGCTCTCTCAACGCCGACATGGTGTCCGTGACATCTCGTTTCCCTGAGCCCGGCGAGACGATCACCTCCTCATCATATTTTATTAGCGCCGGAGGCAAGGGCGCGAACCAGGCCGTTGCCTGCGGACGGCTGTCTCGCACGCAGTCAGGCTCACCTACATCCCCAAGCAAGGGCTCCGTGAAAGTGGAGATGGTTGGCGCTGTCGGCGGACTGGACGGCCACTTTGATGCCTTACTAAAGCCCACCCTCGAGAAATCCGGTGTCGATACGTCGCGGGTCAAGATCGTCAAGGATGCATATACGGGAGTGGCGGTGATCATTGTGGATTCATCAGCTGGCGGAGAAAATCGCATTTTGTTCTCTCCTGGAGCGAATTATCAAGGGATGCAGCCGGAGCCGCCCGTGCTGGGAATGGCGATGGCAGCGCCGGTGCCGGATGTGATTGTCATGCAAGGGGAGATCCCCGTTGAGAGCGTGATTGGGATACTCCGAGACATTGGGGCGTGGAAGGCCAGGAACCGGGCTGAGGGTAAGCGCGGTATTGAGGCCGGCCCTGATGTCATGTTTAACCCTGCACCTGCTCCACCGGGAGGATTGCCGGAGGACTTGTACGCTGCGGTCGACCACTTTATCATGAACGAAACGGAGGCCGCACTGATAACTCCGTCGGCGGAGCAGCTGCTCAAAGTGGTTCCGGACGCGGAGGGGCAGAGCGATAAGGACAAGGTGGCTCGGTATTTCCACCAGTTGGGCGTGACGTACGTTCTGATCACGTTGGGTTCCAAGGGTGTTTGGTACAGTGCCACTGATGCCAGGACATCCGGGCCTGCGGATGGAGTCAACCGCTTTACCGGTCAGATTCCCGCCGCTCCGGTCAGCCGGGTGCTTGATACCACTGCAGCAGGTGATACCTTTGTCGGCGCATACGCAGTGGAGGTGGCACGGTGGCGCGAGCAGCGACGTGTGGACGGCAAGGCCGGGCAGGATATAACGAGTGAGGAGAAACCCATTCGGTATCAGAAGGTCATGGATGACGTCACGAGACTGGCGACACGGGCCTCAGCCCGCTGCGTGGAGCGACAAGGCGCTATGGACAGCATTCCATGGGAAGATGAGATTTAATTATGACCGAAATCGGATTGGCGAAGAAATGTATATTACTGCAGAATGTCCAAGGAGCTTATGATAGACACATTTAGACGGTGCGACTCTCCACAGGTATTGGGAGAGCTGGCATGCATTAGAAAAAAAAGGGTTGGAATGGAACACCATCGGGAATTAAATAGTAAAATAAAAAGCAAATCGCCTCGGTGACAACCACGGCGTCAAATATGTCTTAAAAAGACGGAACTTGAGCACTGATGGAATGAGCACGGAGTAACCCCCCAGCATGACAGAAGGCCCGGCATTTCATTCCGCGATACCCGACCATAACCCTGACTTCATGCACCATGAACGAACCTCGACATGTAAGTTGCATGCGTTTCACAATCTAGAATCTGTCAAACCCACCATCATCATCATGGTAAGCACGAACCTCCGCCGTGTTTCAAGTACTTTCAGCGACAGTGAAACATAGGCTGAGAAGAAGCCGTGAAGAATTCTAAGAGAAATTTAAATTGCCATTAGAGCCGGCCGATCTTCATTTCTACTTATAGAAAAGGCGCTACGGATAACTTAATTAAAGTTACTTTGCTCCCTATGTTCGGACTCTGTATAACATGGTTTCCGTGTAGCCGCCGTGGTAAGGAAGGGGTGGTGTTGCTCGTGAAACAGGGATAGGATACGTGTTCAATGCTGGGAGACTGAAGACTTGCATGAGCCTGAATCTAGCTTTTTTTTTTGGGTTCAAGGGTCGTGAAGGGGTCGCGTTGTAGGGATGGAATCATGATGTACTTTATACGTATCTGTAGGTATGTATGTATGTATGTAGGGTACGTACTTTAAGGCCAAGTAGATAAGAAATTTCTAATTACAGGTCAGACTTGTAAATTTCAATCTGATTTCTTAAGATAGATAGGATAGATATCTACTTCGAGTATACTCTCTGTACCTACATACATACTTTTGATCATCATGGATATCACTACCTACAAACCGGAAGCTGCAGGATGCAACCTATCGAAGTTAAACCTCATGTAGGTACGTGTACATAACATGGCCAAACCGGGAAACGTAGCTTTACTGCTACAAATGGAGTAGGTGAATGGTCTCCCAATGGTTTAGGTGCTATTTCTCCACTAATTGACTGGCCTTGGCCATCACACTGCTATAGAGCGTCAAGGCTTGCTCAAGGGTGATTAATTAGGCTTTGCACAGATAGAGGGTTCATGTATTGCCTACAATACATTACTACTAGTAGTGATAGTCCACGGCATAATTAATTCTTCTCTATCGGAAGCTCATAGTAAGTATTACACAGAAAGTGTAGATATGTACATACTGTACCTCGGCGCATTTGGCATCAGGTGGGGAAAATGAAAATTACCTTAGTCGTGTCACGTAGCTAAGCAGATCGATATGGAAACCGCTGAAGATCTAGCCACTCCGACAGCATGTACAACTACTGTGGCCCTAACTCTAGCAATTCGGAGTCAATGACACCGTAGTACGAGGAAAAGAAAAGTATAAATAGAATAAACGGTGTATACTCGTCATTCGCCTAAGAAGATCTTGAAATGTATGGATAACTATCTAACCTTGAATGGCTATTATGTAAGAATCGCGTACTCGACCAGGAGACGCGCTATTTTTTTTTTTGGGAGTACCTAGATATGGGAATACATACTGAGTACTACTAGTAATAAGAGAAGTACTAAGTAGAGCAGGTTGAAGTGAGGGGAAGGGAGTTGAATTGGACCTCGTGAGCCAATCCGTACGCGCCTTGCAGCCCCAGGCTTGCCAAATCGAGGTATCAAATAGACGACGACACGTCTTCCACGCGTTTCGCCCCTCCCTTCCTACACATACTTCTGGAGGAAATGATGATGATTCAATAATCATTCCTCTTCCAGCTTTATCTTCGCTGAAACTACACACCTGCATGTTTCGCGCTCTTCAATTGCCATTCTCATTCCGATTCCCTGCCCTCCATTTTTAGACATTCCTCTCCACCCTCTCCTTGCCCTTACCTCCATAAGCTTTATATCTCACTCGATTGCCACCCTTTGGATGTTCTTTTCTTCCATCCCATCCACGTCCCCTCGTTGTGTATCATCCTTAGTATTGTTGCTGTGTAATATACATACTGAACGTGTTGTTTGTGTTGAAAAGAAAGATCCGGTCGGTCGACACGACTACTCCAGAGGCCCGTGGTCCTGTCCGACTTTTGACCTCATCCTCCCTAGATATTGTATAACTCACATCCGTGGCTCTGTCGAGATTGGTTCCAACGTTGTATTGAACCACTAATTTCTTTTCCTTTTTGTCCGTCGTGATTTGTTGATCACGACACTACTCTCCCACTAGACCGCTCATCATCACCCCCACTTTCTGGACGCGACCAAAACAAATCCACAACCGCGCGCAGGCATTACATCTCCACTCGACCGCAGTCCTCTATTGCTGCCTGGTTGATATCTATTTCTTCAACCCAATTGCTCTACATTGCGGTTTGTTTCATTCGCCCTTTAAAGTCCCATCAGGTAATATGGCCGCCCTCACAATGACCCCCTCGACTATGCGGCAGCCCTTTGCAAGCTTGGATACACCGCGCGCGCGTTCCTTGCTCAAATCAAAGATGAACTTGAAAAATCCACAAAATGGTATGATTCTCTCGAAGCGTCGGTTAACCCGAATACAAGCTGACTCCGTTATTAGGCGCAATCTTGTCCGGCAAGAGACAACCCCTGTCGGAGGTGGACACCGAGAACATTGATCCAACAACCTTCAAATCCTCAACTAAGCGCAAGCGTATCTCCGATGAGGATGACGAGAATGAACCAGTCAAGAACGCCATAAAGCCTATGAAGACTTCGCGGATCACATTGACAACCATAAAGCCGAATGTGGCTCCTCGCGTCCCGGCCACGCCCTCTAAGGTCTCCTTGTCTACCCCTAAGTCCGCTCCCACCCTCAAACCGGCTGGACGTTCCCCACAGGCCAAACCCTGCAAGCCTTTTGCTCGCCGTTCGACCATTATGAAGAGCCGTCCCGAGTCTGTAAGCAAAAAAAGTGTCCATCGTCCATTCTCCCTGGCAGCCGCACTGGCAAGCGGCAAACCAACGAGTCAAACTGTCCCCAAGGCTCCCGCTTCTTGGTCCTTCGACATCTACGTGGATTCGGAACAGGAAGAGATGACCAACCTAATGCAGCACTCCACCTGTGTGTTAGATATCAGTGATGACGAAGGCAAGGTGGAGACGAGCGGCCGAGGAAAGGAGAACATCCCCCCTGTCGAACTGGGAATCGACCTTCCGCGCTCTCGCCAACAGGAATCGCCCGCCGCTGCCCGCAAGTCAGTTATGATGGAAGAATCTCGAGCTCCTCTCGGCGACTTGAATGCCGCCGATTACTATGGCGATGACTGCCACGCTTTCTCTTACACTATCGTTTATGATGACGAGGAAAACGAGCCGACTTCATCGAAGAAGAGTCCTCTTCCCCCCTTACCTCAGTCCAGCCCACATAGCCGCAGCAAACTCTCCAGTGTATCTTCCATCTCATCACTGATTGAAGCGACCGTTCCCGAGCAGCAGGTTGCGGAAACGAAACTCGAATCATCTGAGGCAGAGATTGAGGTGTGGGAAAGTGAGAGCGCTGCGGAGGAATCTACGGAATCGACTTCGTGAACATCATTTCATCATCATTCTTTTTGGTATGGCGTACAGTCAAAATCGGAGTTGGAGTTATAGCACTTGATTATATTCGATACCCTTTTGGATTACTTTCATTTTTTTTTTATTTCTATATCATTATCTCTGGTCTTGATGACTCCTCGACTGTGACTTGTTCCAGATCTCCTTTGTCCCTACTCGAATGGCTACTGACCGAAGAGTACATTTTCTATTGTTCCTTCATAAACTATCCGGACTAATATTAAAATGCTTGTTTCATTGGATTTTCCTGGCTTTCTGCCACTCATTTCACTGAACGCTGCTACGCCTGTGCTCACGAGCGAGAATGTGTCACGTCTTTTGATGTCTTATGATGTACATACATCCACGTAAACAATTGGATTAGTATGAATAATTATTTTGGTCAAACAAGTCACTGTCTTATTTTACATAAAAATAAAGACAGCGTAAATATAGCAGACAAGCATCACTGCCGTTTTCCTGGCTTACGCTTAGGTCTCGATTCCTCTATGTCGTCACCCTCGTCTCCTCCTTGATCGTCATTCTCGTCACCATTTTCGGCAATCATAGCGGCATCCATAACGTCGTCCACAGCTGCTTCCAAGATCTCTTGCTTCTCAATAGCTTCCTCTTCGCCTTCACTTTCATCCTCGCCCGGCGCATCCCGCCACTGCACTCGCCGGCCGGTAACACCCTTCCCACGTTTAGACTCCTGCTCCTGCCCCTGATTCGTCAACTCTCTCCACGACGGCGTCCCCTTAATCATAGCCCTGATCTCCGTCGCCATCGTCAAATCTTTGTTGGAAGCAACACTAGCATCTAGCGAAAACGCGGTGTTGACAGTGTCCGGCGTCGCGTGATCCGGGAATTGCAAGATGCGATCAAAATCGCTGTCATCGGGGACCTGGTCTGCGACGAGCGCGAGAATCTTGTGGCGCATGACCAGCTTCAGTTTGGCGAGCGTGCCGCTCCCGTACCAGCCGTCGCTGACGATGTCGCATGTCTCGCGGAGGAAATTGGGCGGCTGGGCCTCCGGCGGCGGGAACACGATGCTCCTGAGAAGGGGGTCGGTGATGTCGCAGAACATCCACATGCGGCCGTCTAGGGGCAGCGGGAGTTCGCCCTTGAAGAGGTGGGTATCTGATTTTAGATCTGCATTTGGGTCTGGGGCTGCTGCTTCGTTGAGACGAGGCACAGCGTGGCGACGGCCGCCGTAGCCGTCGCGCGCCGTGTCCGCTTCCCGGGGCAGGATTCGGAACATGACCGTTTGGTAGAGGCGGTAGTCAGGGGATGTTCGCGGGTCGTGGCCAAATTTGATGATTGCGTCGCGCCAGGGTCCGGACCGCATGATGTAGCCTACATAGGGGATTGCGTGCTTTAGGGCGTAGCGCTGTTCGGCGGTTTGGAGGTTGTTGCGCAGACCGCGGCGGGTCCAGGCTGGTCGTTGGCTGAAGAGTTCTTTCACGATGCCTACTGTTTCCTGGAGGATCTTGTCTTGGGTCTCCAGGGGTGGACGGCCTTCTTGGGGTTTGGATGGTACCTCTGCCACGTCGTAGGCGACGAGATGGGTTAGCACTTTCGCTGATTGTTGCGTGTTGACGATTGTGACGTTGCCGGAAGAGTCGACGGATTGGCGGACTGCTTGGTTTTGGCGATATCTATTGCATGGTGTTAGAATGAAATGGGCTTATACTTCTTGATGAGATGAGGACATACGCATAGGTAAATGGGATATCTCCCTGACTGAAGGATGGTGGCGGAATGATATCCACGTTTGATGTAGCGCCTTTGGTCATATCCAGGTCGAATTCCTTCATCTTCTCATCTGCAACACTGTTAGTCTTCCACCTAGTTAAACCAACGGCCTTGAATATAACGAACAATCAAACGACAAAATCTGATCCCGAAACCGATTAGTGAAGGAACTAGCAGACGTCGAGAATACGAAATCCGGCATTCCTATCAAAACCACCCTCCCCAATTAGCATCTCCCGTAAGACAGAAGAGATCAAGATAAAACAAACCCCGAAAAACATGCGTCCGGTTCACAGTACCCACCGCCTCAACCTGGTATCTGCCCACGTTATCGCGCAACGTCCGCAGAAGTTCCTCTGCGCTGCGCCGCGGCTGAAGCTCAGGATTAAGCGTCGAGATAGGGACACCCGTGAACGGCTCATTCGATCCCCGCTTACGCCTACGGCCGGTCTGTTTAGGCACAGTCACCTTCAACAGGACGTTGTTGGACGGCGAGCTGGTTGATTGGACGGGTCTTGACATTGCATCCTCTGGTCGAAGATAGAGGTCAGCTGGTGTATCAGCCTTTGGGGGGTTCAGGATCTGGGATTTGTTAGCTTCAGATTGGGGAGTTCCGGGTTATGGTGGAAATAATCAGCATGATGTGGAGAGGTAAGTGTATCGTATCCCGTACCTTGGAGATTCCCATGTTACCCTGCAGTGTGTTGATGGCTTTATCGACGTTCTGGATAATAGCCGGGTGCTCAACGCTGACGATTTGACGGGATGGGATGTCATAGAATGGGGCTGTTCTGGGGCCCTGGTGTTCGGACATCATGGCTAATAGCTATGGTTCACTATGGGCGGATATTTATGTCGGGTGGCTGCTGAATGAAGTCAAGATACAGATGTATATTTGCGCCAGTACGAGGGTTAGACTGCCATTGACGTCAGAAGGGAAAGAGGTTGTTCTTGAGAAAGCGCGATAGTATAATATCAGAGCAACCCGAGGCAGCGTGATGTCATTACTGAGGGTTATCAGAGATGTATCTGTACTTCTTCCATATGTACATGTAGTAGTAGTTGCTACATTCATGGTTAACTACTTTATATGCTGGTGAATAATTGTCGTTCACGATCACGTGATTCCGCACCCTCTCTTTTTTTTTTTTACACTTCTTTTAAAATTTCTTTCATATGGAGGGTCATTTAGATTGAGATTGAAACATGGCGAAAATTTTTAAAAAAAAAAAGCATGAAGAGTAACCGTAAGGGTCCTTAACTTAAGGCTACTAAAAGAGTCCTCCTGACCATGCGGGCAGCCCACGTATTTTGGTCGATAAATTTTCCCAGGGTTGGTCCCTTGCCTGGTGTTGTACTGTACCTGTCCTCAGGCACGAAAAAGCGCCCGTACCTATAATCGTGGCTGAGAGTGGAAATAACGAGCATAAATCTGAAACAGTCATAACAATTGATTTGATGGCCGTAGAAGGAACGCCAAAGAACAAATATATATATACATATATATATATATATATTCTGTATGAAGTATAGAATAGACTTTCCTGTACTAAATCTTTTAGTAGCTATCTCTCTGCCAAGTTCTCCTTTACTGGGAGTTTACCGTAGTTGGTTGTACTATGTATGGGACTAAGGTCAGTTCCACGGCTTCCACCAACACGTCTGAGCGCACCTCGCCCTCTCAGCCACACACCCCCCGTGAGGCCTTCGATCCCTCTTCCTCATCAATCGGCCTTCTATAAACAATCTGTTTTCTCTCTCTTTTCTCTATCCTATAATAGTCGCGAAGAATTCATTTGAACGGCATTGTGTGGACGACAATCGTGCCGTGAGTCTCAGTATATACGGGGACTCTCTCCCACACCCCCGCTTCTCAACGAGCCGCTAAGCGACAGCCAACGGAAAGACGATTCGATCGTCTACGGACCGACTAACTGCCTAAGTTGCTCCTATACCGCCCAGTTCGCGCCTAAGGAAACAGTGTGAGAGCGACCGAACATCTCCCCCTTCTACTCGTCCCAGTCTGATTCCACTGAGGTAAGTCATGCAGCAATAGTTTCCTGTTCTTCTTGCGCGTCTAGAACCACTTTTTGTTTGTCCCCCTCCTTTTTAGTTTCTCATCTATATGTTCGTTGACATACCGCCTCTTACCCCCCGAGGTGTTCCTGTTGCTTCAATATCCCTCCCCTCTATCCACCTGGACAAATTCTATCATTGGATGTTAGAATCTTACTCCGGCGTTTGTTCACGATTGCCCTAATTGCTTTTATTCCATAATCAAAATAACAAAAACCCTAATCGATGGCTATGTTCAACTGCGTTGTGGTTGGAATTGCTCATGTGGTCATTTCCAGGCCGACATAAACAATCCGGGTCTCCTGAACCGCCATTCACCCTGTCCAACTACGTCCCCTCCTGCTAGCGTGCGGCATCTTGCTGCACTGGCATCGAGATCGCCGACCGAGTACATGTGGCTATTCGAATATCTGCGACAATGAAGGGTTTCAGACAGAGAGTGGTAAGTTGATAAACTCCTCGCCGGCTTGCCTGTTTCCCGTCTGGACCTCGCCCCCCCCCGCCTCGCCATTACGACAGCCGCGAGCCTCCATCCTCCCAGCTAACCGTCCCAGCACGAGCAGTTGTCGAGGGCAAAAGATGCAAATAAATCCTCCAAGAAGAAAGATTCATCCCACTCGTCATCCCAGAACCAGGCGTCCCTAGGAGTCAACCAGAATCAGCAGTCCTCCTCTCCGAAGAACGGCACCCCGACGTCCTCGACAACGTCCGTGAATGATACAAGAGGGAAGTCTCCCGATAATGCGGCGCAGGCCGGGGTATTCCCCCCAGGTCAGTACTATGTTCCTCAAGGCGCAGGCGTCGCTACTGGCCAGCCGGTAAATAATGGTGGTCCAGCAACTCCGACGAAACCAGGGCAGATAGCTCCCAGCGTGGTTATTAGTCCAAGCGCACCGGTGAGCCCTTCCCTTTGACCCCGTTCACATCCCCTTGTTGAGGCGACCTGATCTTTGCCTCGCGTTGGCTCCTCCCGCTGACTCTTGAACCTTTTTTTTTTTTTTTCTTTTAGCATGTCCCTCCCCCCGGCGCCGCCGAGACAATGCCAGGAGACCTAGCCCCTCCAAGAAAGTCCCATGTCTTCGACCGCCTCCAGACAACACCCAAGGATATGTCCGAAGGGATCCGGACCCCCAAACGTCAGCATTCGTCGCGGTTCGATATCTCTGATCAGCGCCAAAGAGAGCTGGAGAAGCTTCCGGGCTTCCATGAAGTGCCGCCCAACCGGCGTCAGGAGCTGTTTATGCAGAAAATCGATCAATGCAATATCATTTTTGATTTCAACGACCCCACTGCCGACATGAAGTCGAAGGAGATTAAGAGACTGGCGCTCCATGAGCTCCTGGATTATGTCGCCAATAACCGCTCGGTGATCACGGAACCTATGTATCCCCGGGTTGTCGAAATGTTCGCCAAGAACTTGTTTCGTCCCATCCCGCCTCCTGTAACGCCTCAAGGGGAGGCATTCGACCCAGAAGAAGATGAGCCTGTTTTGGAAGTGGCCTGGCCGCATATCCAGGTGGTTTATGAGTTCTTTCTGAGATTCATTGAAAGCCAGGACTTCAACACCAATATTGCCAAGGCTTATATCGATCATCATTTTGTATTACAGGTATGTAGTCTGAATGGTGTCGGGCGAACGCAGAATGAGATCCGTGAGTTGACACTACCATAGTTGCTAGAGTTGTTTGACTCTGAAGACCCTCGGGAACGGGATTTCCTGAAAACCACTTTGCACCGGATTTATGGAAAATTCTTGAATTTGCGATCCTACATTCGCCGCTCTATCAATAACGTGTTCTTCCAATTCACCTACGAAACAGAGCGATTCAACGGAATTGCAGAGCTGCTCGAAATCCTAGGATCTATTATTAACGGATTTGCACTCCCGTTGAAAGAGGAACACAAACTCTTCCTAACGAGGGTTCTGCTTCCTCTGCACAAAGCTAAAGGCCTTAGCATGTACCACCCACAGCTGGCATATTGTATCGTGCAGTTTCTTGAGAAGGACGCGTCCTTGACCGAAGAGGTGAGATTTAAATCCGTTCGCTTCTAGGGATCCTTTGACCACCCACTAAACTCCCACTCAGGTTGTTCTTGGCTTATTACGCTACTGGCCCAAGGTCAACAGTACCAAGGAAGTGATGTATTTGAATGAAGTAGAGGATATTTTCGAGGTCATGGACCCGGCAGAGTTTGCCAAAGTTCAGGTTCCATTGTTCCAACAACTGGCCAAGTCAGTTGCAAGCCCCCATTTCCAGGTGTGTATCATTGTGGCATGTCTAATTACACGGCTCCATTGCTCACTCTAGCAGGTGGCGGAACGTGCTCTTTACTTCTGGAACAACGAATACTTTTGCAATCTGGTCAGCGATAATGTGGAAACTATCTTGCCAATTATGTTCCCGCCGCTGTATGAGAACTCGAAAGGGCACTGGAATCGGTAAATCACTCATCACACGGTCCATGATGTACCATGGTGGCTGACATCTAGACACAGCACAATCCATAGCATGGTGTATAATGCTATGAAGATGTTCATGGAAATTAACCCACAGCTTTTCGATGAATGCTCGCATGAGTACAATGAGCGGCAGAACAGTGCTGAGCAGCGTGAAAAAGCTCGAAAGGACAGATGGGAGAAGTTAGCAGCGCAGGCCAAAGACCGACAGAATGGCGTTCCTCCACCTCCTCCACCAGCGGACCTTCCTGTTTATGTGGACGAGGTTGATTCCATCGCTCAAGACAGCCAGAAGCGTCTCCATGCTTTGAAGTTGGATGACTCTGGCTCAGGGAAGGAACGACGGGGTTCAACGGTATGTTACTATCCCTGAGTGTCTGTAGAGTGATGTTTTGACACGACATTGTCTGCACCTCGATGAAATTTTTTGCCCCTGCCTTGTCGTTATCGTTTTGCTAAGATTTTGTCGCTTTTAATGTTACAGCAAGCGTGATTCTAACGTTGAAACGTCCGTTGCTCCAGAGACGGCGCCGCGACTCCCTTGATGATACTCGGAGGCGACGGAGTGGTAGCGGCAGTGAGTTTCGATCGCGCGACCGCCGACGGTCGATCGGTTCGAGTGCCGTGCAGATCATAACACGAAGCAATTCTACCAAGTGACGGACGGTCTATTTGATGGTATTCTTTTATTTAGATTTCCCACAATGATGGCATAGCGACTACGAGCTGCGACGAGTGTGTTTGTTTCCACTTGGTTTGACATTCGATCAGAACCCCCTGCCCGCACCTTTCAACCTCCATCTCCTTCCTATCTTATTTCCTTTTCCTCTTTCCTATTTCATTTTGTGTACATGGCTTTCAATATTCTTCTCTCCGCGCGCAGGGCTATTTTTGTGCCCGTGATTCAAAGCGGACGTTTGAGTTGGACTATTAGAACTGTGTTCGGGTCTGGAAAACGGGTGCAAATGGCGTTTCCCTTAGTCGACGTTGATGTCGATGACCTCTTTTGATTTTAAAACATGAAGTATTTATGGCATAGCAGATTAAATCCACCACTGAATATGCACCTCGCTTGTGGTAATGAAACACGTGCTTCCAGGGCGATGCCCCTGTCCTGGGCCTACGGGCACTGGCGGATGATAGGGGGAATAGCCGAAGGGCGGACCGTAGACGCGCGCCTATCGGAGAGGAGAAATAAAGTACCGGGATTACCTATTACGGCCTAGCGTGGTCGTTCGGGGTCTCTGCGATACCCGCGTTCTCGCTGCTCTTTCTGTTCCGTCAGTTTGCAGGCGTGAATTTGCGCGCAGTTCTTGACCTTGATACCCTCCACTTTCCTTCCCCGCCCTCCCTGTATTTCCCTCTCAGTACGCTCTTTAATTAATTCCTTTTCCTTCCTATGGCTTCTCTTTAACCGGCGAGGGGAATTAATGACTCGATGATTGCGTTCTTTGTCCTGTCCGATGAAACGTCTTCCGCCACATGGTAAATCGAGATAGCCTATTACTGTCGCTATCCCGCACATGAGCACAACGTACGAAGCGGACTGTGCTGGCGCCCAACTCCTAGCCGGCCCCGTGGCCTGGCAGTAATATAATTGATTTAACCTGTTGAAAACTCCTCTGGGAGGAGCTTCGCCGACTATGGAGCGCAATATCGACATTTACGCCAGCAAGCTAGGCGATGAGAAGCTTGGTATGTGGGATATTTTCTCGTCTTGGGGGAATACACCGGACTAAGGCTCGGAACTTGCCTTGGGAGAGACCCGCGGAGCTTGCTGGCCTTGCTGACTGTCGTCTAGATATCAAAATTCGGGCTAACGTCGCGGTTGAACTACGAGATAATATCGAGCCACTATGCTCCGGTTCGAGCTATCCGATATTCCTTTCAAAGCTATGGCCGGTGTTCAAGGGTATTCTGAAGGGCGAGCCGGTGTTCACAAACTTATCGTTCGAGCAGGTGAGTCGCTTTAGTTGGAGATATTGTCATATTATCGTACCTAGTTAGGTGGTCGGCGTACGTTGCAGGGTTGGCGCTTACACGTTGGGATCTCAACTAGAAACTACGCAATTGCGTTCTCGAGACGTTACACCGGCTACCAATGGCCTCCCCCGATGTCGAGCCCTACGCTGCGGATATGTTAGACTTTTTGATGGACCTCGTGCGGATTGAGAATGAAGAGAATGCTGTTCTATGCATGAAGACTATCATGGACTTGGAACGAAACCAGGCAAAGGCTTCGGCCGCCCGCGTCCAGCCGTTTCTGGAGCTCATTCAAGAAATGTTCCAGACAATGGAACAGGTTGTCCGCGATACCTTCGACACACCTAGCCAGGCTACACCCTCCGGCATGCCTTCAACACCAGGTGCAACGGCTCAGAACTTCCAATCTCCTCGACCTAGTTCGCCGGCAACTTCAGTTTCAGACCTCGGCCCGTCAGATCATCAGGGGAACAATGTTCTACTCAGGGGAATGCAGTCGTTCAAGGTTTTGGCAGAATGTCCGATTATCGTTGTCTCCATCTTCCAGACCCATCGAAACTCCGTAGGGACGAACGTGAAGCTTTTTGTGCCCCTGATAAAGAGCATATTGCTTCTGCAAGCTAAGCCACAGGAGCGAGCCCATGCGGAGGCGGCCGCGCAGGGTATGATATTTACCGGTGTATGCAAGGAGATCAAGAACAGGGCTGCCTTTGGCGAATTCATAACAGCACAGGTGAAGACGATGAGCTTTCTAGCATATCTGCTGCGCATGTATGCCCATCAGCTCCAAGATTTCCTTCCTACGCTGCCTTCAGTGGTGGTCCGTCTTCTCCAAGACTGTCCAAGGGAAAAGTCTAGTGCGAGAAAGGAACTTCTTGTTGCAATTCGTCATATAATCAACTTCAACTACCGCAAGATCTTTCTGGAGAAAATTGACGAGCTTCTTGATGAGAGAACTCTGATCGGAGACGGACTTACTGTGTACGAAACAATGCGACCTCTCGCCTACAGCATGCTCGCGGACTTGATTCACCACGTACGAGACCATCTGACTCGTGATCAGATCCGGCGCACTGTCGAGGTATATACTAAGAACCTCCACGACGATTTCCCAGGGACAAGCTTCCAGACAATGAGTGCCAAGTTGCTTTTGAACATGGCGGAAAAGATCTCCAAGCTTGACGATAAGCGAGAGGCTCGGTATTTCCTTATCATGATTCTCGATGCGATTGGCGACAAGTTTGCGTCCATGAATTATCAGTTCGACAATGCGGTGAAAGTGTCCAAGGCGTTCAAGACAGGCAAGAAAGACATCGAGCCTTCTTCCGAGAGATATCTCGCCGATAAAGACCACCCCCCTGACTGGGACGAAATTGACATTTTTTCGGCTTCACCCATCAAAACCTCCAACCCTCGAGACCGAGGAGGAGATCCGGTCTCAGATAACATTTTTCTCTTCAAGAACTTGATCAACGGTTTGAAGAATATCTTCCACCAGCTCAAGAACTGCAACCCAGACCACATTCAGATCGATCCGAATAGTGTCCCAATCAACTGGTCAGAGGTCTCTTACGGTTATAATGCGGAAGAAGTTCGGGTTATTAAAAAATTGTTCCACGAGGGAGCTCGGGTCTTCAAGTATTACGGCGTAGACCAGCCACCACCAGATGTAAATTACTCTTCGCCCTTCGATTTTCTTGCGAGTCAGTATACAGCACCAATGTCACGAGAAGAAAAGGAACTTCTGGAGAGTTTTGGAACTGTATTTCACTGCATCGACACTGCCACATTCCACGAGGTCTTTCATTCTGAGATCCCATACCTTCATGAGCTGATGTTTGAACATGGCGCTTTATTGCATCTGCCCCAGTTCTTTCTAGCAAGCGAAGCTACGTCTCCCGCCTTTTCTGGGATGGTACTACAGTATCTTATGGATCGGATCCATGAAGTGGGAACATCCGATATGACAAAGGCTAAGATCTTGCTCAGGATGTTCAAGCTCTCTTTCATGGCAGTAACGCTCTTTTCAGTCCAGAATGAGCAAGTGTTACATCCTCATGTAACCAAGATTGTGACTAAATGTATAGAGCTTTCAGTGACCGCGGAAGAGCCTATGAACTACTTCCTTTTGCTGCGGTCACTCTTCCGCAGTATTGGTGGTGGTCGTTTTGAGCTCTTATACAAGGAGATCTTGCCTTTGCTAGAAATGCTTCTCGAGACGTTCAATAATCTGTTGGTTGCAGCTCGAAAGCCTCAAGAGCGCGATCTCTATGTTGAACTCACTCTTACTGTTCCTGCTCGTCTCAGCCACCTCTTGCCACATCTTAGCTATCTCATGCGTCCTATCGTAGTAGCACTGCGCGCAGACTCTGACCTAGTGGGACAGGGGCTGAGGACTCTTGAGCTCTGTGTGGATAATCTCACTGCTGACTACCTGGATCCTATTATGGCTCCCATTATGGACGAGTTGATGACAGCGCTTTGGGACCACCTTCGCCCACATCCGTATAATCACTTCCATGCGCATACAACGATGAGAATATTAGGCAAACTTGGTGGTCGCAACCGAAAGTTCCTTAACCATCCTCCTGAACTTATTTTTGAGCAATTTACCGATGACGCTCCTAGCTTTGATATCAAGCTAATTGGGCCTAGTGAGAAGCGGCCTTTTCCCGTTGGGATCGGAATTGATTTGGCAATTGGAAAGTTAATGGAAATCCCAAAATCGTCTGCAGCGCAGGCGTCTGATGCGTACTATAAACAGCAGGCATTCCGCATGATCTCGTCGCAGCTGAAACTTTATATTGGACCCGAAAATGTTCCAGAGGATTTGGCATCACTCATTCGGCTACACGCTAATGACCTCTTCGAGAACAAGACCACAGGCATGGCTGATATCCTAGACAAGTCGGAGCGGTCAAGCTCTATTCCCAAGAAGTTGTCACAGGAGGCTTCGCTAAAGAAGCTGATCAAGGCCTGCATTTTTGCTACCACTATCTCTGATTTGAAGCAAACTGCGACCAATTTTGTGGCCGATGTCTGCAAACATTTTGCTGTCGTTGAGGTTGGGCGAGCTCTTGCCCAGGTCAGACATAATCGTAAGCCGTTTGATGTTTCCAGTGGCGAGGGATCTGTATACCTGGACTCACGAGTCCTTGCTGAGGCTCTCGTCGAGAGCCTATCATCTGACAACGTACGTGTACGTGAGGGTGCGCAGGCAGCGATGCAGGTTATGAAAGACGCAGCTGGCGTCATCTTTGGATCGCCTGACCGTGTATCAAAGCTACCGTTCTTCCAGCATCTTGGCCGTGTCTTCTGCCATAGTTGTCATAGCGAAGAGTGGTTTACAAAAGCTGGAGGTAGCCTTGGTATCCATCTTTTTGCGACTGACTTGGACCTGGGCGATTCCTGGCTCTTCGATAAACAAGCTGATTTTGTTCGAGCATTGATGTATGTCATCAAGGATACACCCGCCGATCTACCAGCTAGTACAAGAATAAGGGCACAAGACACCCTGGACTTGATTCTGCGAAGGTGCTGCAAGAGCGTTTCCAAGGATGACCTGAAAAATGAGAAAAGCCGCCTCTATTCTTTGTGCGGATTTTTCGTCTATGAGCTGTCGCAGATGAACAAATATGTCCGTGAAGCCTCTCGTCGCAGTTTCTCAACCATCTCTGAAGTCCTTGAATGCCAAGTCCATGAGCTCATCTTGCCTGTGAAGGATCGTCTGTTGCAGTCTATCTTCAATAAACCTTTGCGAGCTCTGCCTTTTCCCACCCAGATCGGCTTTATCGATGCTATCACTTTCTGCTTGAGCCTTCATAATAACATCGTGACGTTCAACGATCCGTTAAACCGACTCATGCTGGAATCTCTCGCTTTGGCCGATGCTGATGATGAGTCCTTAGCGTCTAAGCCGAATGAGTTCAAGAATGCTGAGATGATCGTGAACCTACGTGTGGCTTGCCTGCGTCTTTTATCAATGGCCATGAGCTTTCCAGAATTCGCCAATACTCCCCAAAATACCAGCCGTGCTCGGATCATTTCTGTCTTTTTCAAGTCTCTTTACTCTCGGTCTCCTGATGTTATCGAGGCGGCAAACGCAGGTTTGAGAGATGTCCTCACGCAGACAAACAAGCTTCCAAAGGACCTATTGCAGAATGGTCTTCGTCCCATTCTCATGAACCTTCAAGATCCCAAACGCTTGAGCGTCGCCGGTCTTGACGGTCTTGCCCGGCTGTTGACCTTGCTAACCAATTACTTCAAGGTTGAAATCGGTGCTCGCCTTTTGGATCATATGAAGGTCATTGCCGATGACGCAATTTTGCAAAAGGTGTCCTTCAGTCTCGTCGAGCAGAGCCCACCGATGAAAGTTGTTGCTGCAATTTTCAATATTTTCCATCTTCTTCCCCCAGCTGCCACATCTTTCATGGAACATCTTGTTAACAAGGTATTGGATCTTGAAGACAAGCTCCGCCGGACGTCTAACAGTCCCTTCCGCAAGCCTCTTGTTAAGTATCTCAACCGTTATCCGAAAGAGAGCTTAGCCTTCTTCCAGGCTCGCTTCAAGGAGGAGCGATTCGGGCGATTTTTTGGCCAGGTTCTTGCTGATCCGGAAAGTGAATCCTTGCGTTCGGCAGTGGTTGCGGAGACTGATGGCTTCACTTCTGCTTTCTTCGGGCAGGAGTCTACGGATGGCAAGAACACTGCTGCGATAAACGGCATCTATGTTACCCATTCTATTTGCTCCTATGACTCGACAAAACGCTGGCTTGTATCCCATGCAGATTTAAGGGCTAAGCTTCTAAGCTCCGGGCGAGACCTTGAAAAGAAACTGCGCAATGACAAGTTACCAGCCACTGAACGGCTGAGAGTCGAGCAGGCCGAGGATCAGTTGATGGATATATTCACAATCTACCTGTCAGAGTCAACGCAAGATCTAGACTTCCTCTTCGAAGTTATGGATGGGCTGTCTGCAGATGAACTGAAGCGCACGCTGGCATTCCCGAAGTTCATTTATCGCCATATCATCACCAATGAATCTATTGACTATCGTCGCTCAGTTATTATGCGTTGTCTTGACCTGTATGGTCAGCGCACCTGCTCTCAGAAGATGAAGACTTATGCCTTTCGCAATCTAGTGAACCCTATATTTGCAATGGATGTCCAGACAACTTGGAATCACAGCCCTAACAGTCCCAAATTGATGGACAAGAGCATGACGGAGTTTATTCAGAGTCGCCTATGGAAGCCTCAGTTAGCGGACTTGAGTGAAGAGTCGAGCCAGTCCGGTGTTGACCATTCTCGCATGGAACTTCTTCAGTTGTCTGCCCTGTTGATCAAATACCATCATCAGACCGTGCAGGATTCCCGCAAGGACATTATCAAGTTCGCATGGAATTATATCCGGCTCGAGGATATCATTAACAAATATGGAGCCTATGTTCTCATTAGCTACTTCATAGCCCACTACGAGACGCCGTTCAAGATCGTGGTCCAGGTCTATGTTGCTCTCCTGAGAGCACATCAGAACGAGGGTAAAGCTCTTGTTACTCAAGCTCTTGATGTTCTGGCTCCCGTTTTGCCTGCTCGTATCATGACCGCGAGTAGCAACGCACAAGCACCAGATGCCCGTTATCCATTATGGGCTAAATGGCCACGGCGCATCCTAGCTGAAGAAACTGCGAACCTGCAGCAGGTGATGAGCATCTTCCACTTCCTCGTTCGCCAGCCGGATCTTTTCTATGAGTCACGAGAGCATTTTGTGCCTCTTATTGTGCCATCATTAATCAAGATCGCTGCTCCTCCAAACTCATCGAATGAGAGCAAGAAGCTGGCACTTAACCTCATAAACCTTATCTGGCAGTGGGAAGAGAAGCGTGTGAAGACCCATGCTGCTATGCCAAACGGGACTATCGAGTCTCCAAATACAAAGAAACGTAAACTCGAGGAAGCCCAGGGCACATCGTCTCCTTCACTTGCTCCGCCCAGTACCCGTGAACGCTCCGAATATATGGTTCCTCCTGATCTCCGAGCTGCATTGACAAAGTATCTTATTACATTCATCACGACTATCCCTGAGCGATTTACCGTTCCAGCTGCTCGGATCCGTGACCTTGCTTCGTCTAAGACACAGCAGCCTGTACTTACAGGAGACATGATTAAGAAGGCCATCCACTTGCTGAGAAACCTTCTGTCTCCAGAATACTGGGGTGATCTGGATATCGAACTCTATCAAAAAGTCACAGAGCCAATTCTTGCCGGGGAAAAAGCCGACAAACCCGACGAAAAGCACACCACGAGTATGATCAATGCTTTGCAAGTTGTGCGGGTCCTCTTGGCAGCTAAACAGGATGACTGGATTACGGCTCGTCTACCATTGATCCAGAAGCTCTTCGAGAAGCCTCTGCGTTCTGATAACCCGGAGATACAAGACTGTCTCCATGGCGTAGAGGATGACGTGGACATCTTCCCTAAGCTGCGCCCTCCAGTAAGACGCGTACTCGGTGCCCTCCCTGATGATCAGCCAGAAGACGAAGATGCCATGGATGTTGAAAATTCGCCCTCTGAGTTTGTTACGTATTTGTCAACCATCGCAACGGAGACGCTTTCGGCAAACAACTATGTATCTAGCCTCAATGTCCTCTGGACTTTGTCTAAAAATAAGCCTGCGGAGATGGACACTCATATCCCGCAGGTTATGAAGGTTTTCTCTCAGAAATTGGCGAAGGAACATGTAGCAGCTTCCACAACCAACCAAGGCCAGTTCCCTCAAAACGCTAAACCTGGAGAAGGGGTTCCAGATCAACAGGAGTATGAAATTGGAGTGGACTTAATATTCAAAACCATTGAGTTGATATCCGTGCGCATGTCACATCTAGGAGAACAACGGCGCCCCTTCTTGAGCGTTCTAGCTCAGCTCGTGGAGCGATCACAGAATATCAAACTTTGCAGTAAGGTGCTGGGTATGGTTGAGACTTGGATTTTCCACTCCAATGAATCTTGGCCCACCTTGAAGGAAAAGACTGCGGTTTTGCACAAGATGCTCCTTTTCGAGTCGAGACAAGACCAAACCATGCTCAAGAAATTTCTTGACCTTGTCATCAGGATCTACGAGGACTCCAAGATCACGCGAACCGAACTTACTGTCAGGTTGGAGCATGCCTTCTTGATCGGTACTCGGGCACAAGATGTCGAAATGCGTAACCGCTTCATGACCATCTTCGATCGGAGTCTGACACGCTTGGCCAGCTCTCGTCTTAGCTATGTTTTAACCTGCCAGAACTGGGATACCCTTGCAGACTCGTTCTGGCTTTCACAGGCATCCCATCTAGTTCTGGGCTGTGTGGACATGAATGCTCCAGCTAAGCTGCATTCTGACGATTTCACTCTTTATCCTCTATCGTTCCTGTTCGGAAGTGCAGACAAAGATCAAAGAAAAGCTGATGTAATGGTTGACACTCAACTCGAAGCGTTTGTGTCTGACCGCAAGCGATTTGTAGCAGATATCAGTGATGTCAGGACTAGAGATTTGATGGAGCCACTCTGCCAGTTGCAACATACTGATCCAAATGTTGCCTACACTCTCTGGACTAATCTTTTCACTATCTTCTGGTCCACCTTGTCGAGAGAAGATCGTATTGATTTGGAAAAGGGAATGATTACTCTGATCACACGCGAGTATCACCAGAGACAACTAGATAAGAGACCAAACGTCGTGCAAGCGCTGCTTGAGGGCGCTGTTCGCGCTAAGCCACGATTCAAAATCCCTCCCCATGTGATGAAGTATCTTAGCCGGACCTACGATGCTTGGTATACAGCTGCCGGGTACCTAGAAGAAACTGCCATTAACCCCATAATCGACACTCCGACAGTCCGCGAGAGCAATCTCGACGCGCTTGTGGAAGTCTATGCAGGCCTGCAGGAGGATGACTTCTTCTATGGTACCTGGCGACGTCGTTGCAAATTCGTCGAGACGAATGCTGCTCTTTCGTATGAACAGCAAGGAATGTGGGATAAGGCTCAGCAATTGTATGAAAATGCCCAGATCAAGGCTCGCTCTGGAGCAATGCCGTTCTCTCAAGGTGAATACTACCTATGGGAGGATCATTGGTTGATATGTGCACAAAAGCTGCAACAATGGGAGATTCTCAGCGACTTTGCCAAACATGAGAATCTGAACGATCTTCTTCTTGAGGCTGCCTGGCGCAACATTGAGAACTGGCAGAGCGAAGGCAATAGAGAGCAGCTTGAATCTCTCATCAAGTCCGTTTCTGATGCACCAACACCGAGACGTACCTTCTTCCAGGCATTCATGGCGCTACTCCAATACCATATCAAAAAAGAAAACCTTCAGGAGTTCAATGGTGTTTGCGACGAGTCCATTCAGCTGTCCATCCGCAAGTGGCTTCAGTTACCGAAGAGGATAACAAATGCTCACATCCCTATCCTGCAGCACTTCCAGCTGTTGGTTGAGCTCCACGATGCAAGCCACATCTGCACTAGCCTCTCGCAGACCAATGAGCGAAACCTGGACACAAAATCAGCCGAGCTAAAGTTGCTGCTAGGAACGTGGCGTGACCGCCTTCCCAACCTCTGGGACGATATCAACGCTTGGCAAGATCTGGTTACATGGCGTCAGCATATCTTCCAACTGATCAATGCAACATACCTCAGCTTGCTGCCACCACAGACCAACAATGTGGCCAGCAATTCCTATGCTTACCGTGGATACCATGAGACTGCATGGATCATAAACCGCTTTGCCCACGTTGCACGTAAACATCAAATGCCCGAGGTGTGTATCAACCAGCTTAGCCGGATCTATACACTGCCGAATATCGAGATTCAAGAAGCGTTCTTGAAGCTGCGGGAACAAGCAAAATGTCACTATCAGAATCCCAAGGAGCTGAATAGCGGACTGGACGTGATCAACAACACGAATCTCAATTACTTTGGGGCACAACAGAAGGCAGAGTTCTATACCTTGAAGGGCATGTTCCTGGCTAAATTGAGTCATGTCAGCGAGGCGAACGACGCGTTTGGCGTCGCTCTTTACTATGACCTGAGACTTGCGAAGGCTTGGTCCGAGTGGGGACAATACAGTGACCAGCGATTCAAGTCGGACGCATCAGATTATGAGTTAGCCAGTAATGCCGTAAGCTGCTACCTAGAAGCTGCAGGTCTTTACAAAAATTCCAAAGCTAGGAAGTTGCTCAGTCGTATCCTTTGGCTTCTTAGCTTGGACAATGACGAAGGTCGGGTTGCGGCCGCCTTTGAGAACTTCAAGGGAGACACTCCTGTCTGGTATTGGATCACCTTCATACCACAGCTTCTCACAAGTCTTTCACATCGGGAAGCCCGCCTTTGCAAGGCTCTTCTGGTGAAGATCGCAAAGTTGTACCCGCAGGCACTCTTTTTCTTACTCCGTACGAATAGGGAAGATATGCTCAACATCAAAAAGCAGCATGATCAGAAGCAGGAGAAGCTGAACCGTGCCAGGCAGCAGCAGGCCCAGGCGCACGCACAAGCTTCACCGCAACCCAAGCCTTCTCCATCCACTGCAAGCGGCTCGCCTGCGCAAAATGTTCATCTTCCGAACGCCAATACATCGACTCCCGTTCAAGGTCAGACGAATTTGCCCAACCAGCAGCAAGCCCAGAATCAAATCCAGCAGGGATTAGCTCAAAGCCAGAGTCCACAAATAAGCCATAGCGCCGGCCAGTCTCCTGCCCAGGGCCAAATTCAGCAGGCCCAGAACCAAGGTCAAGGCCAGGCTCAAGCTCAAGTGCAACCAGGTCAGGGTCAAACTCCAACTCAAGGAGGGCAGCAGCAAAACCTTCAGGTTCCTGGACAGAATGGGGTGCCGCAGCAGAACCAAAATGCTAGTACAGAGCCCGAGAAAGAGCCTCTTAAGAAGCCATGGGAATACTCAGATGAGATCATGTCTGGTCTCAAAACAGCTTTCCCATTGCTTGCGCTGTCTATGGAGACGATGGTCGACCAAATCCATAAGAACTTCAAATGCCCACCCGACGAGGATGCCTATCGTCTTATTGTCGCCCTCCTGAACGATGGACTGGCGTACGTTGGCCGCATGCCTGGTTCATATGCGCAGGACTTCAAGCTTCCTGCCCCGACGGAAGCAAATATCACGCGCTTCGCTGAGACTATCCTCCCGGCCCATATCCGCAAATCTTTTGAGGCCGATTTTGTTGTCAAGAAACCTACAATGTATGAGTATATCCAGAAGTTGCGGCGTTGGCGTGATAAGTTTGAAGAGAAGCTTGACCGCCGCCCTCAATCCCAATTTTTGGAGAGCTACTCGCCCCATCTCAGCGAGTTCCGATTTCTTAAGTTCGACGAGGTCGAGGTACCTGGCCAGTATCTGCTGCACAAGGACAAGAACCAAGACTTTGTCCGCATTGATCGATTCCTCCCTGATATTGATCTAGTCCGCGGCATTGGTGTTTGCCACAGGCGTTTGAAGATTCGTGGTCATGATGGTAGTGTGCATCCCTTTGCCGTTCAGCACCCAGCGGCTCGACACTGTAGGCGCGAGGAGCGTATTCTACAGTTGTTCCGTATTTTCAATGGGCTTTTGGGCAAGCGCAAGGAAAGCAGACGGCGAAATCTCTATTTCCATCTCCCACTTATGGTTCCGTTGGCGCCTCATATTCGTTTGGTCCGTGATGATCCCTCGTATATTTCCATGCAGGGTATCTATGAAGACTATTGCCGACGAATTGGAATCAACAAGGATGATCCTGTTCTCTTCACGATGGAGAAGATGAGGTCATTGGCAGAGACGAAGCAGAGTGTAAGTGATATTTCCACGCCTATCGATTCGAGTAAGGCTAACATCTCTCAGCGGACACCTGATCAACAACAGGTACTTCGAACTGAGATCCTCACAGCGATCCAGGAGAAATGGGTCCCTAGCCATATCGTGTTGGACTACTTCCAGAAGACGTACCCGAACTTCTCTGATTTCTGGCTCTTCCGCCGTCAATTTGCCTACCAATATGCAGCCATCGCCTTCATGACTTATGTGATGCACATGGGCAACCGGTATCCTAACAAGATCATGATTTCCAGGACGACGGGTGATATTTGGAGCTCGGAGCTGATCCCAGCCATCAACCCGACTAAGGCATTCTTCTACAACCCGGAGCAAGTGCCTTTCCGTTTGACTCCCAACATCCAGACATTGATGGGACCTATCGCCACTGAAGGTCTATTTGCTTGTGCATTGATGGCAATTGCCCGATGCCTAACGGAGCCCCGCCATGAGCTGGAACAGCAGCTTAGCATTTTCGTCCGAGATGAGATGATGTTCTGGGCTACAGCACAGCATCGTGGCGTTCTACCCGTGCCGCAGCTTCGTGATTTGGTATATAACAATAGCGATGTCATCGTCAACCGGGCCGTCAGTCTTGCCAGTCCTCCGGAAGGCAACCTGCCAGCCAATCAAACTACTGTCGACCTGATCTCTAAGGCTGTCAACCCTCAGCACCTCGCAACTTGCGATGCTTTGTGGATGCCTTATCTCTAGGCCCGGGACTTTTTGTTTTTCTGCTTCTTCGATGTATTAGTTCCTCGTACTTGTTTGGCGTTCTATTTACTCGGCGGATCGTGGAGGATTGTCTATGATTCTAATCAGCCGCTTGGGGTTTATTGCGGTACTACTTTACTGTTCTAGCGTGGCGCTCTGGGAAATATCTTTGATGGATATGCTTATGACTTGCTTTTTAATCGCTAGATGTTCTTGATTGCTTTTGCCATAGTAGCTCTACGAATCAAAATAATTTGGCAGTCAGTTCGTATCATTTAGTCATAATGCTCGTAGACAGCTATATCCCATGTAAACCCCCCCAGCCAAACGCCAAAGACTATCGAGATGTACAAATCCCAACGAAGAGAATCACACCAGCGATGGCTTCACCTTCTTCTTAATGCCCAAACTATTCGGCAATGGCTTCTTAGCCTTCTTCACTCGTACGAACGAAGGCGGCGCCTCACTCTGCTTGGGCTCCGGCGTAGCTCCGTTGGAATATTCATCCTCAACAAGCCTCTTCACCTTCTCCCCAGTCTCTGTGGTAAATGCCCTCCGCGCTGCCTCCTCGATCTCCTTCTCAGCCTTCAACTTCTCCTCGTCTACTTCCTCTCGCACGTGCGCAAGCGCCGCCTCGTCGCCCAGGGCTTCATTCCGCTCGATCCTGGCATTCCTGGTCCGAATCTCATCCAGCGCATCCGCGATGGCCATCTCCCTCTTCGAGTCATGCATTTTCTCCTCCAACTCGGCCATCTTATCCCGCTCCGCCCGTTCATGCTCCTCGTTATCCTCCTTCTCCAACCGATCCAGCAACTGCTCCTCCGTCTCATTATAGGTTTCACTCTTCGGGTCACGCCACGGCTCGAAATTTCGTTTTGCCCCCTTCTCCGCCGTGTAATCCATGTTCTTCGGATCCGTCTTGAATGTAATCTCGCCGCTACAACGCGTACATCTGATGTAAAAGCGATAGATGGGAATCGAAAAGTATTTCTCCTCTGTCGTCTCTTTGCGCGCGTTGAACTTGCGACCCTTGTAGATAAATTCTCCACACCCAGTACATTTCATAGCTTTTAAAAGATTCCGTTAGCTTGATCTCTGGTCTCATCATGCTGGAGGTGGCAAAACATACAGAAAGGTGCCATGAGGCGAACCGTTATGACCTTTGGACCACTTTGCCTGAGAGCTTTTGGCGTTCGCCCGATTGCACTTGGATCAAAGTCTGGCGGATAGTACTAAAAACAGTTAGTTCTTGTTAAGATTGACCTGGAATATCGGTATCCTTATATCAGAGAAGGGGAACGCACCTTAGATAGAACCTTTCTCTCGGACATTTTGGCGGGTTTGGGGGTGGGCTGTTGGTGTTCTGATTGAAGTGTGGTGTGGTCTGTTCAGTGGGTATTGAAATATATCTATTTCGAAGTCTCACGTTATGGTTTGGGAAAGAAAATGCGTTGGAAGGCGATTTGATATTGATTGATATCTGGATGATGTTTGGCCATTGTCACGTGGTTTCGTTAGTCAGGATGTCTTTTCTAAGCTCGGGGCTATTCCTGTTTCGGCGAAGATCTTGATATCGGCGCGGTGGTACCAGGATATGCCAGATCTTTACTCTTCATAGGCTTTATTCTTCTAGTAATTGTCTTAGTGCTGTCTAATTTATGGTTTGCCTTAAGATATATACCCTCCGCCTTCTTTTAGCTAACATTCTTGACAGGCTATGACGTATTTATATGTACCCCGAGGAAGACATATATAATATCCTTGAGATGGACTACGAGCATCACGATTCTAGCCTGTAACAAATGCAATAAAAAGCAGTACATCAAGCTACGATAATTTTCAACCGAAAGCGACAGTATGTGGGCGGTTTCATTAGCAGCAATGCCTGCTTCTTGAGGTCCTCTATTAGTATAGCCTGGCAAGGAGTTCGTATCTCAGATCTATAAACTCAGGCAGTTATCAATTGGCAGGCCCTAATTTGCCAGCAATTCGTATAATAGAGCTTGTGGTGGGGAGAATGACGTTCTGATAGCCCTTGTTCTTGGATCCGTATGGGTCGTCTGACTTTCGATGTATCGATTTTATGTAGACATGGTTCCCTAGCTCGGGACTGGGAGATAGGGTCGAGAAAAGACAGGTACTCTTATCTAATAGCGGGTTGCCATTCATTAGAAATCTCAGGTCATCCTATTAGAATTGAACGAAGACTATTGCTTTCATTATGAGGTTGTGCTTAAGGCATGAGGATGAGGTCGATATCAAACTACCGGATGAGGTAAGCGCACAGACCCAGTGACGCGCCATTTTGGGAAGCATAAAACAAGCAAACAAAACAGTCAAACATGCAATTCCGCGGATCGCATCAAGAGATCCCAATCTGCACTCTCTCCTTCCTTCTTGCGTCGGACGTACACCAGGCAAGTTATTCCTGTCGATAAGTCGTCATCGTCTCTTCATTGGACGACAGTTACCCCCGAAAACTGCCGTGGAAGAGTTTTGGGGTTTACACCTGGAAGCGACGAATGCGCCTGACCTTCATCGCCCCTCCGGACCCCATGCCTCTCTGCAACAATTCCGAGTTTCCCTGAACCCTTCTCACCCTTGCTCGAAAGCGCATACCAGCCCGTGCCATGGAAAAATTTCTTCGCTCCTGGCGACAAGATGCGTTGAACCGCGGACAGCATGATGCGGCAGTCTATATCGGTGATAAAGTGCTCGCGTTAACAAGTCCGGTGATCCTGTGCTCCCACTTTGTAGAACTAGGAACTAACATATTCTACCCCATTAGACAGCGATTCTGATGCCTTTTGGCTGGCACAGGTGCATTTCTCGAATAATAACTTCGCTCGAGCCTTGGCTCTTCTCTCACGGAAGGATTTAATCTCCAGAAGTACCGCCTGTCGCTACTTGGCCGCGCATTGCTATATAAAGCAAAACCAGTTTGAACAGGCTCTGTCGATACTCGGTGACCATAACCCGACTCATTTGATCCGCAGTAGCAACAACAGTAGTAGCCGCCGCAAGCTGCAGCACCTCAACAGCCAAAGCCATGTCACATTACGCAACGGAAAGACCACAGCTTCGCGGGTCGATCGCGGCGAAGAGCGGGAACGGGAGGACGCAAACAATATTAGGTTTGAGGCCGCAATGTGCTATCTAAGAGGGCTTTGCTTTGCCAAACAGAACGCCTTCGACCGTGCCCGAGATTGTTACAAGGATGCTGTGCGGATCGATGTCCAGTGCTTTGAGGCTTTTGACCAATTGATGAAGAACTCACTCATGTCACCTGCAGAGGAGCTCGAATTTCTTGAATCCCTTGACTTCGATTCTATCTCAAGTCCGGATCCGGCCGTGTCTCAAGAAGCCGCTCATTTTACAAAAATGCTCTATACAACCCGACTATCCAAATACTCATCGCCTGCAATTCTTTCAGACGCAACTGAAACTCTGTCGACACATTACAACCTCTCAAAAAATCCTGATATACTACTTTCACGTGCAGAGGCTCTCTATACCCAATGTCGCTTTGCAGAGGCGTTGGAGCTGACCTCATCTATCCTGTCAACCTCTCAGTCGTCCACAGCGCTGTCCACGACGACTGCCCCTATTCCAGCCCAGAACCACTTGGGGCATGCACCTGCTGTGTATCCTTTGCATCTGGCATGTTTATATGAAACTGGTGCCACCAATGCGCTCTTCCTTCTATCTCACACCTTGGCGGACCACGCTCCAGAAGAGTCTTATACCTACTTAGCCATCGGCGTCTACTATCTATCCGTTTCTAAAGTAGCTGAAGCACGGCGATTCTTTTCGAAAGCATCTTTGCTGGACCCTCATTCCGCGCCAGCATGGATTGGATTTGCTCACACCTTCGCCGCTGAAGGAGAGCACGACCAAGCCATTGCGGCCTATAGTACGGCTGCCCGGCTCTTCCAGGGGAGTCACTTACCCCAATTATTCCTTGGCATGCAGCATTTGGCCTTGAACAACATGTCGTTGGCCCATGAATACCTGTCCGCGGCCTATGCCATGTCGACCGGCGCAACATCCGGATCCGTTCCCTCAATCCCCCCCAATCCATCAACTGGAATATCTACACTGGGTGGTGATCCGCTAGTCCTTAATGAACTGGGAGTTGTCCTCTACCATCAAAATCACCTTGAACCTGCCATAGAACTCTTCCGCCAATCTCTCGCCTTAGCCACTTCCCTAAATTGCGAGCCAGGAGCCTGGGTAGCCACACGAGCGAATCTGGGTCATGCACTGCGTCGTATTGGTCGTTTTACCGAGTCGCTAATCGAATTTGATGAATGCCTTCGTGTTGGTGCTGGAGGTGCCAGCTTTGGGTATAGCCCATTCTTAGGAGGAAGCGGAGGCAATGCTTCTGGTGCAGTATCGTCAGGTGTAGGAGGATATGAGGACCGTGGTTTGATTGGCTCCCTTCACACTGCTCGCGGCCTTGTTCTCCTGGAACTTGGCCGGACAATGGAAGCTGTCACCGCTCTTCATGAAGCCGTCCGGGTCCTGGGGGCTAGTGGTGGCGGCGATGCTGCTGGTGGTGCTGGCGTTGCTGGAACGCTTCTCTCTCGAGCTCTGGAGATATGGGCGCTGGAGGGTACCAAGACCGAGTCAATACTGTCGGAAGAGATCAGCCGAGCAGGAACCGTGAGTCGAAGTTCAACACGGTCATCACGTGATAAAGGAAAATCCAAACTTTCAAGGCGACGCGCCATCACGGAGGAATCTTATTCCGAGGAGTGGACGGATGAAGTTGCTCAGGTTGATTCGCATAATGTTAGAGGTGGCTCTGAGACACTGGAGGAAAAGGTGGAGATGGAATTGGACGTTGAGGCAGATGGACTTTTGCGCCAAGCGATGAGCCGCGTCCGAGGCGGACGAAGCAGACGACAACCTATCTTCAGCCCCGAGGTGGAAGCTAGCGATTTACCGGGGCCTACTGGTGGCCGTCGCCGAGGGTCTAGGACGTTGAGAACCAATGCTAGACAGTGAATGTGTCGGATTTTGGATGCTGTAGCCATTTCACGATTAGAAGGCTGGATTTGGATGCATTGCAGTTGGGCGTTTGGATGAATTATACCCGGTTTGTTCATTGATCTTGAGATCTATGGGGAAGGGTTCCATTACATTCGTGGCGTATAGGATGGCTTTTTTTGGTTTCGTTTCTGTCAGTAGAAGAAGTTCGATGTCGGAGAGAGAGTTGAGGAGGTAGATAGAAATGGACTTACCCCTTCCAGTGGATTCGGATCTTAATATTTTCCTCGACTTCCCCTAGTTGGCTCTTGAATGTAATTCAAGTGGTGCTAGCGCAATCTCGAAGACGTCTGCTCTATATCGGAACGCTCCTCCGGTTACTCTGGTAACTATATTTAAGCGGGCGACCTCAGCAACGATGCAGCTAACTATTCTTCTTGTCAACCCCTCGGTTTAAATTGTGATAGTATGCGTCTTTGTATTAACATTAAGTAGAACTACCAAACGGGATTGACTCGTGCAAGTTCCTTACCATGGTCGCCGATGATTCGGATGCGGTGATCTCAAGCCCTTTGGATCTGAGATTGACGCTCTAGCCCTGGGTTTCCTGGCACGCAGGGGGACATGCTTGATCAGTTTCCATATGCGTCAGTCTGTTCCCCTACCAGTTCCATACTTTTCTCCAGCACCCATAACCACATTGCTGGGCTAGGCTAGATAGCTGAACATATGAGAACGCCAAACAATACGAGGGCAAGCCAGGGTACCAGGGATACCTCAATTGGGGAGTAGCCGCTCTATCCGAAATGCTACATGAAACTGGTTACTTCACAGTTATCCCCGAGAAATGGTACGTACAATCTACCAATCAAAATGCGAATCCCCAAGGGCTAATTGGTTGGCAAGGCACTTGGCACTGAAGAGAGAGATCGCACCCTGTTCTCGCGGGTTTAAGAAGAACTTCTCGTACCTTGCTGGATGCGGGAAGGATTTCATCTACGAGCCCCAGCTGGAGTATGCTGGAGATGGCTCCTTCACTCTGATGAGACTGTCTAAATGGAAGTCTTCGCCGCGATGGTCGACCGAATTGACCAAAAAACCCAACGCGTTGTCGACCACCTGTAGGCAACTCGAGAACTAGACAACACCTTCACCCTCTTCATGTCTGGCAACGGCGCTAAGTGCACCATGCTCGAAACCCTACCCCTGATGGGCGGCATGAGCCCTTCGCGCAATGTCAAGACTAACACCAACAAGCACTACAACAACTCCGTCGAGAACATCGGCATGCTTGATTAATTCGTCTGGTACGATCCCGCATGGGCCAGCACGGCCATGGCGCCCTCGCGCGGACCCAAGGCCTGGATCACGGACGATGGGATTCGGTGTCTGGATGTAGTGCGGTACCCACTCCTAGGAGCCAGAATAGGGTAAATCGACTCCTCCTTTGCCACGGTCATGGACATTTTTCCGATGATCTTAGTTCTAGCTGGTATGCTTCTCCTCGGGAGTTGGTTTCACGAAGACGAGGTAGGGCATATTACAGGGTAGGAGTTATTTGGGCCTCGGGCTATTCGGCAAAGTCCTTGGAAGGTACTCTACATGACTGTGCCTCGGGGGAAGAAGGATTGGTGGGAGCTGTATAAACGCCAGGAAGAACCCGGGGGTTGACTGACCGGGTGGACTCGGAGCTGCAGATTCTGCAGGAGTCGGTTGAGCACTGTGAGGTTTATTATACCGAAACGGGGATGTTTGATCCGGCGCAGAAGTGTGCTTATACGAACGGCTATCTCTCAAAATTAGAGAATCTACACCCTTAAAATGGAACTATCTTACCCAAGTATTCGTATTTTACATGGAATACCGCCCTAGAATACAGGGTACACATTACCAACGTCCTAAACCACAACAAATCCCGAACCCGGCCCTGACTCAAAAACGCTTAGCCCTGCCCTGTATAGACAGACTACCACACCATAACCACAACCCGGCAGATCGACAAACCCCAAAACACTTCGCCGTCGGAACAGTTCCCCCTAGTCCACTCTAGGATAGCGTTACAGTCATTCAGCAGGGTCCCCTGTCCGCCCTGAAACCGTATTCTGACCCACATTAAGTCCAAAAAACAAGAAAAGGGCCAAAAAATGTCATACCCTGGTAAGCCTCCATACCTAGTCTAGAGGCGCGATAAGCCACCGTTCCAAAAAAAAAAGAGTAAAAAATATAAATGGGAACCCGGCCTATCATATACCACCTAACACCCACTGTTTGCCGATCTTGTTGCAGGATTGTCTCCCTATTCGGGTAGTGGTAGGGCAGGCGTGAAACGATGGGGCGGTTTGATGGGTCTTGGCGGGTAGGGTTCGGGGACTTTTACTAAGGGGAAAGTTGGGAGCTTGTGCTTTCAGGGTTTCTTGGCTTGTTCTAGGCGATCGGGGGATTTGGTTTCAGGGCTATTTTTATATGAATGTGACGGTTGGGGGGGGATGTTTCCGGGAGATGATAGCTGATATTTTTTATTGTTTTTTTGGCAAGGGATTTTAATGGCGTTATTTAGTTAGGGCTTGGTATTGATGTTGTCTAGGGCTATGAGTAGTATATACCTACTTTGTGACCCAATTGACTTCCTATAGCTATAGATCAAACTAGTCTAGGTCCAGTGCAAATTCTCAATGCCGTGCTACCCGGTTCGACGATGGTCTTGAGAGTTTCAAGTTTGACTTTACCACATGTCTCCTCAGGAATCAAGAGGTTACATTATTTTAGTCATAACCGTCTCCTTAGGGCAGGGAGAAGGTTCAGCTAATTATAGTAAACACCTCAGATGGAGCTCACTGTTCACCAGTATCACACGATCTAGTCTACCCCGGTCTAAACTCCGTGACTAGGGCAGGAACCACAACCTGATCCGGGCTCCTATTCGGGGACGAGGAAGGCCAAGAGTTTCGGAAGGGATATGGGTTAGACTTTACCGTTAAGCACGGCACTGTGGGGGCCCACTTGGAGATTCGCGACTAGGGGTGGGAATCGTTTGTCTGCGTGGGATTCTGGTTGTGAAGAACTGTATAGAGAGATTGGGGTGTTGTATGCTGTAAAAGGCTTGGGGAGCAGGGAACATGTCTACACATTTGGATAGGATATAAGACATGTGTGCCAAACTGTCAAAGGCTGCTGCCACAGCGGCATACATTCCCTGAAGAAGCATTAGATCCTCTCCGTAGTCATTGCCGGTCAATTGAGTTTTACCAAAGGTTTGAGCCTACAGAGATTGTCTCTCTTTGAAACTCCGATCTACATCTGGACCATCACGTTTATCCCAGATAGAGCTGTTTCAATGTAACCTCTCCCGAAGCAATGCCTTTTTGAAGTCAAGCTGAATAGTCAAGAGGGGAAGATCATGGGTATATAAAGCCCTACACACCTCCAGACTCAACTCCTCATCCAAGCAGGCTTTGAACAGCATTGTCTCTACATTCTTTTTCTAAACTCTAAAAAAAACCCTATTTTACAATCATTAGTCTTTTTCATTTCTTTTTATTTATTCTTTTCCAAAATGCGTATTGTTCTTTCTACTGTTGCCTTGACGGCAACAGCCCTCGCAGTCCCGGTGACTGTCCCTCCTACCTATCACCGCACCTCAACTGTTCCCGGCAAGATCCTTGATGGTGCGTCGTCGAACACCTTGACGGCGCGGACCTTTGGCCCAATGATTAACTGGATTGGACAACTTAAGCATGGTGACCAGAGCTGTGAAGCTTGTGAACTTGGCGGAAGCATGGATACTAGTATCAGCGTTGGGACAAATGCTGAGGATTGTGATGAGAACGGAAACAGCAACACAAACTCAAACAGCAATTCAAACTCAAACAGCAATGAGAACTCAAACAGCAATGAGAACTCTGGCAATACAGTCTGTGAGGGAGGGGATAGCTGTACTCCTCCCTCCGGCGGTACTCCTCCCACTGGTGGCAATACAAGTTGTGAGGAGGGTGACGATACCTGTACTCCTCCTGGTGGTACCCCTCCCTCCGGTGGCACGCCCCCTACTAGCGGCACGCCTCCCACTGAAGGCATGCCTCCTTCTGGTAGTACTCCTCCTACTGGCGGTACTCCTCCCACTGGCGGTACTCCTCCCACTGGCGGTACTCCTCCCACTGGCGGTACTCCTCCTTCTGGTGGTACTCCTCCCACTGGCGGCATGCCTCCTTCTGGTAGTACCCCTCCTACTAGTGGTACTCCTCCTACTGGTGGCACTCCCCCAACTGGTGACGTCCCGACCGGCAGCACCCCTAGCGGAACTCCTCCTACCTCCGGCACCGAGACTGGAGAAGAGACCGGCACCGAGACTGGCACTCCCCCCACCGGTGGCACTCCTACTGGCAGCACTCCTCCCAGCTCTGGCACTGAGACCGACACCCCCACCACCAGCGGTACTCCTCCCTCCGGCGGTACTCCTCCCTCCGGCGGTACTCCTCCTTCTGGTGGTACTCCTCCCACTGGCGGCAATACAGTTTGTGAGGAGGGCGACGATACCTGTACTCCTCCCAACGGCACTCCTCCCACTGGCAGCACGCCTCCCAGCTCTGGCACTGATGAAACTGACACTCCTACCACCGGCGGCACCCCTCCCACTGGCGATGTCCCTACTAGCGGCACTCCCCCCACTTCTGGCACCACCGAAACTGGAGAAGAGACTGGAGAAGAAACTGGCACTGAGACTGGCGGTTCTCCTCCCACAAGCAGCACTCCCCCCACTAGCGGTACTCCTCCTACTGGCGGTACTCCTCCTTCTGGTAGCACTCCTCCTACCAGCGGCACCCCCCCAACTAGCGGTACTCCTCCTACTGGCGGTACTCCTCCTTCCGGTAGCACTCCTCCTACCAGCGGCACCCCTCCCACTAGCGGTACTCCTCCCACTGGCGGTATGCCTCCTTCCGGTGGCACCCCTCCTACCAGCGGCACCCCCCCCACTAGCGGTACTCCTCCCACTGGCGGTATGCCTCCTTCCGGTGGCACCCCTCCTACCAGCGGCACCCCTCCCACAGGCGGCATGCCTCCTTCTGGTGGCACTCCCCCCAGCTCTGACAGCAACGAGGACTGCGAAATTTGCAAAAACTCTGGAAACAACAACGGCTCCAACGGCTCCAGCAGCAGCAGCAGCTCCAGCTCCTCCAGCTCTTCCTCCAGTTCCTCTAGCTCTTCCTCCTCTAGCTCTTCCAGCAGCTCTTCTAGCAGCTCTTCCTCCAGTTCCTCCGGCGGCACCCACGTTAGCGCCGGTGCTTCTGGCCCTAACGGCCATGTCTCTGTCTCCAGCAACCCTGAGGACTGCGAGGAGGAGTAAAGGGATGAAAGGCATGAGGATTACTGCCCCCCTAGGCCAGTATTACATTGACCCCTCTCACCATGGGACGGCGCTATTGGGTGTTTTCTACCGTTTACCTAATTTCTTGTCCTAACAATGACAATGCTTGTCTGAGCCTGCCTATAGCACTCGTTCTATCTATTTCTTCGTTGTGGGACTACGGCCTACCTATGTCTGCTGTTCACTATGACTGTCTTTACCGCGTTATGTGAATTATCCGCTCGTTTCAAATGATAGAACCCAATTATATTATATTAATGCGTCTTCAGGATCCGCTGTTAGCAATCTGTTTTCGTATTGAATCAGTAGTCATCTTACAGGATTAGTTAAAACCTGCTAGGAGTTAGTTGTGCGTAGTCTAGTAGATATGTGAGTTTCACTACCCACAAAAGCCACCAGCCAACTAGCTCTAAGACCTACTGTGAAGTTGCCATTTTTACCCTCCTTTACTCAGGAGGAAGAGCATAAAAAAACACGCTGGCTATATACCCATAAATCCCCAAGCCATCCTAATTGCATAACCCCCTGCGGACATCGAATCCTCACAAGCTGACGTGCGTCGATCCCCGTTCTTGTAATCTTCAGTAGGCCCCATGTCCACTTTAGCGCCCCCCCCCAAAAAGGTGGCTCCCCGGGTGCATCAAAGCAGATAATGTAATCGTCCCACATGTTCTCGCAATGCAAGTACTCCAACTGTTGAATGTGAGCGGCGAGATGGTCGAATATCGGCTGGACGCCTCCCCGTGGTAGCTTGAGCCCCGCCAGGCATAACCTAGTAAGCGTGGACTCGACCGGACGGGAGAAAGCGCAGGAGTGTAGTATCAGATGTGTGGATTCCTTCTAGCTTGCTTTGCTATAGGAATGGAAACTGGCAGGAATGAGCCACTCGGCCGAGGAAGTCCCGCTCTTCTGGTTCGGTACGGGCCCTGCGGGTATCGGGTATTCTGTACCAGCCAAGATGGGGATCTTCGAGCTGTGGACATAGGTTCAGGAAGTGGCAGATGAAGGCCGTATGGCCATCGACTCCGGGTGAACGTTGCGGTAGGGGTTCGTCGTGACGTGACGACAAAGAAGTACAGCATGCTCGGAGTAGAGAACTCTTCTTGATCTCTTTGCGTTGAGTCTGAACAGAAAAGTTTATTGGGCGTCCGTAATGTGAGATTCCTTTATCCTTTAAGCCATTCTGGATGCATGTACAATCACGACGGTGGGCAACTATGTACATATATCACAAAGAAAAAGTGGATAAGAAAGGAAACAATGTGGGACAGAGAGAGAAAGAAAAGATAGTGGATGATATAGATAGACCTATCTTAGTGAATTTAGTAGGCTGTCTAGTGTTACCCGATCGAAATCTAAAAGGAAACAGCAATCTATTCGGCCTGGAATCGACAGTTTCGCCTTGGTGAACGTGCGAGTAGGTTAAAACTTGAGAACAAAGGAGGAAAACCATACTATCAAACAAATTATGGCTGCCCCTCCCTCTAGAGGTCTGAATTTTCTGAATTTCGAGTAGCAGATTAAGTCAGTTAGGTGAGATGGATGTATTCCACCTGATGTTACGGGATGTATGGATGGTCAACACCTTGCGAAACTATATCTTCAAATCTCGAAGGTCAGAGAAACACCAATAAGCCAGATTAATCTGATCCTTCTCATCACGCAGTGACACATTTGATCATGGCTACCCACCCCATACCGAATTTTGGCGATAAATGACAGGTATACATAAATTTTTATGAGAGCGTCTCTTGCCAGAAGGGAAAAAAAAATTATACTCGATCCTGACCCGTCAGGCATGTAATGGGTTTCCCTTTAAGACTGTGAACCCAGGGAGCGGTAGGCAATCCCGATATAGAAAATAGGAGTGATAAGCATAGTGTTGTTATTATTTTGCTACCTGAATGAAGCTATATAAGGAAGTAAGGAAACAACATTGGCTCAGCAAAAGATCCAAGCTGTTAGATAGGCGCAGGGATTTGGAAAGGAAGGCGTAGCTAAGATTCGGGGCGAGGGATATGGGATCAGCTCATTGATAGATGCACCAACGATAGCAAGGAGTAGGGGCGCAATGCGGGAGAGGGATCAGGGGAGCAAGAACTTAGAACCTAGAAGTCAAGTTTAGCCTTTCATATCTTTGATGTTTTCAAAGTGGTATCTGCTCTTAAAAGGGGATCAAGGGCACAACCCGACAGGCTAAATCGTAAAAATCTAGGATATGCGCGTGACACTCCATCCCACAGTAATCCCTTTGGTCAGTACCAGGAACAACGTCGAGCAAGCATACGACAGCCCGCAAAAGACAATCAGCCCCCGAATACACTATCTCGTTATACAAGGACGGATTCTGAGCTTTCAAAACCTCCCCTGCAACCGGAATGGCTACCAGGAGACAGAAGCTAAGCATGGTAGTCGTCGTCGTCCTATACCGCTTACCATAGTCTTCTGTCCGCAAGATCTGAGCCACACATACTGGTGTTAGGCTGATAGCCGGGCCTGCCCAGAAGCCAAATAATGTAGCAAAGCTTATAATCGCTGCCTCGCTCTCACCGGCAGTAAGCCATAATGCAAGGATTAGGGTGGTGCAGACGGCCCTGGCTAGAATCATGATGCTGAACCGACCCCAACGATCAGCTAGAATACGGGAATAACCCGGCCTGGGATGGATGCTGCGCTGAAAATAGACATAAGCTCATATGATAGACTCCCGGTTACCCCGTGCGATGGGGCATAAGAAGGTAGGTATGTGAGAACGACCATCAACCCAATTTCAGCCGCGGTGACAGCAATAGAGGTCATTGTGAATGTTGGTTCTCGGAGAGAGCGGAGGTCAATCAATCCGTTCCTTGACTTATTTGGGGCTAACCTGGTTCTGGTGAAAAGCATACTTATACTAAAGCAACCAAGGGAGACGAATCCGAGTATTCGAACGGCCCATGGGAATCCGATTTTATCTCGGAGCGTCCCAAACAGATTGGTGAATATAATACCCTCTATCCCACCGGAAGTATTAGTGGCGGATCTGACCACCCACTTCGCCGGATGGGTGGTCAGGTCCGCCACTAATACATGAGACTCCTGTTGTCAAGCCTCGACGCTTGTAAAACCAGTGGTTTATGGTGCCTAGTGAGGGCGGTAAGATGGCTGACGCGGAAAGACCGCCTAGGATGCTGAACTGAGAATAAACCGGTAATATGCTATGCGCCGTCAATATGGCGGCGTTGGCCTCTGGATCTGCTGGGCCTTACCTTGAGAGACGCTCAGTTTCATCATTGATGTTGTAAAGCCAAGGCATCCTGGAATTAGAGTGTACTTGACACCGTGAGAGTCGAAGATGGGCCCTATAGTCGATCAGATTTTGCCATATCGCCCTGAGAGTGTAATGCATCATACCGGCTAGGATGCTCCGATATAGAAGAGAAAGAACCATATACCGAAGATCCAGGAAATCGATGCTTGGAAGTACCCCTGCAATTGATGGTCTGCTAGCCAGCCCTCCAGGGTTCCAGTGACATTCATGATCCCGAACGATGGAAGCAATGCACACCATGATCCGAAAACCACCGACCAAGCTTGCCATCCACCATCAGGGAACTCCAGGGAACTCTGAGGGGTCTTCTTCCGTGTAGTCGAGGGGCGTGGGGTTACCTCTCAAGTTTTCGTTACCAGTAGTCGAGACATTGGCTGTGGCAGAAGCTTGTTTCTGGGAGTCAACGCTGAGATACATAGCTCGGGAATCTTAGTGCACTGAAGAGGTAGTACCGAGACGACTAATTCCCTCAAGGAAGGCTTAAGAGTAACCTCAAAAGGCCGGCCTCGGGCTCAAGGTTCTCGATAGGAAGTGACTGGGCATATATAATACTACTCTGTCGTTTGAATTATTGGTTAGCCTGATACAATGAACATGTACATCCCTTGCGTCGGATGGATCTGATACACGTATACTGATCTGATCTACGCCAATATCATCCTTGAATGTGATCCTCAAAGTGCGATCGTGCGGTTCGCTGGACATGAAGACTTTGTATCTTGTAGGAATCTAGCCCGCTCTGTCTATGTGGCTTTATCTTTTCTAGCTGAGATCGAACGATAGATACGCTTCATGGGGGCGGTCACCCATCATCGACTTTCGGAACTAGCATTCCTCACAGATGGTAGAGATAGCAGATCAACCATAATTCTGCGTTTTCCGCTATGTATCATCAGAGTAGAGTTTCGGGGGCAACAACCCTCTGTGAACTAACTATTCCCCTGTTTTCCTTACATTTGAGGATATCGGTTGCTCATGATGAATGCCACTACATATCACTAGAAAAGGAAAAAGGAAAAAAAAAAAGGAAAGAAAGAAACACGACGTATCTTTCAGACATTCCTCAGAGATAACCTTATCTGAAGTTAAAAGACGCCACCAAGAAGGCCAGCCATACACGGCTCACCAAGGAAAATTAAGCATTCAGGCGTGCCATCCCTTTGCCACTACTTTATCGGAAGAGTTAAAACAAAAATAAACAAATAAATAAATATATAAGACAGAACAGTTAAAACAAAATGAATCGAGAAAAATAAATATATAAAGAGTAAAGGAAAACGAAATCCCAAAAAGAAAAAAAAAGTTCAATGAGCATTCCAATCCCTCGAAATGTTTCTCTAGCTAAACACAGCCCTTTCTAAGAGTCATATTAGTGGTATAATATAATAAAATATAATATAATCTAGAAAAAGAGCTAGAAATATGTGACAGGAATTTCGTCCGGGGAGTACCTTCGACTTCATTACTCAAGTTGTTTCTCAAAGTAGTCGCAAAAGCGACGTTACCTGGCGGTGGCTGTGTATAGCCACTGGATAAGCTACTAGTACGATTCGTACAGACCGGGTTGTCCACTGAGATCAATAAAGAACCCATGGACTGTTGGTTCTATATCTACTTAGTGTCTCTCAAGTCCATGACTCCGAGATGGCCAAGTGAGACACTGCTATGTACTCTATCGGGAAACCTCGGGTATTCCTCGGCTTTTGAGTTTCCACTGTTTTTTCTTTTTTTCTTTTTTTTTTTTTTTTTTTTTTTTTTTTTTTTTTTTTTTTTTTTTTTTTTTTTTTTTTTTTTTTTTTTTTTTTTTTTAAATGTTGTGGTTAATAAAAGAGATTTCTCAGCCTCGTTGATATTCAATGATCAACGGTGAGAGAAATTCCCCTCAAACGGTTAGAGAGAAGAGTGGAGTTGTGGAAGAAAAAGAACTCATTACTTTATAGCACAGCCCACGTTAGTCGAGCCTTGGCAAGTGGGCCCCTTTTTCTAGGCACCTACCATTTAGCGTTAAAGGTCCAATCATGATAGGACTTTAATAAGAGGTCAGGGTGGGGGATATTTTTACGTCAGTGTTCTGGTTGTTTTTAAGTTCTCCTCGTTACTGGCGTATTTACGGATTGGAGATCTGGAGAGAAAATATTTCAATGTCTTGTATAGTAATACCCTGTATGGTGAAACAATCTATCTATATAGGGTTCGATACCCCTATTCTGGTTTAAAGATTGAATTGATACATACATTACTGTACATGTTCACACAGCCAGGGACAGGGAATGGTGTTTGCTCAGAGCTCTCACTGGTTCGTTGAACTATTTTAGTGGTGATCTTTTGGGGTTTAGTGTCAGGGGATCAAGGCTGAGTTAAGTTCCGGTTGCTAAGCCGCAGTTTCTTTATTGTTTCTACTAGCTTTACTTCTACCTCCTACGTATGAGGATGTGTTTCAGTATGCATATTTTTCTTCTTTACTTACTCCTCCAATGACCACTTCTTGACAAATTTATATGAATCACTGGGGTAAAGGAACTGGAACGAAAAACATATCAACGTGAAATCTAAAAAAGCTACGCACCAATAAGAGAAGAGGACCCCACAAAGCTGGGGGCCATCATTGACTAAAGAGGAAAGATCGTCTGCTAAGTTTCAAGGCTTCGCCGCGTCACTTCATGTCAATCGCGGGTCGAGACCCCTGATCCTCTACTAGTAATTCATTCAGTCATTCCTTTTCTACCTGCTTTCCTTCCCCCTCCCCATTCACTAAATTTTATTTCCTTTTCCCTTCCTTCCTTTCTCTTCTTTCTTTCTTATAACTGTCATGCCACCAATCCACCCAGTTGTCATCCCGTCTTTACCGGCGCGATGACCTTAGCTAGTTGTTCTAGATGGCGCCTGCGACCGAGTGGCCTTCTCTATATACTCTACGTTATTGGATTTCTAAGCGTCGCCTGCATCGTCGCCATCTGGTATGGCGTTAATTCCGACCGAGACTATATTCATCCAATCTTGACCCAATTGATCCCCGCCGGTCACTGTGCCTGTCAAACCTCAACCACCTTTCAGTGCTCCAGTTGTCTGTCGTGCTCCGAACAGACTCTCGTCCCACAGATCTCCCCCGCTCCGAAGTGGGAGTTTAATTCCGACCGCGATGCGAGCAATCACGGCCTTAGCAGACTTCAGTGCAAAGCTGCCTTCCCAGGTCTGTTCGAAGATGTCTTCCGCGCCGAGACCTTTTGGCGGTCCCAAGGAGCTCTTGCGACCGAAGACCTAGATCGGATCCCCTTAGGATTCGGCATGGTCCGAGCATTCATTTCGAACGGCGAGCTGTACGTGGTGGCGGCGCGGGCAAAGCAAGAAGACCATAGACGGAAGATTGTCGCGGCGTTAAGCTCCATCCACCGCGCACTGGTCGCCGACTCCGATCGCGCCTCTCGGCGCAACATTGAGTTCGTCTTCTCTGTGGAGGACAAGGTCGAGGATGTCACTAGCTCTGACAACCCGGTGTGGGTGCTGGCGCGGTCTGCGGCCGAGCAGGGTGTCTGGCTGATGCCCGATTTCGGGTTCTGGGCGTGGGACAATCCTCTGAACTCGATTGGTCCTTTTGATCAAGTCGTCGAACGCATTAAAAGAGCCGATATCCCGTGGTCGGAAAAAGCTCCTCAGTTGGTCTGGCGCGGCAAACCTAGTTTTGCACCCAAACTGCGCCGTGCTTTGATGGATGCCGCGCGAGATAAGCCGTGGGGGGACGTCAAGCAGGTGGATTGGTTTGAGCGGACGAATATCATGTCCATGGAGGATCATTGCCGATATATGTTCATTGCGCACGTCGAAGGTGAGTGCTTTTTTTTTCCTTTACCCTCGCACGTAGATACGCGAGGACTAACTGTCTCCCCACACCTAGGCCGATCCTATTCTGCGTCGCTTAAATACCGCCAAGCGTGCAATTCGGTGATCGTGGCGCACAAGCTTCAGTATATTCAGCACCATCACTATCTCCTCATCCCTGATGGCCCGAATCAGAATTATATCGAGGTGGAGCGCGATTTTAGTGACCTCGCGAGCAAGATTGAGCCTCTCCTCGACGACCCCACCACGGCGCAACGAATTGCGAACAATAGCGTGCGCACGTTCCGTGAGCGCTATCTGACCAAGGCCGCCGAAGCCTGCTACTGGCGGCAGCTTTTTGACGGATACGGAAACGTCTGGAACAGCAGCGTCCCCGTTTGGTCCGACTTCTACCAGCGGGAACGCGGCCTCCGCTACGAATCATTCGTCTTAATGGATAGTCACATGATGTTTGATTTTCGAGCGATGGGCGGCATGCAATGATGGATTTTCGAACAAACAAACAAAAAATAATTTGAGCGATCTACGCATTCACGGAGTTTGGAGTTCCACGGGATACCGGGGGAAAGGAGGGGGCGATATATGAGAAATTTTCACGATACCAATAGAGCGTGGCTTCTTTCCTATTTACTTGATGCTTTTCTTCTCAGATAGAGATGTACAGTTCTCAGTGGAGTTGTCATTATCATATACACCGCAACAATAGTACTTGTGACATACTCTGTATCTCCTGCCTACTGAACGTCCCGCACGAACTCCTCCAACAGCCGGGGACTCCCCCCAACTAGGTCTCTCAGCTTCTTCCCATCCCTGAACACGATAAACGTCGGCATCGCCACGATCCCCAATCCTGCGAGTTGCTCATCCGATAGCTTCCGCACGTCCATCCGGTAGAAGGACTTCTCGGTCGTTGTGTGGGATATTTCCTCGAAGACAGAGAACATAGGTCTGCAGGGTCCCGTCCATCCGGCCGTGAAATCGATAACCGTCGATTCCGGGGATTGGATTATGGCTTGAAGAGCTGCGTAGCTGTTGTTATTTCATTGGTCAGTCAATTGGATATAGCATGCGAAGTGAAAGAAGGGCAGGGGGACAAACGAGGTGATTTCCCTGACGGCCATTTTCTTTCCCTCTTATTCTCAGTATTATACCTGTGACATCGACGAATCGCGCTGGTCGAGCGGGCTAGAAGATCGCTCGAGCCAAACCAAAGCCAATGAACGAATAAATATGCAATATTTCCGTCTATGCAAGGTAAAGTTATATCGTGAATTGTGTCTTGAAATATGGCAGTGTGTGTTATGAGGTGCTGTGGAAGTGGTGGAGGTCTATGACGTTGTAAGTCGAATAGACTTTATATGATCCCGCGATCTTCACAAAAATTCAATTGATAGGCTTTATATTCCGTGACCAACGAGGGATTTTTGCTTAGAAACCTGGGGTTTATTGGAATGTTTGTAATGTGCTTGGTATGGTTCGTTATGATACATTGTAGATTCTGGAAGGATGTTGGGAATCAAGCCAACAAAGATGGTCTCGTAATAAAGTCATTATTACCACATCTGTATTACCAAAACCTACCGTTATGGCATGGAAAAGTCAAATCATTGCGAATTTTTACTATCAGGAGCTCTCTTACCTCGACAATGATACGTATAGAGCTTCGATCCTTCGATAATCTGGTATAAATGCATGTCTTAAAAATCGTCACAATGAGTCTACCATTTGCAACCTCTTACTCTTCTCTTCATGGTCTCAAAAGCACATTTTGCGAGATATGACTATAGGAACAAGCTCTCGGGGATTTCACGTAAAAGCCCGGCAAAGCTCAATAACCCTGGTTCCTATCCGTCGATTCCTGAGTCTCTACATTCTCCGTTGCGGATGTGATCATTACAGAGATATCTAGTCCCTTTCTCTCTAGACTGGAGGGGTTTATTAATGAAACGTTGAGGCTAAGGTGGCTATGTAATCTGTATCTTCTCTGGATATTGCTCCATTTTCGTGCGTTAGGAAGAGGGGTGTTTGAGTTCTCGACGGGGAGACAGTTCGGGAAATAGAAGGATGGAGTTCATATGTCTGCAAACGAAGAGTATCAACCATTTTGGTTGGTCTTTATGGTCCCGTTATCACCGGGTGGGACTTGGATTTTTGCTGGGATGGTACAAAGTTCTTTTCTCCTTTGTCTGTCTTGCTTGGTTTATTGCCGATGTTGGCTAGGGTGTTCTTGGTGTGGGTTATAGGAGATAGATCACCGAAATGTGGATAAGTTCAGGGACGGTGATATCCAGGAGATTATCATTAGGAAGCTGACGTTGAGGATAATGGACAAAGGGTTTCCGATGGTGGTTGGAACGGATGCTGTGTCTGGGGTTCAAATTCTTCTCTGTTCGTCTGTCTATAGAGAGCTGCGCGAAGAGCCTGAGGATAGTATCCTATACCCACGGTATGTGTCTTCCTTGAAGGTGTTTGGAAGGCCTCTGTATCTGGTAGAGCAATATATCCATAAACTGCTGGGCTTGCTTCAGACTAGACCATAGTACTATGCGCCTTCCACATATTGTGCCTGATGAGTTATAGAGTTTCAACCCTAGGATCTACATCCAAGTATCTGCTTTCTGTTAGGATTAGTCTATAGTCCGCTCTATCTAGTTGACAAGAAGCTTTGCTGGTCGTGAGACTGATGTCAGCATGTCTAACCCGTCGCTTTGCAAATCCAGATATATTCCTCGATTCAACGCCTTCTAACTTCGAGCAGTGGTTATGTAAGGTCTCACTGATCCAAATTTGGAGATATACCTTCTACTGTTGAAAGGGAAAGTCAAGCGTGCTTAGAGTCACAACATTCGCTTCCTTGTGATATTGATTGTACTGACTAACCCCAATGCCGGTTTTGTTTAGGATTTGGTCATGCCTAGCGTAATCCTCACTCCTGCGAAGATTCGAGTTTCGCCTATTCAAGCAAAAACAATAGACAAGATCAGGGCAGACAGAATCATATGCAAGTGGAGGCGGCCCTGATGTCATTTTTGAATCATTTAAACGATCCTCGACTCACCAATAGGGAACTTGAAGTGCAAAAAATCGAAATACTTAAGGGATATCGCATACCTACCAACCGGTGGCTGGGAGTGGAGTCGTGACAAAGGATTAGGGTTAATAGGAGTTTCCCCGAGTCAGTGCCGTGGGACCGGCCTGACAGCTAGTCTAGTTCTCTGTACATGCCACACTCCACTTCAAAAACTATATTGGAGTCTGGGTTTGTGGTGTAGTGGTCAATTACTCTGAGAAGCCAATATTTACCTAGTTTCAGCAGCGTGCTCTGACGTGGAGATCTGCGTTATGACATGAGCTGGACTTCTCTCCAAAAATAATAGCCGTGGCGCTCATTTTATCTGCAGATGCAACCCTTGTTGAGCTAGTTGATATACGTGGCAGCCCTCGTGGTCATACGTACGTCTATCTATACCTGCTTACTATGATCAGTGATAGACATGATGAGAATACCTCAAAGAAAGATTCTGCATAGGAAATGGTCTGTGCGAAGAGCTAATAATAGTGGGGAGGTGGGCTACTGTACACTACTTACTCCTAGTTAATAGTCAATTGGAAAGTCTTGGACCCGGGTTATGAAAGAATGAGTTCGATTTCCCCCATTTGGATTCAAGATACTCCTGGTTAACCATTCCCTCTCACGCAGAAGAAGATTATTATTCATTCCAACATCAAAGGATAACCCGAAAGAGATGGACTTGACTTCGGCTATTGAGTCGCCATGGACGGTCCGCGGCCGCAGTGGAGTCAACTTCCGCCAAATCAGAGAAGATCCTGTCTCGTGTCGCAGAACTAAATCATAACAAACATCCACCGACCGCCCCTTTTCTCGTCAATTGGCCCTCGAGCTGACAATCCTGCCACTCTGAGTGGCCACCTATGAAGCAAGGAAGCTCCTCACCCTCCCGACGAACCATGATCTGTGCGACGATCGATCCTCCTTTAGGACCACCGAGAGATATCCCGGTGGAGACCTGGCCAGAACCAGCCAATCCACCAACTATTGTACTAGGATCGTCGCGCGAATCGGCGAGATTCAGCTGAACCGAGATCTGCAGCCACACCAGAATCTTCACAAATCATGGCTGCCCGCGCGGGTTGCACGGGCAAGAACGGGGATGGACGTGCAGGATGGAGCAGAGGAGCAAACTGATGATCTGTTGGGGTCTCAATTTAAAATAAATGGCCTGTCCTCCAGCGTCTGAACCTTTCCCTATCTGCTGGAACTTTTTGCCCCTTGTGTTCTTCACCTAGCTAGCTACACATCATGCCGTCGCCTATTCCCAAGCCCAAGGGAGTCCCCATCCTGGGAAATCTCTTCGACATTAGCGGCAGCAATGCCTGGGGCTCGTTTAACAAGCTAGCCAAGGATTATCGTGAGTTCTGGGAAAGCCATTTCTAGCAGAGGACCATTAACAGTCTCCTGCTTTATACAACAGGCCCCATCTTCAAAATTAGCATCCTCGGTCATGATATCGTCTTTATCACCGGTGCCGCCCTACTAGAGGAGATTTGTGATGAAACGCGCTTCCGCAAATGCGTCGCCGGGCCGATCGTCGAGATCCGCCAAGCGGTCCATGACAGTTTATTCACAGCACGCCACAACGAGATGGAGTCATGGGGCATTGCACACCGCATCATGGCGCCCCTGGTCTCCCCGGAAGCTGTTGAACAAGTTTTCTCAGGCATCCAGGAGACCACCGATGACTTGATCCGAAAATGGACGGGAGGAACCCGGCAGCGCGTCAATGTCACAAGCGACCTGGATCGACTGAATCACGCTGCAAACATGCTCTGCTTCTTCAACCAGCGGGTACACATTATGGAGGGTCCGGAACCTGCTGTCCTCAAAGCCATGGATGGCGCTACCCACGAAGCGATGCGCCGACCTACCCGCCCCAAGGTCCTTAACTGGCTGTTCTACAACCGCAAATGGAACGCCTGGATCAAGACTATGCGCGACTATGGAGCTGAGATCGTCGCTACTCGCCGAAACAACCCCTCCGACAAGAAGGACATGCTCTATGCCTTGCTGGAAGGCAAAGACCCGGAGACCGGCAAGGGCCTAACCGAGAGCCAGGTGCTCGACGAAATCATCAATATTTTCATCGGTAGCGCCACAGCTCCCAATCTCATCGCTTTCGCCATGTATTATCTCGCGAAACACCCCGAAGAGATAGAAATGGCTCGTGCCGAGCTCGACGCCGTGGTTGGCGGACCTTCTGTCAAGGTTGAGTATGAACACCTTTCTCGCCTACCCTACACGGAGGCTATCCTACGGGAATCCTTCCGTCTTTCTGGCGTCGCACCTGGCTTCAATATCGAGCCCATCCCCTCAACCGAGGGCCCAGTCATACTCGCTGGCGAATACGAAGTTCCCAAGAACCAGCCCCTGATCGCCATTCTTTCGGCTGTGAATCGCGATCCAGCGGTCTTTGAGGACCCCGAAGCGTTCAGGCCGGAGCGTATGGTCGGTGAGAAGTTTGATAGCCTCCCAAAGGGTGTCAAGAAGGGCTTCGGTAACGGCAAGCGCGAGTGCATCGGCAAGCAGTATGCCTGGCAATGGTCGTTCATGACGCTGGCAAGCATCCTCAAAGATGTCGAGTTTGAATTAGCGGACCCGAAATACGTGACGCACAACGATGGGGTGAACTACAACGGAGCGTTCAGCGTAAGGCCGCAGGGCATGTTTGCGGTTACTGGACCCCGGCCGCGCGCTGGCTGATTGTTTGATTCTGCTATGTGATACATGTTGGGATACCAATGCTGTTTGATATGTGAATAATGTCTACTAAGGATGAATGAGTTGAGCTGGGAAATATGTCCCCTACGGCGGTTTACTTGTCTGTTTCTAATCTATACCATGACGATATATAGCACGTACAATCGATAGTTGATAAAAAGCCATATCTTCTCCAAACTTGTCAAGATATTGCTTAGTGTCTACTAAGCTTAGTGCAATATAGTGTTTATTTTTGGTAACTCATTGCATCCTTAACGTCCTCTTCGTCAATTAAAATAGTTTAATATCTCTCAACTTATGCAGTATACTAGGCCCCGTCCTCCTCCTGGCTCATTGATATTGCTCGCAAAATCCATTTCTTAGCGACAGCAGAGCAGTGAGGATCTCCAAATTTCCTTTGCAACTCCTATGGCAAAGCACCGAGCCCAAACAAACCCTCTACTACTGAAAGGCATCTAAGACCACGACCCAAATAACGTACGCAATGCCACTGAAGAAAACAAGCAAAATTCCAGGGTAACACCACTAAATCTTAGTCCCAAATAATCACAAGCCAACACGCAACCCACCCTCGTACAAGAAAAAGAAACACAAACATGAAGTGACAATGTCGACCCCCTCACCTCTGTCCAACCCAAGCATAAGACCTGTGTAATTGAGTATAAAGCTCTCATTATTTCAACATGTGACACCTTACAAACAAATCCTCAGCCTAAACCCAACACTTCAACTCCCATGGTTGATTGGCGTAGACATAGACATAGACATAAATATCCCCAACCATAACCCTATCCCATCAATCTACACACCTCGTAAATACCTCCCCATATTCAACTCCTCCAAAACCAACCTAAAAAGAAAAACACACCACACCACCCACCTTCCGCAACCTCCTCCCGACGTCCGCATGCCCACCTGCCAGCGCAAAATAACTACTCGCAATAAACAAAAACCTTACATCAACCAGAAAGAAAATAGAAACATAGGCTAGATTAGTCAGGGGACGGGTTTCCCGATCAGGGACGCGAAGACGAAGACCGTTCATAGTAACATGAAGAAGCCGAGCGCGTTGTTATATTGCGCTTTGTTAGTGATTTCGGCTTTTGTGAGGGTGGTTATTCTGGAGTTGGATGAGTTAGGGCTATTGTGAGTATGGGGTTTGGATGTCTACGAGTTACCACGTCGGTGGGGCACAGAATAGATATATAGTGAGGTGATTGCAGATCTCCCAAGTGCTCATCTCGTCTTTACCCAAGGAGAAGGAAGTATCACTATTCCAAGGCCACATGATTGCTGCTTCTCATGGCGAGAATTGTGTCTTTGGGTATTGTGGAATAGCTACAGAAAAGTATACTTAGACTATAGTGCAGATGTTATCTGATCAAGTTCTGCGCTCCCTTCTTTCTAGAATATCAGATATTGTGTCCTTTTTTTTTTTTTTAAAAAAAAAAAAAAAAAAAAATTTCAGGGTACCCACTTTTACTCTATTGTATTCTCAATCAAGGCATTGTTATACTGAGTGAACGCATCGGCTAGTCGACAAACAATATACCCTAGGCTCTATATGATAAAAGATACAGATTGTTTGTCACATCAAATAAGAATATTGTATTGCTATTCATACTCGAAGAATGATATTAACAAGTCAGCGATAATATTCCGAAACACTACACCGCACATCACCGCTCCTTCCCAGTCATCACGGCGTCCAGTGCGCCCTGAGTAGCCCATCAACGAATCTCCAAATCTGGGCCGAGTCATGCGTATTGAACGTCGCAGACATATAATACGTACTTAGATGACCCTGCAAGTCATTCAGATTCCGGTAGAAGCCATTCCGAATTGCCTCCGCCGGGACAGTCAGCAAGAATGGGCTGTGATCGGAATACCTCAGAAACTCCGGTGCCTGGACTGGAATGCCCGCGTTCCGCAGTTGCAACACACTCCGCGTCATGTTACTCTTAACCTGCTCTTCCGTCATGTGCTCCTTACTTCCGTACAGAATAGTGGTCAGATTCGGCGACCGTGTATGACTGATAATGTAGACCGCCGGCATTGGGGGCAGTTGGTAAAGGGTATCGTTGGCACGGTTCAAAAACTGTATCTTTTCCGGGATACCCGGGATCCGGGCGAGAGCGTTGTAGTAGCAGGTGTTGCTGAATTGTCCGAATAGGTCGCGCTCTGTCTCATCTAGGTCTATTCCATGCAGCATATCTAGCCTTGGGGGGATGGCGATGATCAGCCTTTTTGCGCGGACGAGCCTTTGGCCGGCGGGTGTTTTCGCGAGGACGTAGACCCATTCGTCGTCTTCGTGGCGGTGCGTAGCTACAACGGTGCTGTTTAGCCATGCGTCCTCGCCCAGCTCGTTCCGCGCAGCGCCGTACAACTGGCTATTGTTGTGGGTGGTTGGCTGAAGGAAACCCGACAACGCCCCTTGAAGTACGTCCAGGCCAAAATATTTCATCATGTAGAGGGTCAATTGCTGCAGGATGTCGCCTGCGCCTTGGTTGAAGGTTGCGATAATGTCGACCACGCCCTCCAGCTTATACTTCTTTACGAACTCGCCGAATGGGAGCAACAGGTCCGGGGGCACTGGCTCGGGAAGATTAAACCCTGAGTTGAGATCGGGGTACTTGAGCAATTGGCCCGCGTAGCTTGCCAGTGCTAGAAGCATGTTGCCTTCCGCTGGGCCGACGGGAGTTCCGGTCCGAAGATCAACGCGGCGTTGAGTAAGCTGTTGCCCTAGAACGGAAACTCTCTCTAGTGCGATACCGAAGTGGTTGAAGTAGTCTCGTACCCAGGGCAGGTCCTCGTAGTATAGCACTCCATAGTCGATAGCGGCTCCGGTTACCGGGTCGTCGTAGGTATTCACATGTCCCCCCAGACGGTTTTCTTTCTCGATAACCACCACACTCTGGTTCATTTGTCGAAGACGAATCGCTGCATATGTGCCGGCGGAACCGCCGCCAATAATACAGACATTGCGAGTGATGGCTTCATGCGGTTGGAACTTCGAGGGGTCGAAGCCTGAATGCGGGGTGGTTGCCCGTGAAACAGCTACAACGGCGAGAGAAAGGGCTTTCGCTATCAAAAACCTCATACTGGATGAATGTAACAACGGGCAAAATGGTAGAGACCATATAAGAATTTCGCAAGAGGGACATGTTCGGTCATTTATTAATCACGGGTGGGGTCACACTGACGGTTTATTCCTGGGAATGGTCAAGGTCATAGGTGAATAGCGATATCAAGTGATGTATCCACCACTGCGGTGCTCTGTTTATAGGCATTGTTGTCCTTGATCATTGGCCATAAGCACATGACGGTATAGAGTTGCCCGATGATTTATTGGACTGGCTCGACAATACGAGAATGCAGCTGGAATGTCAGGCAATTCATGGCAGGCGATATGTATGAATGTTAATTGGACCGGTTGTGACCATATGCTGGTTGTTACACAAGTAGCCGTCGTTGTAGTCACGGATTTGCGAGGAAGAGAATAAGATCCTGTTCTATTGGTTATAGGGAGAGCAAGCCTGTCCTTACCTGTCCAACATATCATCACTACTTGTGTTTTATATATATATATATAGGAACCTCAAAGGAAGGCTCGCTTACACCATGTCATTGTGTAGCCCAATGTTGTGAATGTTCAAGTGACCCTTCTACATAGGGCCACGAAGGTTGGTCTTTTAAATTTAGTTCTTATCATAATCTGTTGCTGCCCGAAAGGAAGGTCTGCAACCAAGCACTGAAATCGGGACCAGATGGCTCGATAATTAAATCTAACCACGTATAGTTCTCCATATATTTACGACCCTCGAATCCAAATCATTCGCCAGAGTAGTAAACCGATGTAGCTATTCTTAATCCACAGATGACAGAGATTCATCAAGCAGGGAAGTTGGGGACAATAATACGAGTTTAGGACCAGATGCCCCGTCTTGCCAGGATCTACCTCCTTGTCCAGCCACTACGCTAGGATCGTCCACAGCAGCTAGTCCAGTATAGAACATATGAATTTAGTCCATAAAATACCTACAGTAACGTATTTACTTATAGTTCTCCTATGATCGATGACCAGGCGTCCGTACCCTTCTAAAGCTGATACATGGAAGTTGATGAGGAATACGTTGCTTAGACTATGCTAGCCTCATATCTCGCGGCAAGGATTCTTGAAAAAGGGGACTCCTTGCTAATGATGAAAACTTCCAGCTCGACCAAACTGGCTCGCTTGTAAGTCGGTATATCTTGTTTCTACGTGACATACCTAAATGGCAACGCAGCCTGAGGAGCGGCGAAAGCGATCATTCTGACGGCTCAAGCTTATAAAGATCCAAGAAATTAACCTAGAGGCTGCAGCTGGGCAGGAAGGTTATCTTTGAATAGAGACAATGCTATAGGCTGAGCTCGCTCCTCCTGGTGTTTCGTATGGATCAGTGGTTAGTTTCGGCGGCGCGCTAAAGTCAGGGTCGGAGCATAGGACCTAAAAGTACCACCCAATGGCTGGGTATTAGATTCGAGTAGTAGGAGAATGAATGTGTACGCAATGCTCTGGTGTTGCCATGGTAGTTAAAGTGTTGCTGCATTACTCGCCGCACACCTAATGTGGATCAACCTCCCCGCATTAACCTCTCCGCTACAGATATGAGGAGTTATGGGGAAGGATTACCCTAACCGCCCAGGCACTAAGGCACCGTACATCCCTATTACTGCAGGCGGTGTATGAAGTATAACCGACAGAAAACAATTCTATTAGACCGCCTTCTTAAATAGGATTAGGTTGATGCCTAGGTAATAAAGTACTTCATGTTCAAACAGTATACAGTGCAATCGGCATGAAGAACTGTGCACAAGTCTTTGGCCGAATGCATATCTTCATAAAACATAGGGATATAAGTGTGATATCTATACAAGGGTATTTGTCCCTTGGGTTAGTACTGTCAATTATCCCGAGACACAATGAATCCATAAACTAATATAATAAAGCGGTGCTTCCATTCACAGTAATGCTACCCTGCTTAGTTGGAACCTCATATACCGACTCTAGAGGATAAGCCCAATTTTAAAGGCTAAGCTATTTGGCTCTACTTTCCGGAATGTTAGGCAAACTGACTTGCAGTCCTACTCCATGCCCAATTTATCCACGTTTCATTAGCGCAACAGTGCCTCCACTAATACGAGATATTGCTGAACGGTGGCTGGAAAGTTACTTGTTAATATGGTTCGAAGATTAGAGCACTAACTCTGAAATTCACGCTTAATCTAGTTAGATTATCTGTTAACTACTTTAAATAACACGGCTCGAAATGCCCTTTCCCGAATTTGGAAACTATAATGTACGGAGTATAGAGCTTACTGTACACAGTAAGATTCTTGAGGCGTCATCGCCTCTTTCTAATTAATATCAAGTCGGCGTTTTCACGTAGATAATAAGCTCCGGGGCAACAGAATGTAAATCTTAAATAAACTTGGGCTGGATCTTGGTCATGTTTTGACAGTGCGCAACTTCGCACAGATCTATAACACTATCCTAGGCAAGTGCTGATGCTTTAGGCTCGCAAGTCTTTGTATATCCCATGCTTTTGAGCTATAAAGCAATGACCGGTAGCGCGCGACTACATTTGGACCTCTCTTCAGTCTGATGTGGTAGATTCGAGACCAACTCTTCCATAATAGATTCAGCTACCAGCTCAAGCGCTAGTCCACCAATAGGCACTGTGAACACTTCGTTCCGTTATACTGGAGACATTATCCCACCATCTCTGAATGGGATTAAAAAAATTATTATAGATAGCTCTTCCGATAGCTCGCTTTACTGTTCACTGTCCTGCGAATCTTCTCCCGATAGTTGAGAGCACAGAAATCAGGAAGATTATTTGTATGTCATGTCACTTGTAAGTCTTTGTATGGTTCTATACTTCCAAGACTTTTCTTCTTCTTTCTAATGATACCTATTTCAATAGCACTTTTTTCAAGGTCTTTGTAGGCTTAGTCTTGTAAGTAAGTCTATAAAGCCCTAATAATCTAATGTCTGAACTGACCATGATCTAGGAAATCTGAGAGGTTTCGCATATCATATCTGGGAGCTCCAGTTGCATAACATAAACACGCTATTTATTGTGAGTAACGGGTAACTTCCTATCAGTGCACTAGGATCTAAGTATGCACCAATCGCTTGTCCCGTAAATTCGCCTCAATAGAGACCTTATATCTCATAACTCCATTAGATGTCCTACACCACAATGGTACCCCATGCAATATCCCTAGGTCTGATAAAGATTAGCATGTGCTGGTCCCTCGCGCGTAAATTCTCCATAGCGATTTTAGTATTTAGTGCTCGTGTGTTTCTGACGGTTTCCGTGTTCTGGCCGATATCAACAATATTAGTCTCACTTCTAAGCTGCCAACAAACTAAGTTTAACTGGTCCGTGGTAGTAGAAAAAGAAGACTGTCGGAACCTAGCGGCGGCATATTCTAGTCTCGGTTTCTTCGACGTTATCGTTAACTTGTTTATCTTGGCCCTTCCATTTCCTACGCTCTGGAACCTGCAGATGCCCAAAACCACAAGGGTGGCCCTGACTTTGGTGTTCAATATGGGGATAGATATAATGAGTTCCACTTCCACTTGTTAAACGTTATATCTAGCCAACATATGTTCTAATATAGAGAGGAGGTTACAATAAAGGCACAATATCCGACTGTAGTAGAGTAGTATACGTCGTGTCCGTGGCCCACTATTAACTGAGAAGTAATTCATCTGCCTAAGGCATTCACAAGGGAAAACAGAGATGCTAAGTCCACGGCCCAATTATATGACTATGAAACACCTAAGTGATCGTCGATCGTACATCTTTCCGTAGACTCATTACTAAGGGGCAGGTATCATGTTTCTACCAAGGGTTGATATGATCAAACAGATATACGGCGTAGAGAGGTATTACTACGAACACTTCAAACAGCAGAATGCTACAAATAAGATAGGAGTCGAACCTAACCACAGGCTATGTACATATATGGACACTTAATTTCATCTACAGAGAAGGCCAGCCGAGCCGGGATGCACATCTACGCAATCAAACCACCAGATAAGCGACAGATCTACAACCAGAGAGTAGACTCGAAGCTAGCGAAAACCCGTACCAAACGGTTGCGACCAGCGCTACCGCATTCAGATGGATCGACATGGCATGATTCACTGAGAACTTCCGATTTACCTGATGCATCGTGGCCGGGTCCGTGGGATCCGGGTTATCTTCGCCAATCGCTTGTTCTGTACGACCAGGTCAGTACGAATGAGATCATATCCGGGGCGGATGAAGCTTGCAACCGTTGTACCGGTGGAGGGATGTCAGACTCATTTAAAATGCACAGCATACCTTGTAGTGTTCGCCGGACAACCGCCGCGGTCGTCGTTCGCGGGCCGAAGGTGATCCAATTCAAGCCGCCTGTGACGCCGACAATCACCAATGGAATGGCATCCCACGCATGTTTTGTGAAGGAGATAACGCTACAGGGGGGACGGGTTGCGACGGTCAAGATGATCAATCCTACTTGGCACTTGAACTGGGCTGGGAAAATGCGCTTTTGGAGTGCGATGAACTCGCGTATAGGCAGTACTTAGTAGCATATCTTGGTGTTGACAAAGCTCTGAAGGCGGATAAAATGAGTGACTTGTCAAGGGGGAAGATACAGATCTGTTACCCGGAAGATCTCTGTGTCCAGGAGGGTACCATAAGAGAGGAGGTGGTATGGCAGAAGGTTGCTCACGGTGTTAATGAAATTCTGCATGGTGTTTCTTCGGAGCTCGATATTGACTTTAAGAATCGGGAATGTTCTTCTTGTTCCAATTTGGAGGCCAGTGTGGACTACTTATTCCCTTAAAGAGGGAGGATGAGGGACAAGATAAGAACAAACTCACCTGAAGTAAGACGAGAAAAAAATTCGGTTACCTAGTGAGGTGAGAGAAATATCAGTAAGCAATCTGGCCGCCTGGCACCAGGAGATACCAAAGGATTTCTAACTGGCATTTTTAGTTGAAGGTTGCAACCGGTCTAGCCCACACCACGAGTTGTACTACGTCTAGAATAACATGTAGTAGCCCTACTATGGCACTGGGTGCGATTCAATTTGGACCTCTACCCTATAAATTCCCCTTTGAAACCATTGGCTGGAGGTTCTTGACCTTTATAGGTCAGTATCCATAGAACAACATACTAATCAGAGTTTATTGGATGCCGTATCCACTGTGAAATTCGTCTGATGAGTAAATATGCAAAGGATTGGTTGGGTTGGTCCGTCATCACGGCATCTTGTCTGCCCAAAAAAGCAAAAGGACATAAAATGGATCTTCATAAATAAATTCATTCATTCTTTCAAGTTTGGTGACACGAGTGGTCCTGTCTTAAACAATCACAGCCTACTATTCAAATACGAACCCCTGACTCTCTACTTAACCCAGCTTCTTCCGCCATTTCAGTAGTAGCACAAACGACACTCTAGCCAATCCCTTCTCTAATCCATCATCAGAAGGGTATATTTTCAGCTTCACCAGCCAAGTAATGGTTGACTGGCCAGTTGAAGATAGAACGTGGACCACATTGGATTGTTGACGGCCGATCCGCGTTTAGTTGCGCTTGTTCTGCACCATGCTAGTAGTGATGTACTGTTGATGGGAATCAAACAAGCAAAAATGCTACATACGTGGAGATCTTCAGTACTCTCAGTTCAGATACACTTTATGCATGATCTTTAATGCCCACTTTGAGGTCCCTGCTGTCGTGTTTGTCCGCCGTTCCACGCCCCTTCTTTCCATAAAACAAGTCGGTACAGTCCTCCCCTACGATCCCTTGAAGCGAACTAAGGTAAAAAGGCCTAAAACAAGAGCTTCGTTGGCGTTTTTCTCACCCCCATGGCAATTTACCCCAAAATGTGTGCCAAATTGACCCACATGAATAGTCTACCATCACCCCCTCTAGGTCCACCCGATCGGGTCATATTTCTTTTTTTCTGTCTTTCTAATATTCCGAAGTCCAATTAAGATTCGTACCAATAGATTGGAGCTTGCGGTCTCCCTGATCGCGCCCCTCTGGTGGTGCCGCCTTCCTTGGGTCCTTAAAAGGATAATATAGGCAAGGGCTTGCGGTAGCCCCTGTGGGTTCCGCGATACTCTCAAGTTACTGAGTGTGAGACGCCGATATGGAAGATGCATCTGGAGTCCGTCACAAAATTCAGAAAGTACCAACTCATGTGTTACGGTTCACACGGCTGAAGAGTCGTGTGTCTCAATGATTCCTGGCATCTGTGACTAGCAAATCAGCTGAGCCCGGCCGACTGATCTGCGCAATACTACTCCCTACTCCGTCCTATCAAAGCGAGGTCCAGGACAGGGATCGACCATTTGCTGGACCTTATTGGGACTAACTGGTGCACCGAGTTGACGCCACTCCAAGCCTCATACGTCCCGCATGGCTGCTCATTTTACTTGCTGAAAAGCGTATACAACGAATCGGAACAGTTGAAGCGCTCAGCACCTCGTGGCCAAGTATCCAGTACTGTGGATTGCGAGACATAGTTCACTAGTAGTGCCTTGGAAGGACCGGGAATGCTAGAGCAACAGAAAGGAACTCAAGCCGGTGGTTATTTAAGTACTCATTTTCCAGTTTTCACCCACTCGCATCCTCTCTCGGCCCATCTCTCTCATATGTAGCCGTAATATTGTCTCAATCTATTACAGTACCTCGTAAACACAGGTCCCGGCGACGTGACGAGCAAATCAACGGCCTTTCTCCGGACCCCGATGCTTATATTTTAATAAAGCATAATTAGATAAGCGGAGAACACGTCAGATTAGCTCCTAAGGACACCAGGTAAGTGTGGCTGGCACATAGTTGGTCTAACACTGCGGTAATTATATATAAGATCTGTCGCCACCAGTACATCTTGCGCCGTACCTCTCACTCGTGAGAGTACATCTACGTTAGTGTCACAGTACCCCCTTTACAAGGGCTATCACAGGTGTGATTTTGAGGAGCCAACTCTCTTATCTAACTATAGTGGTCGATCTAGAAAGATCTCCTAACAAACGCTTTTGCTGCCAAAATGCGCGCACAGTCTGCTGCAGAGGATCAAAACGCGAACGGTGCCACAAGTGACAAGCAGGAGCAGGACCCTATTGAAAGAAGAAGATTGCAGAACAGGCTATCCCAGAGGAATCACCGTTAGTATACCTCTTCCGACCCGAAAAGATGTCGTACGTCTGATGAAAATGTATATAGGCCGCAAAATCCGAGACCGAATTGCCAAATTGCAGGAACGTGTTATTGCGAGTGAGCTCAGAGCAGCGGCGAGCCTCAATGGTTGGAGCTATCATCATCCAACGGCTCCGTTGCCGGTAGTTCAGGCACCATCGTTTGATGTTGATAGAAAGTCTCTATCCCCTGCTGCAGAGATGATGCCTGCTGTGAACAGTCCGTGCCTCCCTTACTCGACAGGTGCCTGCTATTCTTGCAATATACAGAGTCCAACACCTATCGTACCTTCACAATACTCGCCGTCATTTCCTCAGATCGAGGCAACTGCGAAAGACGTCGATTCGTCCAGTTCATCACCGCCGCCTGTTCTCATAAACAGCAACGTTTGTTCCCCGGGTACCAGCCCCGTCAATCTAGACATGCCACAGAATGCCTCCAGCAACTACGCGGCGCTGGATATCAATGGTCAGTTCCCACAGGCTGAGCCATGGAATCTCTACGCGCAGTATTCCCAGTCCAACTTGTACTATATAGCCACTGGTGAGTTGGCATCCTCCTGTAATCGCGAATATGAGATAGGCCTATGCTGAGGTTGAATAGAAGCGTCACTTCCACATATTATGCAGATGCTGGACAATGGTCAATCAAGGGCAAAGGCAGTCATCTTGCTGCAGCCAAACCTCCAAGTAGCAGGTGTTCCCCCGCCGTCTAGGTCCCAACCCCAATCACCTAGAGAACAGGTAGCAGCAACTAGTGCCTTCAACATGCATGGCTTGACATGTCAGTGTCACACACAAAGCCTGCTCTCTGAGTCGCCTGTAGATTGGACGCATCCGGGTGCCTCGACATCCATTTGCCCCTTGCATTCTCCGTCGCCATTGGATGGTCATCAACAAAGAATGCCGTGATGCAATGGGTGTAAGGAACTGATGGCTTCCTAATCTGTTTGGCACAGACCCGGCTTTACTTGTATATTGGGTACTTAAGATCATATATTCTATCCAGTCTGCCTTCTGCAATATGTATCGGCCTTCCTTCCGTTCTCTTTCAAGAAATGTATGTCTTCTCACATTATCAGCCCAACAACCGTCCCAGTGATCCCCAATACTAAAATCAACCATCGAAGTTTACCCTAACAAGTCGGGCTGACTCCCGCATAATTTTCCCAAGCAATACAAGATTGTCCACAACGCCTACCACCGACTTCTCATCTAAACATCTTCCGGAAACGCCAAGATGGATTTTCTTCCCCCCAATGCAGACCGAATTAAAACTTAGCGCCTATACTTGCTTCGCATAGGCACGCATGCATACACAACTATTAGTTTAGGTTTTCCACGGAGCCTAGGGTGCCTTTCGTAGGCCTTCTCCGCTGCTTTGGGGGCATCGTCTCCGCCATCTGGCCGGGGTACCCAGTGTTTTAGAACTCGTTGCAAGGACATATGAGTTCTGGGTGGGGCGGAGTGATATCCCATATAGTATAGATGAACGCGCCCATACATCCTGTCACAATTAGTGGCTTGGAATTCAACTTTGGGATTCCACAAGATCTATGTCTCCATTCCCCGGAACGTACCTGCGGGCCATTGTTTCAATTTGAGGAAACCCCTCCATTTTGTCCTCGCACCATTAGCAGAGCCCATCCAAGAATACCTACCCGAGCTAGCAAACAATTGTTGGCCCTGTAGGCATCCCAACAACCAGAAAGACGACAGTTACCCACAATCTATTAGAACAAATCGAAATCCTACAAGAAATCCCAATAGCTCAATCAACTATTAAAAGCCTAGGTAACCAACTGACACAAAGGCCCAACCCCAGTCCCGTAGAATCCTAAACCTAACTAACCTTTCCCACACAAGCCAACACAACCAAACACCAAATGAAAATAAAAAAAATCAATAAACAATCCCCAAGAAATCTACACCCGCAACCTATACTCCATAACCTGACACACCTCATCCCGAACCCCCTCCCCAAAAACCTCCTTTACAAGAAAGAAGCTCGCCTCAAGCCCACTAGTAATCCCCCCCGCCGTAATCAACCTCACATTCCGATCCTCCCCAATCAACCCCCCATCAACATAAAGCCTATGTACAACCACCGGCTCCACAGCCCCCTCCCCATTCGCCCCCCTACAAACCCCCCTCAACTCCTCCAACGCAGTATAATGCGTCGTGACAGTAACACCCTTCAACACTCCCGCCTTACCCAGCAGCAGCGCGCCCGTGCACACGGAGAACAGCGTCCGGGGAACCCTCGCCCCATCCTTGGGCGGGAGGGCGGCGAAGCGGCGGACGAGGTCGATTTCTGGGGCAATGGGGTCCTGGGCTAAGAGGGCATCGGTGACGGGGGGTCCTGCGCCGGGGACGATTAGGATGTCGTAATCTTGAAGGGTGGGGAGGGCGTCGTCGAGTAGGAGGTCGGGGGTTATGGTGAGGGTTGTAGTGCCGGCGGTGATGGTGGTGCGGGCGATTGTTTTGAGGGTGATTTGGGGGGTGGGGGTTGTGTTGTTTACGTGGGAGAGGATTTCAAGGGGGCTGGCGAAGTCGAGGATGTCGACGCCTGGGTAGAGGAGGATTGCTGCTTTGTAGGGGTGGAGTTGGGGCATTTTGGTTTGGGATGTTGGTGGTTCAAATGGGTGGTTGGTTGGATTGGAGGTTGAGGTTGAGATTGGATGCCAACGTGTTGTGAGTTTTTGTGCAGCAGATGGAAGGCCTTAGGCGGACAGTCCGCTGAGGGTTAGGTTTGTGTTTCACACGTGGGGCGGGTTTGGAATGGGAAATATTCTCGTTGTTCACATTGGATAAGAGTGTGATGTTAAGTTATCTATTTAGAACGTTGGGCATGTGGGTAGATCGTCATTGCATATTCGCAAATTATAGTATTTCTGATTTCTATCAAATATCCTCAAGATAAATGGGTGCCCGGATGAAGTAGAGGTTAGCGGAACAAAGACCCGAATTTTACAATAACATGGCCAAAAAAAGGTAAATCGAACAGAAACACCAGGGCCGAAGATTTACAACCGAACGCATATATACTCCCCCAGTAAGCTAATCCGTGCAATCATAAATGAAACAATCATAACGCCCAGTGCAGAATTCCACAGATCGAGAGAATCAGTCAACTCCAGAGCGGTGGGTGGATATACTCCGCAGCTCGGTCAAGGATGTTAGGGATGGTCCACTCCCCGCTCGTGGAACTCTCGGGCGTGGGGGGCGGAAGGGATCCGAGACTAGGGGTCATGCCAGTAGAAACAGGAGGTGCAAGGTTCTGCAAAGATGCTGTAGACGGGTTCAAGTAGGCGGGCGACGTGCCCTGACCCGATGGCAACTGGCCATGGGAGCTAAAGGCATTTTCGAGTTTTTCCAGCGCACGGAGAGTCTTGGTCAGGGGCTTGGCCCACTGGGTCTGAGTATCGACTGCAACTGCAGCGGATGCAGGGGAGGCGGAGCTAAGAGCAGCAGGGCTAGTAGCTGTTGTGGTAGTGGTGGTAGGAATGGACCCATTGAAAGCGGCGTTGCGATCCGTCTGAAGACCAGACACTTCGGCCGATCCAAACAGCCCTTCTGCGTTGGCACGTTCCGCGATGATCGTCTTCATATCGTGTAAGAGGGTCCAGAAATGGGGGTTGGTCTTCGATTCGTCTGTGACCGCTAACAAGAAGATCGAACTGATCGCGCGCTGCAAAGCGATCCAGGACCGGGATGCATGGGAGCTAACGGAATGCATTTCAACATAGGCTTCGACGGTTGTCATCAAGTTTCTGACGCAGTCAGAACGCATACTGGTGGTGAGCGGGTCGTTGGGGTCGGCGGTGGCTTTAAGCGATGGCCGGAGGAGCTCAGACGAGAAATAAGAGGAATGCAGCTTCAGTACAACCCGTTCGAGATGTTCGGATGTCGAGAAGCAATACTTCCGGTCACGCAGATAAGGTTTTGCTTCGATCATGATATGCTGGATCCTTTCTTTGTAAGCATGGATGGTCTTCTGGCTCAATTGTGCGTGAGGACTGAGCATTCGGCTGCGCACAACCTCCAAGGCCAGGGAAATAATCCGGCAGAGAGTTTCGAAATACGACAGCTCGCCAGGTGTCGAGTCCTGTCTATATGCAATTTCTGGCTGGCAGACGGCCGTGGTTGATGGTCGATCGTAAGAAAGAGAGAAATGACTGTCCTGCCAAGCCATGGACCACCTGTCCATGGTTAGAATTGCCCAAGCTCACGATGGCAGACGCGAATTACTTACCAAACATGCCGCCGACGATATCTCTCTGCTGCAGAGAAACGGCTCGATTCAACATGCAACCCGAGTGCCAGTCCCATTCGAAGGGTCATGCCTAGCCTTGGTCAATCGCATTTTCTCAAATTTGGAGGTAGAACATTGCCACATACCAAGGAGAACATAGGAGATTCCCGGGTTCATATTGTAGGACAAAACATTCCCAATCACAAGGAGCGTTTGGATAGCGTCTATGGTTGGTTGGGACAGAAAATTGGTCATTCGAAGACACTGGTAAGAGCAGCAGACTACGTCCAGTAAGCATGGCTTTTCGCAGCGAACGGAAGCTGAACATGGCGCTCACCATATACTTGCGATGTTAACTCTCTCTCTTTCCCGGGCAAATCGGAGGACTGACAGCCCGAAGCCAGCACAGCAAACAACAAGCCAAGATATGCTATAGAAACACCAAAGGGTCTCTGAGCCTGATCGTCACCCGCTCGGTATATCCCACCAGTGGCCGACCTATTTCTTAACAGATGATTAAGGTGCATCTCGAAGTTCGGCAGGTCCTCGATAACAGGATATATGGCACCTGCTATGTCTCGGTAGTAGTAGAAAAACCTATACACCGTTTCACAATAAGCCAACCGTTTGGTAGAAAAGTAAAAGCTGTTCCCGAAACTTACTCCATGCACTGCTGATCACTTGGGAGCGCACTACAAACAGCGCTTATATCGAATGTGGACATATCGGACGACCATAAGTCGACAAACGGATACGTCGCCGATTCATTATCAAGACCCAACTTCGGCAAGATACCTCCCTCCAGCAGCGCTTGTAGCTGGTCAGACCCGGACTTATTGTTCAGTATGTAGGCAAGGACAGATCGAGATCCCAGGTGGACAGTGCCCTCGCCCAAGGTGTTTGCCGCATGGATCCCCTCCCGTTCTGGGGAAGCGGCTTTGGACCGATTGCTTGCGTCGCCGCTCTGCACGCTGCCCGTCTCCAATGGGGAGGCCTGTCCTTCCTCTGTCTTCTCCAGTCCAACACGGAGATTGATAATAGTTTGCTCCATCTCCTTTAATCTATTGCGCACATTATCCCACTCCTCGCGCGCAACTGACACTCGACCGGCAGACACCAAGGGGGTGGGTCTCGCTGCGACCGGTTCCTGTTTTAACCGAATAGGCGTTTCAGCGGAATTGGGGAGTCCGATGCTTTCCGCTCCACCCGGTGTTGCCGCTCCGACGGGGCTGTCGCGATACTGGGGAGGGCCCGAGCCGCCCATGATGCGTTTTTTGGACGGGCGTTCGTACGAACAAAGATCGGCATGGTCGCGCTTGACACAGCCATCACAGGGGAGGTTGCGGTCACATTTCACTTTTCGCGCATGGCAGGGATAGCACGCCTTCGGTTCACGCGCTTTGCGTTTCGTTCGAATGATCGCATCGACTTGGGATTGCGGGAGGTCGGAGACGGGTCTGGAGGGCGCAGCCGTCATATCGGGGCCGTTCACCGACGGCGAGTACGATACGGATGGCTGGTATGGGGACGTCATAGAGGAGTTTTAAGGGGTTGAATTGGATTTCTTGGTTTCGCTGTTGCTGGAGTACTGCGGTTCAACTTTTCATCCATGCGAAGAGCGGGATCACATCAGAGGCGGGAGGACAGATACAGCACGGTTCAGATCGAGGCTTTCACTGTCATAACTTAAGCCAAAGGCCGGGTCATAGTTTTCAGGAATTAGACTAAATTAAATGCGGGAACGTCGATACTTGGCAAGCTTATCGAGCGTCCGCGAGCAGTTTCGCGGGGAGGAGACCAAGATGTTACGGGTCACAGGTCAACCACCAATTCGGGGTGTCGATGACTAAGATACCGACAGATTACCACGTGATGAGGGGCCGGGAAGACAAGCCGAGAAGCCCTAAGTCCCAATTGGGCAATGACGTATGTCTCCTTTTACAGCAGGATATTAAGAGTATATACTACAATATAAAGCGGCTCCAGATTCTATAAGTTTGCTATTAGTCGATATAATGTATGAGAGCCTTGTATAGAGTACGGAAAGATACGATTATGGGTAGAGCTAGGTTCGGAAACTCTGCTCTCCACGCTGCGAGCCTCACCCATAGAAGCTCATTAACTGCATTATTTTTTGGCAGTATTGTGCATAGAATCTGCTATGCCACTGTGTTGTAGATATTTGTAATAATTGCTACTTTTCGATTCTCTAGACACTTTGCACCTTCTCAGAGTTGCTCTATCGCAAGTACTCCCATTCCTTCCATTTGCAAATACCGAGGTCATCCTATTGTCTCCGGGTATAAATACCGGTGCTGGCCTCTATTCTCACTTATACTCACAGTTTAAAATAAGTCTCACCTTTCATGGATAACCGTCTCCTCTTCGGAGGAGCAATTTATGGCTGGCTGACATTCCTCAATAGTGCAACACGTTCTTTTCGAAAAAGGGTGTCGGCTTATCTAACTGTTTAGAGGAGGAAAGAAGGGCTTGATGAGAGTTTTTCTTCTGCGAAATAGAATGTATTGTTGTTCCTACCCCAAAATGCGTGCAGGCCATCACTAGCCTATACTGTTGTGCTGGGGGCTTCCGATGGGTGATCTCATGTTTCTAAGGTAATGACGCCGTGTGGATTAGATACTCGTAGCTATATCAACAAGTCATATAAATCCGCATCAAAGCAAAATTATAAATATTGGTAGAAATCTTTAAACCGGAGTGCGGAGAATATAAACGTAGGAAACTACACTAGAGGTCCCCCTATTGTTGATAGGAAGACACATATATACATGTGGGAAGGTGACCCAGCATAGCATAGCATGGCTATATTTGGGCGCCTAAGCGGTTTATCTTCAACCATTTCAGAAAGGCAAGAAGTAGGGTTTACTAGCCACTTATGGTAGTATTTCTTAATATTGATGTTTGCCCTTAATTCTGTTGCTTATTCGCTTAACCCTCTGGGTCCTCAATCTACCATCAGTCTACGGCTTTTGCCTCTCAACTATATGTATCTATAAAGCTTTATGCTGGCACACCACGCAGGGCTGATGGCCTAGTTGGTAAGGTCCCTATACAAGGAGAAGCTACCTTTTTTCTCTTTTTCTTGCCTTACCCTATAATTCTGCCTAAGCCGCTGGGTTCCTCTTTTTCTTTTCCATTTTCTCCCTTGCAGTAGGTATTACCGTCGTTAACGCCATCCATACCTCTGAATTACCCAATAAGCCAGAGGGTGCGTGACTAGATAGAAGAATTAATTAGGAACCTGATCTATGGCAAAATGACCTACTTGTAGGGTGGCGTGGTCTAATCAATACTTGATCAACCGTACACTATCCTGCCAAGCTACAAGAATACTCCTAGTAGGAGCGCTATTCCGACTTACGCCAAGAACGGAGTACAATCATAAGGTTCACTACGATAGCCTATATTTATATCGTGTCTGTGGCTTAACAACTTGACTTCGTTATGTTATAATCAGTTCAACTCTACTGTGACCTTAGGATATCTGTTGCGTGTGATTTACTGGTGACTGCTTAAAGTTGAGGGGAGCATAAGATTGTTAAGTTATCACCGAAATTTTTATCTAATCGGATTTTCTATTTGCTGGTAAGTGCCTCCTGCGATGAAAACTTCAGCTTGGTCCCTAGGCTTGGAAGGAACAAGCAGTAATGAACTGCGCACTCTAAATTTCTAACATATCAATAACCTTATATTGCCATACTCTTCGGGGTAATTCCATAATCAAAGGTCACTAAACATCAATATATTCTCTAAATTAATCATGGTATATATATATATATATATATTAAAAGCTTTGGAAACATATCACTCGTAAACCGCAAACAACACCCCAGTCAGTTCCCAATCCATAGATTACAAGACCCATCCAACCATCTAGAACACAGGAAGGATACCTATGTCTAGCAAAAGACAAAAGGACTTTTGCAGCGCCGAAATTATGCGCCGGAAGATACACCGCGAGCCTCCTTCTTAACTCTTCTCACCCTTGTCGGCTTTCTCTTCATCTTCGTTGTAGGCATAACGCGAGAAACGACGAATAGATTCTCCCTTGAAGTAGAAGACATAAGGAATCGCGCAGCATGCCAAGGCGATGAATGCAAGCAATGTACTAGCCCACTGATCGCCGAGTCGGTCATACATTTGCTCGGTAAATAGGACCGTGGACGCTCCCCACATAGACCGGAGGAATGTCTTGGCGGCAAGGGCAGATGCGGCCTGATGTTGGTATGTATCAACTATAGCACAGTCAGTATTTGGAGGTCGAGAAGTAGAATCCTAGGAGCACATACCAAGATAGTTGTTGGCCGAGTTGTACAGGAAGATGAAGCCGAATCCCACGGGCCAGCCACCAACTGCAGGTCCGAACCAATGAATGTGGGGATATGATGTCCATGCAAAGATGAAAAGTCCAATCGGAATGAACCAACAAGAGAACATCATAGGAATCAGACGTGCTTCTGCCGGGGGCTTGCCACCATACTTTGAGTACAGCGACAGATAATGCTTGTTGATAAATGGGGAGCAAGCCGCACTCATGATAACACCGATGGCGAGAGGGATGAACATCAGGCCGGTTGAACCGGCGCTCCAGCCCTTTCCACCTTGGAACACGATTGGGTAACTAGGAGGTATGTTAGAACAGGAAGTAGAATGGCTCCGCTCTGGGCGTGGACTTACGCAACGAAGAACATGTACAGCAGGCCATACAGGACGGACATGTAGATCGAGATGAACAAGACGATAGGTTCCAGAAACAAAAGCTGGAATGGGCGGAAGAGGAACACCCGCAGCTTCTCTGCCGTAGGGCGAGAGTCCAGCTCTGTTTCAGTCACGTATTTAGGATCGTTCTGGGTCTTGCGGAGTTTCTTGGCTCTCCGTTTCAAGATTGTCGGGGCATAGGTTTCGGGGACCGTGAAGGTGATCAAGACCCAGGAGACAAAGGCCAGGATCAGCGTAAGCCAGTAGAGCCATCTCCACCCGGTGGCATCGGCAAGGTACCCGCCGGCGAGGGGCCCAATAGCGGGGCCGAGGAAGGGGCTTGCGGAGAAGGCGGCCATAGGGACACCCCGCTCTTCGTTTTTCCACAGGTCCGCCAGAGTGCCACCGACGAGAGTCATCGGGGCGCTAAAAGCAATGCCGTCAATCGCTCGGCATACGATAAGAGTACCAATATTCTTCGCGACTGCACAAGGGATAATAAATATGACGGCCAGGAGAAGCGTGAAGGCGTAAACCGGCCTACGGCCAAACATCTCAGACATGGGAGCGAAAGCCATTGGGCCTGGGAGCCGGTGAATATAAGAACAGCGAAGGGTTCAGGGATGACAAGGGACATACCAACGCCGAATCCAATAACAAAAACTGTGACGACAACAAGACTGACTTCTCGTGACACCCCGAATTCATCGGCAGGGCCTTCGATGTCGGCCGTGATCACACTGCTGGCGAATGCGACAACAAAGCATGTGAAAGCAACCACCATGGTACAGTACCACTTGAACGCTTTGGACCAGTTCTTAGGGTTTTCGGGGTCATCAATAGTGAAAGTCACCAGTTTCCAATCTTCCATCTGTCCTGACACCGTCGATCGAACGGGTTTAATAATCTGGCCGGCTGCTGTTTCCGTTGTGTATTCTTCTAAATTGGCGTCGGCGGTGACTTGGCGCACAGGCAAATCTAGGTAGTCAGGCTCCTGCCCGGTCCCTGAGACGGTCCGGGTAGCATCGCTGGAGTGTCCCGAGTGATGTTCCTGCATCTTTGCTGTTGGAAGCGAAGACTAGGTAAAGCACAGCGCGGTGTGATGGGGAAGTCTTATCGTCCCTAGAAGGGGGATCCCTCTGCTTCTTATATAGACAAGCATGGTTTCAGGGTTAAAATGCGACCCGCGGATACAGTAAACCAACACTTTTGACTAAATTAAATGGGGTAAAATTCCACAGGATGCTCAGTAGAAAAGATGCCCAAGCCGGAAATCCACCGGTTAAGCCTTGCAGCAGATACCATCAACTTCCCCGATCAGGAAGGTGGAACGCTAGCTATTTCAGGCAATATGCTACGATGACACTGCTTATCGCAACGTCTGATCTCGAGGATTGCCTCTTCCTCTCTGCCAAGCATGCCTTCTGCGATACTCTTCTCTTCCGCTTCCATTAGTTCACTCCAGGGCATTGTACGATCCATCCATTGGCTGCAAGAAGACATGAATCTTGATTTAGCCCCCACTGGACAGTACCAGTACCACCAGTGTTGATTCTTCCGCCGTTGATATCGGGCACAGTATACATCAGATTTTTAGTCTTGTTCAAAGTAGAGAAGACTGATGACACGGCTGCTATTCAATATAAATGATCCCCCCTGTAATAAGTACACAGAGATGTACAAAGCCACCCTTATCATATTTGCAATATAGTTGTCTACGACGAGCATGTCGCAGAACTACTTTGGCGTGATATATAGAGGCCATATCAAACAAAAATCTGTCCAGTGGCCCAAAGCCTTGTTCTAGATCTGTTAACCGGTGTCACGATCAAATTGTGGCTAGTCCATATTGACGTTACCGGTCTCACATGACAACATCCCATCAAAAAACAGCATCAGACTCGAATGTCTAGACTCAGGCAAAGACACTGATCATTCGTCAAAGCTCCGCTGCCAAGAGACTTGGCACAGAAGCTTTCCCATTAGGTCATCGGAATCACGGGTCTCGGAAGGTATTGCCGAATACGGAAATGCCCATTACCGTCAGCTTTTAGAGGCATTTTTTTACCTTCTCGTTGCTCCAGCTTTTGGTTGCTTTCATTGAGCTTTACTATAGAGTATCCACTCTATACTCCATGGGGACTGTGCCAGGCAGATGTGATAATCTCGCCGGGGTCCGATCTGATAGCAACGTGAATGTATCGCAATCCACTTTACTAACGAGGCCAGCTCTTTTCCGACTGGTGCTTTTATACTTCGGTCTCAGTAGATTATTATAGAAAACTATTTTCCAATGGTCGAGAACTCGGACACTGTCCATGCGGACCCATACTCCAGAGTCTTGAGCAATGGCACCCCCCATAAATAAGGTGGGCACGCGCTCATTAGGATACTGGGTCTGTCTCCGTAATGTGAACCCATCTTCTTCAAACAATATCTGATCCTACAGACACACACCCCTTTACCATTCCAAATGCAACGACCATGAACCTCATCAGATAAAAATACCACGGACCCAGAGGCAGGCCGGGGGTAATTTTTCTCCGGGGAGGATTGGCACGTGACTGATAAGTGAAAGTTGATAAGCCGAAATCGGCCTAGCGCGGGGTCCTTTTCCCACGCCTCCAAAAAGAATTAATTTTTAGACAGCAAGACTGACGAGCAGCTCTAACGCCCGTCGCTGTGCTCCTAATCGCCAGTCGAACTACTAGTTCGAGGTGTGTCACAGTACATATCTCTTCCAAAGAGTTGGACTTCCCTTGAGTGTCAACTCCAATTCTTCCTTTTCTTCTCCCCGCCCTCCATCACCGTTGAGTCATTCCTGACTTCAGAATGACCGCCTCCGATTCCACTTTTCTGGCCATCCCCGGGTCTGTTGCCTTCTCTCGCTCCCGGGGACATGCAATCGCTGCCAGCATTGGAGCTCAAGATGTTCGGGCTCAATGGGTTCATTACGTTCATGCTTCTCAACCGTTGGATGAGCCGCAGCAGAACGTCTTGAAGCAACTCCTTCAATATGGTGATATCACCAATATCCCTCCCTCTTTCAGCGCCGAGGATGGTGAATTCGATGTCTTCTACGTTTTTCCTCGGATGGGCACGATCTCCCCTTGGAGTTCCCAAGCGACCGGCATCGCCCACGTCTGTGGTTTGCGCAAGTACGTCGACCGCATTGAGCGAGGGTTGAAGATCTCGTGTCTCCGCACTAGCTCCGCAGAATACAAGTCCGGATTTCAGGATATCCTACATGATCGAATGACACAGGTCCTAAGCCAGGAAGAGCCGGATCTACACCTGATGTTTAGCGAACACAGCCCTCTCCCCCTGGAGACGATCCCCCTTCACGGAAGTGATAAGTCTCCAAAGGAGGTATTGCAGGAAGCAAACAAGCGGTTAGGGTTGGCTCTGGAAGAGTCTGAAATCGACTACATTGCCGAAGCGTACGGTCCGAATGGCCCTATTGCGCGTGATCCTACCGACGTGGAGCTTTTCATGTTCGCACAAGTCAATTCGGAACACTGCCGTCATAAACAGTTCAACGCTTCCTGGGTTATCGACGGAAAACAGATGCCGAATAGCCTCTTTGCGATGATCCGGAATACGCATAAGAAAAACCCAGAGTTTACCGTCAGTGCCTACAGTGACAATGCCGCTGTGCTTGAAGGAGACACCGCCGCTTTTTGGGCCCCCGACTCGTTCACTGGAGAGTGGAACTATACAAAGGAAGTTGTTCACTTCTTGGTCAAGGTCGAAACCCACAACCATCCCACGGCTGTATCCCCCTACCCGGGTGCCGCAACCGGTTCCGGTGGAGAGATTCGTGACGAAGGTGCTGTTGGACGAGGCTCTAAACCCAAGGCTGGCCTGGCCGGATACTGTGTCTCCGATCTCTTGATCCCTGGCTTGAGACAGCCATGGGAACTGGATGTTGGCAGACCCAACCACATTGCTAGCAGTTTGGACATCATGCTAGAGGCTCCCATTGGTAGCGCAGCATTCAACAACGAGTTCGGACGCCCCTGTATCTCCGGATACTTCCGTACTCTTCTGACTGAGATTGACATTGGTAATGGTCAGAAAGAGCTTCGAGGCTATCATAAGCCCATCATGCTTGCTGGTGGTGTCGGAACTGTCAGGCCCCAGCATGCCATCAAGAAACCCGAGGTTGTGAAGCCGGGTGCTTTCCTCGTCGTCCTGGGTGGACCTGCCATGCTTATCGGCCTGGGTGGTGGTGCAGCCTCCAGTATTGCCTCCGGCGAAGGTTCTGCCGACTTGGATTTTGCCAGTGTGCAGAGAGGTAACGCTGAAGTCCAACGGAGAGCGCAGGAAGTGATCAACGCTTGTACTGCTATGGGCGATAACAACCCCATAAAGTTCATCCATGATGTAGGTGCTGGTGGGCTCTCTAATGCCCTCCCTGAGCTTATCCATGACTCTGGCTTGGGTGCCACTTTTGAACTTCGTGAGATTGACTGTACCGACAAGAGCATGAGCCCCATGCAGATCTGGTGCTGCGAAGCTCAGGAGAGATACGTCATGGCTATTGGCGAGGAATCCATGAATAAGTTCACTGCGATTGCCAACCGTGAGCGCTGTGGCTTCTCTGTCGTTGGTCGTGGAGGTGGAACGTCCGAAGAGGAGAAGAGGCTCATTCTCCTGGATAGAGAGTCGACTGAGTACCCCAAACCCATCGACTTGCCCCTGTCCGTTCTGTTCGGAAAGCCTCCTAAGATGACTAGAGTTGTCGAGTCCCGTAAACTGAACCTGCCTGCGGTCGATGCAACTCTTACGAAGTATCTACCTTCTCTTGCGCCCAACCACCTCGAGCTCATCGGGGAGGCTGCCAAGAGAGTCCTTTCTCTTCCTGCAGTTGGATCCAAGTCTTTCCTGATCACGATCGGCGATAGAACTGTTGGTGGTCTCACTGCCCGTGATCAGATGGTCGGTAGGTGGCAAACTCCAGTCTCTGACGTCGCTGTTACTGCGACGGCTTTGCTCCAGGGTGTGAAGACCGGTGAGGCCATGGCCATGGGTGAGAAACCAAGCCTTGCCTTGATCTCCCCCACTGCATCGGCACGTATGGCCGTTGCGGAGTCACTCATGAACATTGCCGCTGCTGATCTGGTTGACCGTCTGAGTCACGTGAAACTCTCTGCCAATTGGATGTCGGCTAGCAGCCACCCAGGAGAAGGTGCCGCTATCTATGAGGCTGTGGAAGCCATCGGAATGGACCTTTGCCCTAAGCTTGGTATCAGCATTCCTGTGGGAAAGGATTCCATGTCGATGAAGATGAAGTGGACCGATGAAGCTTCCAAGGAGACGAAGGAGGTTACTGCCCCTATGTCCCTTGTCGTCTCTGCATTTGCACCCGTTGGCAACTACCGCAAGACCTGGACTCCCGCTCTGCGCCGCCCTGAGGACGTTGGTGACACCGTACTTATGTTCGTCGATCTCTCTTTCGGGCGGAAGACTCTGGGAGGGTCTGCTCTTGCTCAAGTCTTCAGCCAAGTTGGTGACGAGTGTCCCGATGTCCGCGATATTGAAATCTTCAAGGACTTCTTCGACGCTACCCAACAGTTGCAGGATGCGGGCATTGTCTTAGCCTACCATGATAGATCCGATGGTGGTCTGTTCACGACCCTTGCAGAGATGATGTTTGCTGGCCGTTGCGGTGTCGAAGTGATGCTCGACAACATCTGCCCTAGCTCTGGCACAAAGGATGTTGTGGAGACTCTGTTCACGGAAGAGCTTGGAGCTGTGTTCCAAGTCCGCAAAGAACATGAGATCCAGTTCCGCTCTTGCTTTGCCACTTGCGGGCCTCCAGCTGGCTTGATCCATAAGATTGGACGAGTTTCCGAGAGGCCCAAGCAGAACCTTGCCATATATCACGGACACACCTTGGTGTATCGCAACAGCCGTGCAAGCCTCCAGCAGACTTGGACCAGCACTTCTCATCACATGCAAAAGATGCGTGACAACGCTGCATGTGCTGACCAGGAATTTGCCAATATCCTTGACGATGCCGACCCGGGTCTGTCATGGAACCCCACCTTTGATCCCAAGGAGAAGGCCATTCCTATGCTCACCAGCCTGACCTCGATGTCTCCCTTCAGCAACAAGCCTCGCGTGGCTATTCTACGTGAACAGGGTGTGAACAGTCAGGCGGAAATGGCTTTTGCCTTCAACATGGCCGGCTTCTCCGCCGTTGATGTTCACATGACCGACATTATCTCCGGGCGTGTGTCCCTCGCCAGCTTTGTCGGTCTCGCTGCTTGCGGTGGCTTCTCATATGGCGACGTTCTTGGTGCCGGTCAAGGCTGGGCCAAATCTGTTCTCCTGCACGAGAACACCCGCGACGAGTTCCAGAGCTTCTTCCAGCGCCCTGACACCTTCGCTCTTGGTGTCTGCAACGGCTGCCAGTTCCTGTCTCGTCTGAAGGATTTGATCCCTGGAGCCCAGAGCTGGCCCAGCTTCGAGCGCAACGCCAGTGAACAGTACGAGGGTCGTGTATGTATGGTCCGTATCTCGGACCCTAATCCCTCAAGACCCAGCGTCTTCTTCCACGGCATGGATGGCACATCACTCCCTATCGCCGTCGCTCACGGTGAGGGCCGCGCCTCCTTCTCCCGGTCATCCGGCGTCACCGCCCAGTCCTTCGTTCAAGAAGGACTTGCTCCCGTCCAGTACGTTGACAACGCCGCCCTCAAGCCGACCATAAAATACCCCTTCAACCCCAACGGCAGTCCCGAGGGTATTGCCGGTGTTCGTAACGCCGACGGCCGTGTCCTGGCCATCATGCCTCATCCTGAGCGAACTATCATGAATGGCATTGCCAGCTGGCTGCCCGCCAAAGCTCAGGAATGGGGAGACATCGGTCCTTGGGGCCGTGTCTTCTACAGTGCCAGAAGATGGGTTGGTTAAATGTTTGACCGAGTCTTATTATTATGCCTTTGTATTTGGGTAAATGAAATTGGACTGTATATGCTTGGTCTTATTGTCTGTATATGAAATGGGGAGGACAAAAAAAAGCAGATCTCATACCGAAAACTAACGTAGCATTTTGCTGTTGTTTCTCTCTGTATTTCCCTGGTTTGGGGATGCTCCAGGATGAATTTTGATACGATGACATGTTCAGAAAACTATAAATGAATTTTCTTCTTTTCACTTCCATACTCTTCCCTCGGCTCTTGTAGATTTGTAGACTTGAACCAGTTCTCTGCTAGATATAAATCCGGCACAGGGGCCGGCGGGCATTATCGTAGTCTCCAAGCAAAGATCTCCTTGCTGGACAGATAAACAGTTGCAATTACGTCAAGAACCAATCCATGGCATTCATGAACAACAGGCAAACAGCAAAATCATTATCGTAATCATTATCATAATCCAGCCACGATAATCATACATGGTTCGCAACGCGCTCCTTCCTCCACTCCAATCGTTCAGCCAAGATCTCCCAGCTAACCTGGGCATTGGCGCGTCCTACGCCCTTCAAGCCAGCAGACAAGAACCCGATCAGCCGGTTGAATTGGTCCCTGGTGTCTTTCAGTCGCTGTACGTATTGTGTTTCGTGTGTGAGGGTGAGTTGGCCGTCGGAATTTGCGCCGTTGAGCTCGTCTTCTTCATCTTCTTCCTCATCTTCGTCGCTTTGGTATTTGTCGTGGCCGTACTCTTTTTGGGTGAATGTTGGGTCCTTGACCTGGTTGTAGCGTGTGGATTGGAGGTCTGAGAAGGATATGCAGAGGTCGAGGAGGGTGACGATTGCTTCGTAGAGAGGGACTAGATTCTTGGATAGAAGGCACTGGTCTTCTAATGAGGACATGTAGGATTGATGAGCGGCTACCATGGCGTCGACATCGTGGCAGGCCGAGAGATCCTTCCGTAGTGAATTTGTGGTCGTGGAGATAACGAAGTCAGTCATGTGGCTGTATAGGGTGTTGAGGAACCATAGCATATTATGTCGGAGGGCGTAGGCCAGGGCATTGTTCTCGTTCCCAGGACCTTGGTTCGTTGCATAAGAATATTGCAGACGTTGTTTCACGATCGTGTATTTCGCTCTGCGAATTTGCATCAGGAACGTGGAGAGTCGTTGGTAGCTAAGGAGGGCGGTTTTTGTGATGATGTTGGCCACAGGCCAGGGGAGGATGTAGTCGAATGAAATGGCTCGAAGTATGGTTACGGATCGACTGCGGGCGTTTAGCTTAAGTTGAGGGTCTTTTGATGATCGTACGATAACTCTAGATGGATCGATGAAAGGTAAGGTACCAAATGCGCTCTGGGCAAGTTCGGTGAGCAAATATCGATCATCCCAGGCCCCCCTTCCTCGGTCGATAAGGTCGAAGACTTTACTGTCGATGGATCCGAAAACGCTCATATCTTTGCAAAGGTAAATGTGCTCCAAAGCCTGGAGAGAAATCCATAGTCCACACTGCTGGTCAAGCTCTCTTCGCAGCAGTGATGATGTGAAAGAGTGGCTCTCGTCCACTATGCGCCCAAAAGCTGAATCGAGTAACGCTGAAAATGGCATATAGATAGAAGCTGGGTCTTCCGGGAACACATCTCCAAACGTTAGTGAACTCTTTCTTGCATGCTCACCCTCCGACATATCCAAGTGGCGCAGAAAAACCATGCTTTTGCCTGCTACGAAGATCTTCAGAGCAACAGATTGAACAAATTTTGGCGCACTTGAAAACCATGCTGATTCATCCAGAGTATACCACGCATGCCATAAAGTGCGCAAGTCTTGATCTTTACTGCGGCTGTCACGGATGAAAAATGAGCCTTGGTAATTTTCCTCAAGCTCTCCCCTTTCCATCCAAAGGCGAATTGGGCGTGCATAGGTTTCGAAGCACGAAAAGAACAGCTGAGCTAAATACTTAAACTCGTTATCGTCTCCGGTGGCTTGTGCCATGCAAACCGAATCGTATAGCAAATCAAGACATCGCACTGGACTGTCCGATGCATTATGTTTGAGGTTAGAAACAATTTCAGCTAACAAAAGGAGCAGCTTCGATTCACGACAAACATTCTCATATAACTGCAGAATACTGACAGCTACAGTATCCGATTGCGATAGATATAGTGATTGCATGTCGGATAGGAACCTATCGAACTCGCATAGGCGATCTTCAATTCCTCGGTGAAACGTCTGCACATAGGGAATGACCCGCGGGACCTGGTTGTATCGTCTCAGAACATCTATTTTGGACCCAATTGAGCTGAAAGAACGTAGGAAAGAAGATAACGTTTCACTTGATAAGTGCGCAAGCGTGTACCTCCGATCTACCTCAACTTTTTCATCAAGACGCCAAAATAGCGACGTTGGTAGACCTTGCAGCATGAATATTGTCTCTCTTACAAATTGAAGCTCCGTGAGGACGTGAGAGGAAACACCCTGTTGTTCAGTGCTGATACCGTTTTCATCCCGCCAGAACTGGGCGCTCTTTATCGAAGCCACAAGTTCTTCGTCTTCTCCTGAGGAGAACAGTACCTCTGGAATCACATAGTCCTCTTCTAAGGCTATTGAGGTTTGGGTTAAAGCCCGTGTGTGATAGCTATCGCTTGATACAGATGAAAAATCATCGTCGGAAGATCCAGCGCCGAAATCTACAGGTTCCCATATGTCTTCCTCGGAATACGCGGTCCCAGAAACATCTAACTCTGGCCAAGATAGTGATTCCACATGCTCTTCGGACTTAAGGCTTTTGATCCGATCTACCTTTGACAGTTGAGCAGGGCGATCCGCGAGCTGCAGTAACAACGATAAGATCTCAGGAAAATGTGAATCCTGGTGCTCATTCAACTCCGTCAAACGGGCTCGGAGGGCGTCTGCTAATTCATCCCTATTGAGGACCTGGAACTTTTCTTGGAGTCCTTCTAGTTGATTTGCCACAGCAAACTGATCCGTACGGACATGAGCGTTTGCTCTGAGAGTGTCCTCGGCACGACGTTTCAGGATCTTGAAACGGGGGCTCTTTTTATCAACATTCGCGACGGTCGCGATCAGCTCCTCGATTAGCGCACTAACATTAGCAAGGATAACCATGACGGTGGTTTAGAAGGGTCAGCATCAACGACAATAGCGCTCCGAATCCCCATCGTCCATGCTAAGTGAAGTATGAGAATTGTGAGGGTTACGCGGCTTTTGGATTGATTGGCGGCGGCAGTTGACGTGTTGTTTGAGTCGCCACGCTAGACCCGTTGGGGGAAAGGCGGGCAATAGTCCAGAACTGGAAGTCCCTCTCCTATACCCGTTCATTCAAAGCAACTTCTTCACTCTTTCCTCGCACTCAGTCCAACCCCTCAAGATGGCTGTCGCAAGACCCATTCGCATGCTGGGTGCGTCATGCATCATTCTCATTCTCTTTCTTATCTTCCAAATGAACAGGGGACCTACCTTCATTAGTAAGGGGTCCAAAGAGTATACCGGCATACAAAATGACCCCCTCAAGGAGGGTATGTTCTCCCTCCCGCGCCCCCTTTTGCTTCTTATCTTTAGTTATTGTGCATACCCTAGACTAACACGCCACCCCGTTTCTCACAGTAACCGGAGAACCCGAAGGGCAATTATGGCGAGCCGACGAGCACGACTATGCCCCCGATAGTGCTAACTCCGCCCGGACCAACGCGGCGCTCATCTCCCTCGTCCGGAACGAAGAGCTAGAGGAATTGATTCCGACGATTCGCGATCTCGAGCGCACCTGGAATAGCAAATTCAATTATCCCTGGATATTCTTCAACGACAAGCCGTTCACGGAGGAGTTTAAGAAGCGCACACAAGAGTTGACCAAGGCGAAGTGTTACTATGGTACGAGAAATTTAACCTACGTGGACGGAACCCATCTATCTAACCATACTTAGAACAAGTACCGAAGGAACACTGGGATGTCCCTAGTTGGATCAACATGGACCTCTTCCGCGAATCGGCCCAGGTACTGAAGGAGCAAGGCATTCAATACAGTGACAAGGTGTCCTACCATCAAATGTGTCGCTGGAACAGTGGCCTGTTCTATAAGCACCCAGCCCTCGAGAAATACCGTTACTACTGGCGTGTCGAGCCCAAGGTTCAGTATTTCTGTGATGTCGATTATGATGTGTTCCGATACATGGAGGATCGCAATATCACATACGGTTTCACCATCAATCTTTTCGACGCCCCCCAGAGTATTCCAACACTCTGGCCGGAGACGAAGAAGTTCCTTGCCGCGAACCCTACATACCTGTCCGATAACAACATGCTAGAGTGGCTGACGGACGACCAATTGCGGCCAGAGCACACTCGGGACGCAAATGGATACTCGACTTGCCACTTCTGGTCTAACTTCGAGATCGGTGATATGGAATTCTTTAGAGGAGAAAAGTATTCCGCCTACTTCAATCATTTAGATCGCGCAGGTGGCTTTTTCTATGAACGGTGGGGCGATGCTCCTGTTCACTCGATTGGTGTGGGCTTGTTCGCAGATGCGGCGAAGGTTCATTGGTACGTAAAGGGCGCCCATATTCGAAATTTCCACCTTCGCTAATTCTGGTATCATCGCAGGTTCCGTGATATTGGCTACAACCATATCCCCTACTTCAACTGCCCTAACTCTCCCAAATGTTCCGGCTGCACTCCTGGCAAGTTCTACGCCGGTGAGCCCTTCTTAGCCAAGGAGGATTGCCGGCCGAGCTACTTCAGACATGTCGGAACCCATTAAACTTCCATCGCAATATCATTGCTTAACTTGGCAGCGCGGGCAGCGACAGGCAGCAGCCATATCCGCCTGGCACGGACTAGGCTTGCGTCAACCACAACCGGCCTAGTTTCTCTTGATGAATCTGTGTTTTATCAGACTTGGGTCTCGGGCGAGTCTTCCTCAGGCCCTAAAACCCCTCTTTATCTGACATTTAACGACTTTAGTGCGCGACTATCACGACTGGTTGGTTCCATTGTACATCGCATACTCAGCATTGACGATACCAAGCACTCAAACATACCATTCTCTGTTTCTCTTATCGAATTCTGGCGGCGTTCAGAGGATTAGTCATGGTCTTCTTTTTCCCGTATTTCATTTCCCCCTTTACCTTAAATTAGTCTCATATTTGATATTTAGCCGCTATTTTGCCATCTTGATCGGATCGGCGCCGGCCTTTATTGTACCTATATATTTCATGACATTTCAAGCTGTTTCTTATCTTGACCAGGTTTCATCAGAGGACTGGCGCAACCGTTTTTTTTACCCGATTGTTTCCTCCGAATCCGCCGTTTGGTGTTGTTTTCAACCCTGGACATTTGTATACCAACTAATGTCTCGAATGAAACGAAAAGTGTGTACATTACTGTCTTCCAATGAACATCAAAACAACCCCTTAAATTTTCACTATCTCCAATAATACAGAGTACAATCAAATGCTCACAAGATTTATAGTAATAGTAGCACTGGTATAGAAAAGCACGTGTGCACCTCCATTCAACCCCCGCGCAGTAGGGCTCCGGTCGAAGAGGGATGGATCAAATCCACCACCGAGACACAGGAGATGCCTCCTCCAACTGCATTCTAGAGTATGTATACAGCTTTCCTATCTAATCGACTGGCACAGTGGGACAAAAGAGAAATCGATTTGGAACGACGAGACTAGGTCGATTATTTACTGCTCGTTGGGGTAGAGCTCTTCGCGGAGGGCAACGCCGAGTTCCTGGCGAAGACCCTCGAGGGCCTCGAGGTACTGCTTGTATTGGTCCTGGGTCTCGACCTTGGCCTTGATACCTGCTCGGAAGACATGTGTGAGCTGTGTCTGTTGCACAGAGCACTAGAAAGCGTTATAGGAGAGAGCGTACCCTCGAAGACACGGACAGCAGTGGGGAAGTCGTTGACACGACGAGCGGCCTTAAGAGCGGCGGAGAGGACCTCAACGGAAGGGACGAGATCGTAGGCGAAGCAGTTGTTCAGATTGCGCTATATGACGAGATCGAGATGTTAGCGCGGAGGCATCTCATAAGTAGCGTAGATAGGGTGTGGGCCGATCTGCCAATGGCAGGATTGATGATTATAACAGCCCAATCCGAGTGGATAAGGCCATATATGGCTGTTTCTTTGATATGTGCGAGGGCGTTGGAGAGAGGGAGCCAGGCTTACCTGGAGCTCGAAGACATCCTGGACACCGTCGAATTCCTTCTCGAATCTGTGCGTCGACCGTGGTCAGTGGGGTTGGTTCTTTTTTTTTTTTTTCTCGACGATCCATTCCAGCACATCAGGAGATTACGGCCAACCGGAGAGAGCCCCTGCTGTCGGGGTTGGAGGCTCTCTCCCAGTTTGTGTGACCCAATGGCTTGCTGGTTGGGCTGGCATACCTGGCAGAGAACTCCTCGTATGTCTCGTCCTCGTGGTGGCCACCGAGACGTTTGGAAGAGGTGCTGAAAGCAGGACGGTTGATAGCGAGAGCAACCGGGGTCTGCAGGCGGGACCGGGGCAATTGGGGAGCTCTGAAGAGGCTGGCAGGGCGGACGGCGCGTGTCGCGACACGGATGACAGAGACGGGCGACATGGTGAGGGGGTTTGGAATGGAGAGGCGGGCGAATTGACGTGATGAGAGGAGTGGAGGATGGGCAGGATGTTGACGAGGTTGAAGTCAGAGGACGAGAACGGCTGCGCTAGGATTTTGCGGGTGGTGTGAGGCGGTGGATGCCTTAGGTTGCGTCGCCCGTCATCAATCATTTCATTCGTCTTTTGCGGCTCCCGTTCACGCCCGAAGGAGTTTATGGCCTGAGGCTGCGACCCTGTCATTCGCTCTCTCCAGCTCATGATTTCTATTTCCCGGTCGTGATTGGTCACGGCATAGTCAAGATCCATCCCGCCAGGTGATTGGTTCGCTTTTCCGGCTCTTCCGTCGATAATAGAAAACTGAGGTACAGAGTACTTTCGTTCTTTTTGGAATCCTAAGGTGTCATTATATTCAATGGCGAACCTTCTGAATCCACATGTACAAGCGTGTATATACCCAAGAATCAGCTAAAGACCTCTACCTACAACTCGAACATGTTCTATTCGCCACACTTTCCCGTCATAGATCTGGTTTTATGCAAGTTATCAGTAACTTGACTTAGTTATTATATTATCCCTGTCGTAGTATCCAATCCCATCAAATAAACAGCTGTCGGCGGCCATGGATTTAGATTATCATACAGGGTATAAAAGCCAAGCTTACATGCCCCTATCTTCATCTGTAGCTTCCGACTTGTGAAAGTAGCCAATATGATAAATTGCGTGTACGTAGCTACTAATAACAATGGGAAAACTGGTCACACAAAATGGGGGGAAGAACACCTTAGTCCGGATCAGACTGGGTGTAATTTCGGGAATCAGATAAGATCCCCATGAACAGGCCCAGATACCCATTTAACCTACCTGTGAAATTGGAGGTTCCATGAGCAGGATCCAAAAATAGGGTTGGCACGCAACTAGCCCGACACACGTCTCGGATGCCTCAGGCTACCAGATCATTGGTTCGAGATAAATGATAAGATGATGGGCCATCAAAGATGACATCAGCAGGAACATCTCAACAACTCGATGGAGTTCAATTGTGTTCTTCGCATGTTCTATATTTCCTGGCCTTCGGAGAGTTTTGATGAGCGCAGTGGATCGAGGATTAATAATCTGCCCTTCAACCCGACCATTTATCAGCAACGATTCCATCATCAGACTTGGCCGAGGTTCTAACGAGGTATTTAGGTCGAATTGTTGGTAGTTTCCCATATTGACTATATTCTAATCCATGTTATACAAATATACCCCTCACCTCAGTACTACTTTTCAGCGAAAGAAAATATATTAAACTGAGAAATCAAAATGACATCCCAAGTTATCAACCAAGTTGCTATTCTTACTCCCAAGCAAGGGAAGTTCGATGAGGTAAGTCTCTACCCACCCAAACAAATCTGCTATTTCCCCATAGTCAACAAGGTTTCAATAAAATTGAATGATTCCTCACTTAAGTATTGTATCTGTGAGCTGACTACCCCCTTTACGCCACAGCTCGCGGCTGAGATTACCAACATCACCAAAAAAGTGCAAGAGAACGAGCCCGAGACGCTTGTATACTATGCTTACGCTGATGCCAAGAAAGAAGAGATCATTGTCGTTGAGAGGTCTGTCTATCCTCCGTATTCTCATTTCTCCTTCGGCTTCCAATATCTTCCGCTGGCTTTTCTCTGTTCCCTGCTGACAGCGATATCGCCAGATATGTGAACCAGGCTGCCTTGGACAAGCACCGAGGTTCTCCTTACTTCCAGGACCTTATCAAGAAGGCTCCGGAGCTGTTGGGGAAGCCCTTGGAACTTAAGCTTGGCAACGAACTGCTTCAGGACTCCGCGCAGGTTGTCCGGATGTAGGTTGTTAGAACAAAGGGGGTCTTTAGCCTCCTCTTTACAATCTGGTTTGAATGACACATGACCGATAAGGATTGGACCGATTTTCGTATATATCTCTGGGGCTGAGCCTACTCCAACTCAAAAGTTATGCATAAGCGTTCCCTTAAATAGAAATTTTCAAACTTTCGACCTATACTCCGTACCTACAATCTATTGCAGGTTGACTTTTTAATTTGTACTTGCTATGGCATATACCAAGTTAAACGGGTAGCCCGAAGTAGAACCAATAATGGTGCACTGTACAGAGTACAGTATTCCCTTTATGCATACATATATATATATATATATAGATGATCTATTAAATATTATCATCGTACGCAGTAGCTTTATGCTACATGAAATTAAGAGACGATGTTAATCGGCTTTAAAATTCCAACATTCGTACGCCAATCCCGTACCCACACGCTCGAATATATATAGAATAGGTTTGTTTATGTTTATTAACCAGCGTCCATTGATTTCTCATCAACAAATTGTGAGCTAATATCATGGATAACCACTATTTATTAGGTTGACTGATAAATTACTGTATAAGCGTTGTGGTATAGAGCTTCTACTAAGATTGACAGTCTAAAGAAACAGACATCCGGTAGACATTCTTTATAGACATGCATATTAAAGAATGCGGTAGGTAAGACATGGAACAAAAGACTACTAGTAGCCTTCTCCATTGTCAAGTCTTCATGACTTGGCGTGCGCTTATTGGTAGATCTAAAGGGCAGGAAATTAGGCTCCATCGTACTATCTATGCGGTCGTAGTCCTAAGATGCTTCTAAAGGATGTGCATGTGAAATCAGATCGCTTGACCGAGCCAACACACTGAAGAGAAGTACTTTGTAGACTGGTAGTATGATCTGTGCATACTTTCAACCTCAGATACCATTATACTTGGATTATCATAGCATCCGTATACACCTCGTAATTAAGGCCACTGCTGCAAACGGCAAAAGAAACAAACTCAAAAGAGTCGAACGCTACCTTTTGAATTACCGGAACCACGGGAAGGCACATGATCAGCGGGCCCTAAAGAACAGCCGCCCCTTTTTATGTTGACCCGAGGCCCAGACTCTGATTGGGTGAATTTGCGGACGCGCCGGAGAAACCGAAAAGGGACCCAACCAAAAAAGACACGCGGAGAAGAATCTCCCTGCAACTGCTCTTTCTTCTCTCTCCTCTGCCACCCTCCCCAGTCGACCTTTTTTTTTTTCCCCCTCTCTTATCTTTCTTTCCTCTCCTTCCTTTGCGCTCTCTTTCCCTTCTATTTCCCAGTCCCTTTTCGCTTCTTGTCATTCCTTTTGCTGTTTTGACTTGAGCCCTGAGGAGAAAGGAAAAAAAAAAAGCGTCTCTGGTACCCAGGGCTTTTTTTTAACGACCATTCTATTCTATCTTTTGGGTCTTGATACGCTTTAATCCAGTGCTTCGACCTCCCCACCAATAATAATGGCGCTCGAACTATTACAGAATGTACCCCGTCCGACACTGGATCGGCCCTTCGGCATTCACCTCTGGCCAATTTTCGACCAGGCCTTCGAGAAGGTGGTGGGATATCCCGCCAGCGAGTTTAAGTTTGTTGAGGGACAAACGCCTATGTCCGGCTTCAGGGAAACCGCCGCGATGCTTGTGACCTACTATGTGGTGATCTTCGGAGGCCGTATGGTGATGAAGAATTTCCCTGCCCTCAAGCTCAACACGCTGTTCATGATTCACAACTTCTATTTGACCGCGATCAGCGCGACTCTGCTGGCCCTTTTCGTCGAGCAACTTCTGCCGACTATCTGGAGGAACGGTATCTTCTTCGCCATTTGCGACCACAATGGCGGATGGACCCAGCCCCTTATTGTTCTCTACTACGTTAGTGCTGCGGCGATTCGAACATTAGACTAGTGATGGCAAACTGACCTGAAAATAGCTGAACTACCTGACCAAATATCTGGAACTCATCGACACCGTCTTCCTATTCCTCAAGAAGAAGCCATTGACCTTCCTTCACACCTACCACCATGGTGCCACCGCTCTCCTGTGCTACACTCAGCTAATTGGGTTGACTGCCGTGCAATGGGTTCCTATCACCATTAACCTCCTTGTTCACGTTGTCATGTACTGGTACTATTTCCAGAGCGCCCGCGGCATTCGTATCTGGTGGAAGGAGTGGATCACCCGTCTTCAGATCATCCAGTTCGTCATTGACCTTGGTGAGTAACCTGATGCAACCAACAGTCTGGTGGACTTTTGCTAATCCGATGCTAGGCTTCGTCTACTTTGCTTCCTATACCTACTTCTCATCCACCTATTTCCCATGGGCCCCGAACATGGGCAAGTGCGCTGGAGAGGAATTCGCCGCCTTCGCCGGAATGGCCATCCTGAGCTCCTACCTCTTCTTGTTTATCTCCTTCTACATCGCTACCTACAACAAGGCAGCCAAGTCTGGCCGTCCTCGTCGCAACACTGGCAGACAGGCTGTCATTGATATGGCAAAGATGGAGGTCGTCCCCAACGGAAGCGCCGCCAATGGCAGCGCCAAGTCAAACGGAGCCGCGTCCGCTACTGGCCGCTCCAACGGCCCTGTCACCCGCTCCCGCAAGGCCTAAGCGCTCAACGTTCCTTGGGAATTTTGGGATGACATTAGCGTTACCCATGGGGTGATCTATTGGATGTAATCGTACCTCAAGACGGCCCAGGGGAAGGGCCGCCAGATTCTCGTTTCTTGTTCCCGGAGTTTATATTCGCATTGGCCCCCCTTTTTTTTGGTTTCATTGGATCTTTCCAACTAGCAATGGTGAAAGAATCACAGGACGAGCTGATATTCGGCTTGAATCCTCGAACCTTTTAATCTGGCGCTCAATGTTCTATTTGTTTAATGAATGACCATTATGATTTTGGTCGCCTTCACTCCGCGACCATGATGCACGTCAATGTCGCTTGCTGCATATGAATGCGCAACGCCAGCTTTTAGCTCAATGTGTGAAGGGATTTTCTTCTGTCTGGAAATGTGTCGAAGTGGCCAAAGCTCCCCGATCGTTTCCAGTCTGTATTTTATTTTTATTGTCATGCCTTCTTCTGCCGGGTGCTGCTGGTTGTACCCGTCCTTTTTTTTTTTCTCTCCTTTTTTCACCTATTGTCTTTCTACACTATTGTGAAGTATTATAGATGTCAGGTAAACATAAATGTAATCATGGTCATGTGTGTTTCCTTTTCCAAGATGAAACAAAAATATCTTGTTATTTATTAATGTATATAAATCTGCTTTTCTGAACTATTCGCTGAACGTTTTCCTAACCGGGCACACCCCTAGTACCATGTTTAGATATTCAGACCTTAATTGGCATTGTTAGGGTAATAGACTACATTCAAGCCACAGCATGTAAGAGTTGATAACCTGAAGGTCATTGCAACCCAGAGAATAAGTACAGACAACACATGGACACCACTCATAAGCTAGGTCCATTACTCCATAGACGAAGCAATACCCAACATGCAATAGCCCAGTATGTCTCCGTGAAAAGGAACGGACCGATGAGCCATTGGAATGAAATAGGGCCTCTCAAACACTTCACTCAAACCATATCTTAGCCTCCCGTCATCAGCTACGAGCCATCAATCTAGATTAGATTCCCCTACCAAGAGAATACTTTACTGCGGATTGCCTATAATTATAGCATCTGTCCACACGGGTATCAAATATAGGATAGTTGTCACCAGGTGCATGATATGATGAATTCCTACGCTTATTATAACCATTCGATCCTTGTCTTTATATTACACTACGCTTTGTCATGAATACTTCTGTATATCACTTAATACTCCCATGAAAAGGACCCCGACGAAGCAACCCATCCCGTCTCGGGAGTATATCTCCAGGAATATATACACCTCTAGAGGCCCTGATAAGTCGTGATCTAAGGCTTCGCGTTAGGCTATGTAGATGTTGGCTGATAACTTAATATTGGATACCATATTGACCGCAAGCTTATTACCTACGACTATTTCTGTAAGCGCACGTATCAATGGCTCACGCTTATCTCTTCAACGAATATCTTGAGCTGTGCAGGATGGATAGGGGGTTGGTTGATACATACAGGCTGGGACTTTTCTGAGTCCTGATTATCCCAGTATCCTACTCCGTAGGTCGGATTGGGCGCTAGATTAAAAATGCAATAAGTATATTTTTTGGTGTTGGTAATGTGTACTTGGGATTTTGTGCTTGGTTTTACATATATATATACATAAAGTTTCGATGTAGGTATGATTCCGAATCATTCGTATGACGTTATCGGAGACGCGAGATAGCGGTTCGGTGGAGGCTGCTAGTACTGTGTAAGATTTCTGACATAGTTATGGGGATGGGAGGAATCCATGCCTAACAGCTGTATGTAATTGACGATGGTGATAGTCCCTGACTGGGACTTGGGGGCGGTTGATTTTGATATGTGGGGGTAGTCAATATTCTGCGTTCGAGGCTGTTTCTGGTTTTAGGGCGGTATGCGGTATGTACATACTAACCCACAGTTTGCTTTCTTTTACGGTTGTGTGTACCTGGGACGGAGGAAGATAAGAGGTATAAGATGGAAGCTTAAGTTGTTGGGATGGAATAGCGGAAGATGTGAGGTGAGGTTGGAATATTTACTTGAGAGGAGTTTGTTGAAGTCGTTGTACAAAGAGGTACCAAAGGATTTTGATGGGGATTATGAAGTGTAGTAACCTTTATCTAAGTGCATTGGTATAGTGAACAATGTGGGCAGCAAGGCGGCTGTTATTACTGTAAGGGATGCTGGGTTCAACAAGGCTCTAGAGGAGAGGAAGAGCTCTCCAAAAAACGTAATGGAGGGACACGGTTTTCATCGGATCTGAGCCATTCGAAATGAATATATAGTTATACTATGTGATTGACATAATCGGTTGATGCTTAGTTCCGTAACCATATACAAAAAGGTTAGGGAGTGTCATACTCTCTGAGATTAGGCTGCAAAGCGTTATGTGATATCTGCTTTTCTTGTTTTCTAGGGTAAGTTCTCAGGAGGTATATGATGGTTAATAGATGGAGTATTGGTGTCTGATATCATAAGTTATCTTTGTGTCTGTTCTCAAGAAACAAACCCTAATACATCTTGGCTATGGGGGGTAGGTAGTATGGATATGGTAATTCTTTTAATCTTAGCCTCGGTTGTCCAAGACCGGAGATGAAGAGTCCTCAGTCAGCTATGGTTTCATTCTACAACAGTAGAGATGAGTGATGGAGACCCCAAGGTAATCAAACTAAGCGCAAACCAAGAGATATAGCTCAATGTTTTAGGTAAGGACAACTGTCACTTCCGCGTGAATTCGGAGGTCTAGTGATTCATTTTATACTTATAGTTCAAGGCGAATCTAGCCATGGTTTGATTTATACAGATCAGATCATACATATGACATCTCTCCTACATTAGGGTTATTCCTTCCATTTATAAAGTTTATTTATAGTGCTACTCTGTATTTTTCGTCTCTTCATTTACTTTTTTTTCAATTTTACAGTTTTGATTTTCATTGGTGGTTATCTCGGTGGGTAGGTACGGAGTGCTACTATCGAATTTTAAATTAGTAAAATCTTAGTACACCGTACATTCTGTTGACTATCCAACTAGTCTATCAGAACTTGTTTAAATCAATAATTTCTAAACTAGTGGTGTTTGAAACTCTTATTCCGAGGTGTCTTGTCTCCAACGTCCGGTTGACTTTCTACTAATATAACCATGGTGGATCAACTGCAATCCGACATTTCGGCAGAGTCTTGGCGACCTTTCCCTTTCCAAATTCGGACTGAAATGCCGCTGCTTTTGGGTCACAGGTTAGTTCGACCGTCGTGGACCGAGCGCACAGGTGCGTGTCCAGATACCAGAGGGTGCTCTGTGAACGGTTCGTGGCAAGATCGCAGGTCAAACCCACACGTAGAGGGAAGAAAATAACCCTTACTGATCTGCTAAACGGGCTGTTAAGGGTTATTGCAGAAAGCCTCCCATCAGAGAGAGATGTAAATGCACTCGAGCAAGCCAATCATCGTCTGTGCCGTGTCATCAATGATTCCACCGCCGCCATATCCGCCACCACGGCAGTGAGGCACTGATATGGGCTGCAGTATGCGGCAAATCCCATACGTGTCGCCGACTCTTACAGGAAGGCACCGATGCCGAGGTGAAGGAGGAAGACGGTCTCGATCAAACACCTCTGAAAATCGTGGCGGTCAACAGCGCTAACAATACCTTGGAACTCCTACTCGCCCACGGCAAGGTAGATATTAATGAATGAGAGGAACTCGACCGAACTCCTCTAATATTGGCAGCGCTCTTTGGCCATAAATCGGTAGTCAGTAACGCTTCCCACTACGAACGGGGTGGATATCAACGCACAAGACCGTAACTCACGAAATGCGCTCATAACGGCTGCGAGCAAAGACCACACTACTATCGTGGATGAGCCAGGTATGGATGTTAACTGCGAGTACACCTATGAACGGACAGCATTATGGTATGCTGCCGCGGGATGGTTGTCACAGAGTAGTTCAACTGCTACTTGCTGTGAAGGGTATTCAATCTAACTGTAGGAATATGGGCGGAATAACACCTTTGTCAATCGCGACACTTGCAGGGGTCAAAGATACCGTGGAAGACTTTCCACCCCTTTGCCACTTGGCGATAGTTGATCCCAATTCAGAGGATGAATTTGGACAAACGCCGCTGATGATGGCGGCGATGGATGGGCATACGGAGATCGTGAAGTGCTTGCTTGCCATTGAAGGCGTAAATCCAAATGCAAAGAATTTTTAGGGAAGGACGCCTCTTCTCATAGCTACAAATGCAATCGACCAGAGGTTATAAAGCACCCCCTCTCAGTTGAGGGATCGAGTTAGATGCAACGGATGATTCAAGATGTGATGCTCTGCTGTTAGCAGTATATTTTGGATATAACGTGGCTGTGAAGGTGTTACTGTCGTTAGGACGGGTGATAATTAATTCAAAAGGCAGGGAAGGACATACGCCATTGACGTTGGCAAGATCTAGAGAATTTTATGATATCGCCAGGCTTCTCTAGCAACGGAGAAATAGTAAATCAACAACAGCCTCATAATGAATAAATACGATACTCGATTTGATCGATGCTTCAGCTTTCGAAAAACAGTACTATTAGAATGGTAGACTGGTAGATTCTGAAGTATGCAAGTCTGGTGGTGAGTAATGACCTTTTGTCATTTGTCATAGAAAGACTGGTGCGTGCCTTGGATCCCTGAAGGACGTGCCCTGATCACTCGTCCGAGTCATCACGTGCCATCATCCAAGCGGCGTGGGACATAACAGAATTCAGAGTTGTAGTCTATACAATACTACCGCTATATCCGCTAAGAAAGAAACGGTAGTGGATGGCTTCGGAACATGACATTTGCCCCTCCCCCAATGGTGCGATTCCTATTGCTCGGATTCAGGCCGTTATTTGAGACTCCACCAGTGTGAGGATCATATCATATGGGCCACTCATTAATCCGGGCCCCATGGTAGTCAGTCCATTTCCTATTCGGACAAGTCGCCGTTCTAGTGGTCCTAGTATAATATATAACATTTCTATTATTAATTGCAGAGAAACCTTGCCAAAATGTCGGTCAGCAAAGCAAGAAAAAAAGGTGGAAAATTTTTAAAAAAAGCAAGGCAAGTTGGTTGCCTCGTCGCAGTTTATTCTCGATGGCCATAGCACCGCTTCGGCTGTCCGGAATTAGGGCAATGCCATACCGGCTTTAGCTCGATGAAGGGGAAGAACACTCGGAAATGAATCGTTTGGTGAAGATGATCTTCCTCGAGTTACGCTGAATCCGGCATGATCATCGCTGTCACTTAAATTTGCAATACTCCGCCCTCCTTCTCAACCACACAGACCATTAAAAATAAAGAAAAGAAAAGAAAATAACATAATGCAATTGACCCGGAGGAAAGGAAGCCCTCTTCATCTCCCCAATCCATGCCTATATTCTATATTCTTACCATCCCTATCCTTAGCAGAAATGCAGGGCAGTGCCATGCCTGCTCACAATCCAAATTCCCCTCCCTCAGTATGAAGGGCGTGCGCTTCCCGATCCCTGGACTAGGGCTTATTCGGCATTCACTCGGCTGCTCTCCCCCCCCCCCCCGGTCACTATTCTGCATCATCATACCATAGATGCATTCTTTTCCCTGGCCCTTCTTTGCCTTCTTCTCCATCCTCCATTCCCGTCTACTAATCATGAAGTGGGAAAGGCGGGAAAAAGATCCCGTAGCGTCCGTCGGGATTTGTCCCCTTGGGTACCTGTCATGCCCGTCCCCGTGCCTGACGCCAAACTTGGCTTACCTTTAGTCCTGCATACCGGTATGTACAGTTGGGTTGCTAATAATGCGGTTCGGTTATCAACTGGGGTGCAGGCAGGGAGGGAGGGGGCTTTTTTTTTCTTTATTGCGTTAGTGGTTGTTTGTATGTGCCGTTGAGGTATGTATGTATGTATGTATGTATGTATGTGTGTGTGTGTGTATGGATGTGGATTGTAAGGTGGTAAGAATTGCATTTGCATTTGGGTGGTTTTTGCCACCCATTGTCTCTCTTCCATTTTTGCTGCTTCATAGTAGGGTTAGTTTATAGGATAGGGGCACTATAGGACATGGTATGCAAATGACTTGTGATGATCGCTATGTAAATGTTGGGGTAGTGAGAAAGAGACCTCAAGCTCATTACGGTGGTCCCCTTGTTGCAATTGTGATGGTTGGTTTTATTGTGCTAGTTGCTCGACCGGCTTATAGTTAGCTAGTAGGTAGGTATAGTAAATCTCTAAGGATTTCTCTACATGTCATCCAGCCAAGCCCGAACTACAACGGGGGTAGTACCGGCCGATGAGGGGGAAGGGAAGGACAGTGGAGAAGCTGACGTTGTACAACGCTGTTGCCGTTAGTCAAAGGGAGATGAGGCTTTTGGCAAGGATGCTATAACTCGCCAGGCCGACGAGGAGTGGGGGTGGGAAGCAAAATTTGTAGGCCGGGGAGAAGAAGGTTCAGCGATGAGTTTTACTTTCCATCCTGGTGCTGGAACAGACCGGAGGACGCCTATTCCTCCGTATCCTACGCTGTGCGCGTTGGACGTCCTACCGATACTAGATAAAGAATTTTTAAAGTTTCGCGTCCATACTGAGTGTCTGGTGAAGGGTGGCTGGGAAGAACGATCAGACGCCACGATATTGCCATGCAGATGATATGTGTATCTCCGTCACTTTCACTAATATAAGCGATCTGGGGAAGTCTAAGCTGCATGTCGCTTCAGGGGATTTGGCCATGGCTAGGTTGTGATGCGGCCGATCTTCACTTCATCAGGGTGATAGGCTTGTAGGGTAGGACAATCTCGCGGGCTGGACTGGAGAGATTCGATGGGCACCCCAACGCAAGGGTGAAGGTAATACAGAGAAAGCATGTAAGTGTACGGCTATACCGAAGGCCGACTGTGTCCGGCCGCTGCTGGACGGCACGTATGTGGTCCTACATACATGAGTACGTGTAACCATGCAGTCATACTTGCTGTTTCTTCCTCCATTCAGGGTTGAGGGAGGGAGCGCGCATCATGTATGTCGCTCAATATTCCAGCCACATGTATGTATACTATCTCACTGCGTCGCAGTTCCTCCAGATGGGCATAAGGTTTGTATGTCTCCGAGATATCTCCTGTTGAGCCGATTAGACGCGATGAGGAAAAAGAGAGAGAGAGAGAGAGAAAAAAAAAGCAAAACATGCAGTGTGCCTTGGTCCATGCACCGTCGGGGTTGTTTCAGCCTGCCACACCATCCTGTTCCTGCAGTTCCAACGGGTGCGTTGAACCGCATGTTTTGTTTTTTTATTTTGATATTTATTTTTATTCCCACCATCTTATTTATTTACTGGACTTGCTGACTGTTATCTCGTGGACTATGCTTGACTGATTTTATGAAGATCGTAGATTGGTTGTGCATTGGTGATGACGATCATGAGTAGACCAGCCTCACACTTGTCTTAGCTACTCCCCTCCCCAATCGGGTAATTCTCGTCCCCCCGTGCCCTAACTGAGTCTTGCTCGAAAGACCCTGAACCTGTCAACCATCCACGGTGTATCATGGTGATAAAGATAGGTATTATTGGAAATCCTTTTTTAACTTCACGAACCATTGCGACCGGTTCTCTTCGGCTCCCATATCCGACGGGCAAGTTTGTGGGGGAAAAATCCTCCCTCATGTTACAGACCGACACACAGTCCGTGAGCGACTGCAAGGGTTCAAGTAAAACAGTAGGGAGGTTCGGGTCTATTGCTGCGGGTGTGAGTCAAAAAATCTCCTATTTGTCGGGCGAGTCGGAGAATTCTATTTTTTTCCTTTTCTTTCTCTCTCTCTTTTGTTTCCTAGGAGTAGACTATTCCACCATGAGTGTGTGTGTGTATTGTACCTGACTAAATTATTTCCATGGGTGGTCGAGGCGAATGAACACCAGGACGGGAAGAGTTTGCTTCCTTTGGGGTTAATGTTTGAGATGGTGTGTTTGAGTTAAGAGATGCTCCACCGTGGTGCAGCAACGGAGACCTTGGCAGTCTTTTCTTCCTCGCTCCTCATCTTCTTATCTCCATTTCAGGAGGAACCTGTTGGCTTTTTCGATATGTTCTACTCGTTCTTTCTCGCTTCTGGAGGATCGGAGGGCGATCATGGCGAAGGTTGTTCACTATGGTTTGAAGAAACTTTTCCCATTTTTTGTTCTTTTTTTGGGGGATCGATTGGAATCCGAATGAACCGGTTGCCTTCTTTTCTTCTTTTTGTTACAACATTTCTCCACTGGGAGTGGGGCGCCATCACTTGATTCACCTCTATCAATAACAAACGGCCACACATGGATCTAAACTAAGTCTCCGGAGTGCTACCCCATGTAGTCTAGGACAGGAGGCGAAGTTGACCGTGCCCTGAAGGTCTTTTCAATAGTGAACAGGAAAAACACTTTATATGAATGAAAGATAGATTAAATGGAAAATTCCATGGTCCTTCTCATCCTCGGCAATAACCCTGTTCCAATTGAACACCAAGTCATACCATAGATCGGCACGGAAAAAACAAAAAAACAAAAAAACAAAAAAACAAAAAAAAGAAAAGAAAGAAAGACAGAAGAGAAAGTCAACCCAAAAAATTCGACAGTTTAAAACATAGTAATACAAAATAAAATAACGGCTTATCCGTTGTAAAGGAGGGGAGGAAAGAGAACGTCCATCTCCACCTGCGTAATCTAGATGTTGCCGCCAAATTGGAAGAAGCTCTCCTTCAACCTGCATGGGCCTCCCTGGTCGACAGCTCACGTTGATACATCAATTCTTCGCCATTATTGATTGGTATTTTACGATTATATCCGCCGTGCCAGACACGAACCAGGGTGTCGTGTAGAGCAGGACTGAAAGCTAAATGGTCCATTTTTCCCCTTCATTATTCGTCGTGCCCGAATGGCGTTGGGATTGTAACACCGGTAGGAGATAACCGAACTTACTCTCCAAGTATTATCGCTGTAACCAATGTAGGGCCTTTCTTGTATGTACAGTACCTTCTGCAAGGGTTGAAATGTGATATCCTGAGGCCGCGGTTCCACTTTTCTCTCTCTCGTTGGCTTGCAGGGGGAAAAAAAATAACAAGGCAAGGGAATAATTAAAAAAAAAAAAAGAATTACTGTAAAATACGGTATAGAATTTATTTTTTATTTTATGTTATTATTTTTATCATCCATGATTATAACCAATGATAATTAAAAAGAGAGAAATCAAAGAGAAGAAAAATAATCTGGAAAAGAGAAAAAAAAGGGAAAGAAAAAGAACGTGGATGCACGTGTGGTAGTATTAGTACTTACAATGTATGTATAGTATGTACTGACTCCAGAACCACTACCCATACTACTGCTATTAGTACTGTATCTCTCTCTAGTGGATCGCCGTGGTCTGTCCTCCCGAAGGTTGTGTGATCTCATGGCATCTTTCTCCCTGTTCAAACCTTCAGAGACAATCCCGGATCCACTCCTTTAGAGCATACCAACCCGTGTGGGACAGGAGGAGAAGGAGTGGGAAAAAATGTAAATTAGAGAAAAAGGAAAAAAAGGATTTATTGTCTCTGGGTTATATCTCACCTGTATCCGTCTCACTCTTGACGTCCTTGTCTTTCCTCACCTGTGACCCCCCTGCTTTGTCTCTCGGTCCATTTCTATGTTGATTCTTTACTGCTTTTGTTCCGATACTCTTTTGTTATCGTCCATGATACTCTGAGTGCATCATCTTTCTCCTGTGACATCTATTATCCTCTTTACCACATTGAACACATCCTATACAGCATCATTTTTTGACTTTGTACCCCCCTTTTCGACTTAGTTGTCCTTTTTTCTTCTTCTTCTCTCCCTATAATATCCCGACTTCTTATCACTATTCGCCTGGAGAAACAACAAAAACCCCGGGGTTTTGGTCTGTGGAGATTATGTACGACACCGCCGGTCCCATCCATCTGGATTATCTCAACCAGCAGCATCTACCACGACGCTACGAATCGGAAGAGGAGGATATCTCGGAGTCCGAAATGGGCGGTCATGACCATGCTTTCTCTCCCGTTGAGTCGTATGAGCCATCAAATGCCGATATCAGCGAGTCGGAGATCGAGAGGCCCGGATTCCCTCGTTTACTACCTACATATTCATCCTCCGGGAAAACATCGCGGCCGGTATCGATGGATACTATCAAACGAAGCAGTGGGACGACCTTTGTAGCAGACTCTTACATCTTCGAACATGATGACGACGTCATTATTGAGCTCCCTTCCCCTGACGCTACTTCCCCCTTGCAATCTCCTATCTTCCTGCCTCCGAGTGTATATGTTCCATCAGAGTCGCCCGTATCAACGAGGCCCCAATCGCTTGCGTCTCTGTCTTCTGCCTCAATGTATCCTGACGATGAATCAGACGTGCTCGTAGCAGAGCAGGTTAAAATCGTCGAACCAATTGCAAAGCCCAACCTAATCTTAATCAGCCCAGTCTCAGAGCACTCATCCTCCCCCTTTAAGGATACTGTCCCTACACCTAATACCACCAAGTCGGATGCAAGCGAGAACGTCTCTCAGGGGCTGTACTCGCATCGTCGGGCAGCGACATCTCAGCCTTTATTATGGAACAAGTGGGATCGGGATTCCGCTCAGGATGAAGCACTAAAACGGGGCAGCATGCACTTGACAACTCGCGAACTGGAGCAGCTACCCACCGGATCAGGTGCCACGATCAGATTGCCAGTAGAGGTGCCCCAACTACCACCTCCGATGACACAGCGCACGCACTCGATGACCTTCTCACGCCCTGCCACTGCCGTGTCTGAAAAGTTCCCTTCCTCGGAGCTGCATTCCCGTCGTCCTACGGACATTCTGCGGCGCCCACAGTCTATCAGGAGCTTAAGCAGTGCGAGCCTTCCGTTCTTTCATGGCCGACACACTCCTACTAGTGCTGATGACGATTCTCGGACGAGGTCTATGTCTTACACTCACTCGAGTGCCCGATCTATACACGGTATCCCCTCTCAGTCTAGCTGCCCACCATCCCGTACCGCAAGCCCTTCTCCATACTATTCCTCACCGTCTTTTACCCGGGAACGATCGGGTTCCTCGTACAGTTCGTCCAGCTTCAGCCGCCCACACCCATTGAAGAAGGCCTCCACTTCCTCCAGCATCTACTCCTCCAGCAGCCTCCGCTCTGAGGTGGAGAGTCTCCGCAGCTTGGACCCACGAGACGTAGCCGAGACAGATTTCCAGCAGAAAGTGAAACGCAAGAAGAGTCTGCGCCACGTCCGGCAATCGACGGCTGAACCTTCGGAGGGAACGTCGAAGAAGAGCTTTATGGAGTTTATGTTCGGATCCAAGAGAAAGTCCACCATTAAAAGTCTTAATGCTTAATTCCCACAAGTTGCAATGAAACGACTGGCGGCAACTCTGTCCGATCTTGATATCCTTTCGATCATTGCAACTTCATTCTTTCTTAATTCCCTATCTACTGGTGGAAGGTTTTTCTTTTTGATACCTACACTTATTTCTGTGTCACTATTGTTTATTCTTTATTTTCTTTCTTACTGTTATTTCCTATTTCTACAAGGACTTGTCAAGCGGTCTCCTATTGAGCGTTTCAAGGCGTTTTGGGGGGTTTCGATTTCATAATTCTACGGCGGCGGTTTGCTTGGCTTTTAATCTCCGAACCTTATTTTCCGTTCTGATATGAACCGAATCCACCTTTCGAAGGCTTTTGTCTTTTCCTGTATTATAGTGCCGGGCTGGAGTTCACGGTACCTCCTGGTGTGGGCCGAACCGGACCGGCTATCTGCAATACCCAATTGGACCCAATCAGATGCAATGAATCCTGAATCCCTTTCTTCAACAAGTGAAATAGATTATACTTGAACTTGAACGACCCACTTGCCTTCACTTCTAAGCGAACGCCCCATAGAACATCGACAATTTTTGTCACGTTGCATCGAAGACATCAAATGGCGGCTGGGAGATTGAAAGTGGCAATTTATTACCCTATCCTTTCATCTACTTCTATATCAACTACCAAGCCGCGACTCCACTGATTCGTATCCAGGGTCCAGTCGGTGAATCCTTTGTCTCCATATCCCGATCACAACCCCACGGCCTCGTGATATGCTATTCCCTACTCTAGCGTGAATTGGAGAATCTACCCAGGCAGGCGGCTCGCCATTTTCATGTTTTACCTGAGGTTAGGGCTGGTTTTGTCCGTGCGGATTCGCGATCTAGACTAGTGATCGGCAATGTCAGCTTCCATCGGCATGGAGTTTCCTCTTTGGGAAATCTGTTGGGATTGCCATGACTAGTATTATATTGAGGCTTTCGGTGCCTTTCCCTTAGAAGGGACTTGTCGGCAGCTATTCAGGAACAAGGTCGACGTGTGCCTGACCCTGAAATTTAACGGTATGCAGGCTGTGATCCAGTAATGCCGGGCTACACCTTCCATGACTACATGATACCTATGTATGTATGTAAAATGCACATACACGGACTGATACCACCATGATCCACAATCTACTAAAATAGCATCAAAAATATCTCAAACCCAGCGCCCAGCGCCCTGCAGACCAAAATCCCCAGACGTGAACGAAGAAATTGCTAAGAAAACCCCAACCGAAACACACCCCTCACTAAGGCGAAGTCCATGAAAATGAAATGAAATAGAAACCTAACCCAGCCACCCCGTTTCAAATATCTCCCCACGCAATGAAGCCTCGTCGAGCATCCAAGGAAAATTCTATCCAGAAATAGAACGCTTCGTGTAACCGAACCCAATCGTAACCGAACCCAATCGTAACCGAACCCAGTGATCGTATCTGATCCACAGCATCGCTGCCTACCACGCGATGGGATCGGTACCAGGGTTAGTTATCTTTCTTTTCATTTTTCTCTTCCTTTGTCGGCAAATCGCGCCCGAATTGGACATGGGTTCGTGGGTGATTTGATATTGGGTTTTTAAGGTTGGTCTTGGTGTTCGGTAGTACCATCGCTTGGGTTGGGTCCACTTATTTCTTTTTTCTTTGAGGTTCGGTAGTTGGTGTATTTGTTTTTTTTTCTTTGGGAGGTTTTCGGTGGTTCGGTTTGTGGGGTTTCCGTATTTTATCGTAGAATTGTGTGCTTGTGTTTGGTTTTGGTTTTAGTTTGGATATTGTATGAGTGATGGTGGTCTGTGTTTCCCCCTTGCTTTAGAAGCTGAAGTTGGTGGTATTTAACAAGAACTTTATAGTGGTGTGGATAGACATGACACTTGACTTAGGGATTTGTAGGGAGTTACTGACCTCTTAATTGGATTGCCTTCTGGGAGTTCTACCTTTGACAGCATAGAAACTTACCTTGTGAGGTTGTACATACCTACCCGTATACATCCTTGGGGTCTATTCTTAGCCCTATATGTAGTGCTGTAGGCATTACATATAATAATAAAAGACATCAATTCATTTATTTACTCTTTAAACCCTTCAGTGCAATGCTACCAGTGACTTATTCTATTCATATGAATTATCCTATCCCGCTATTCAATCTAGGATTCACAAAGTAGAACAACAATCATTCATACACTATAGACTAGCTTCACTATACACAGCGGCTGGCTAGAACATAAGCCCTCCTTTCCTTCCCTTAACCGTCTACTATCCTACTCTTTCTTCTAGACGTTGCTGACGACGAAGGATACATTCCTGATGACCACAGGCAGCCGCTTAACAAGAACTCAAAAAGCCTCGAAGAGGTCCTCGAGGAAGACCCTGTTCTACTTGAGGATATTCCGGGCGACAGTGAGGATGATGCAAATCATTTACCCCGAGGAGGGCATATAAACCCTGACTATCTTCGCTATTTCCCAATATGTTTTCCTCCCCGGGAGAGCTCGTCAGCCATTCCAAATTGCCAGAGCAAGACTTTATGAATATCAACCCGGTCTTAAGTCCCATTGTACTGTTAGGCTTATTACAGGGGCATTGCACGTTGGTTGTCACCTTGTTCACAGTTGTTTACTTCTACAATGTGCAACACCAGCCGCAAGACATGTTCCAATCATGAATGCCCTATGTTAAGACCCTTTACACTTATATGCTTCAATAGCACAGACGAGGAGCGTTGAAGAAGAGGATCTAGTAGTATTAAACCTCAACCCCCAAAATATGATGATAGAGCCTGTCACAACCCTTCCACTGGCTATCATCCTCATCTTGGTCAAGTGCCTGTCTCTAAGCTACCTTCGCCAGGACAACTGCTATTGACAATCTGTTAGAACCCCCAGCCTAGCTATATGGCCTGTTCCGCTCCATAAACTTGTTTATTAACCTCAGTCATACTGGCTTCCGTGAACTTGCCCAGAATGCCTGAAGCAGCTGTTCTGGATACTGACCTACATCTAACGATACAAACTTCATCATCCTGCACCAGCAATATGCCAAACAGTTCAGCCACATCAAGAGCCACTGGAAAAGTCTAACTTCCACGCAACGACAAGAGGACCGAAAAGAGGGAATAGGCAGACCTTCGAGCAAATCACCCTAGATGATCTCGCGTAGTGGCACTGTTACGGGACGATATACAGCTTAAAAAGCGCCCCTGAACGGCCTGGTTCTATGTGCCATGTTCCCTCCGGTTGCATCTCAAGACCAAGGCTGCAGATCTATGCACCAACCGCGAGGCTGGTTGCCATAAGAAAGCGAAGAAAGCCGCAAATGTTTATCGAGCCATGCTTCTATAGCCCTATATGTGCTGATCTCCCGTGAGTGATCCACAAAAGTGTAACATGTCATCTCCAGAAACCCTATGGTACCGATACTTCTCCCGTTGCTGATTTGGTGCTCAAGACTGCTTGGAAATGCTTGACTGACGTCATGGTGCCGACCGAAGAAGGCTTGTTGAACTTTTTATTCTTGCTAATTGGTCTCTCTATCCAAAACTTTTGTAGGTGTTACCAGTCTTGTTGCATCCTCCATAGAGTGACTGTTCGAAAAGAAGGGGCGGACCCAGGGAAGGAGAAAGGAGAAGGCTTGAAACGCTTCATTCTTGTCTGCGATGTTCGGTTGAGAAGGGAGCTAGGGTTGTGCATACCATCCACCTGCCTTCTCGTCATTCCCTGGTTCTGATCTTTTATTTTACCAGCCAATCCCTTTGCTCCCTTTACACCTGGATCGGTATAAAGCCTCAATCTGTGTACAATTCAATCTGTTTACACATCGATCAGACCTTCTCTCTTCCATTCCTATCCTCTGACCACTCTTTGAACACGACTTCAACTTTACAGCTGAACAAATCTTCTAACAGGCCCAAGATGTAACTTTCTTAGGTCCGCATATGCCTCTTGTCTCGCCTTGGGACTGGACCCACATCGCAGTTTGGCCGCTGTGTCAATTGAATGAACATCGACTCTAGACATCTTCATATAATACACACAGCAACCAATATTTCTTCGCTCGACTACAGATGGTGAACGCAATTATTAACACCAGAAGAAGAGGAAGAAGAGGAGGCATCGACTTAGGTCACGAGTAGGGTTTACGACGCGAACGAGGGACGAACCCTAGGCGGCACTTACCTACGGAGTTTTTTTATCTCCCCTACGATTCTCAGGCTTCCCTGATTGGTTAGGTACACCACATCAGGTATCTTACCTCGCGACACGCGATCGGTCGAGACCTTGTAATGTCCTGGACGAAGGTTAAGACCGAAAGCAGCTTTGCAGGCTTGATTCAGTATGCCATGTACTGTCACACTCCCGCCTGATCCGATTCAGTGACTGCGTCATACCCTGTCTAAAACAAAAGATGATTCTCTTGGTGTGCCCCATTCGCGCAGCTTGAGGATTCAGAAAGCCCGACCTTTGCCGCAGATGGGCTTGCAGGTTTCCTCATTGCACAAGTAACCAGAATGCTTCCCTCAGTGCTCCCCTGTGCTTCGAGAGAGATATCGCAACGGTACCAGCAGTATTAAGAATGCCCAGGGGAACGGTTTCTCAGCATGATGCCACCCTTTTGTCTGTTGCCCTATGTCCGGGTAACCCAGTGGTACACCCTACGACGGCAATCCTTACAGATCCTTTTGGGAAGGTATAGCATGCAACCTGGCATGTAATACCAGCTCGGCAAGAAACATAACCCAGCCACAGCGATATGCTCCTCCGATGATTACCAGGGTATGCCACTGCCACCGTGCCTGCAGAAGGCGACTTGGATGAATATCTGTCGTACGAGATTGGGTCTATTCTCATAAAGCGTGTGAAGAATTGAGACAATCACAAGAAGAAGCGTTTTATATCCAATACCTTATCAAAATATAAGGTTGCGGTGATTAATGGATCATGTGGTATAAGATAGAGCATTCTAATAATGCCGCCGTAACGCACGTCGGTGAAGGACCTGCCGCGACAAAGCCGCGAACTTCAGCAAACTTTGACATCAGCCCCTCCGCAAGAGCTTGGTACGTGACTGAGCGTGCCCAGGATGCCCGCTGTAGAGGTACCTTTGCCGGTTACCTCCTGTCATGGCCTTAATGATGGT